GAATTAAAAAAAATAATGGGTAGTTGTGTTATATAAAAATAGGATCTATTATTTGATTTTTCTTTTAATTTTAATTTTTTTAATATGAAAAAATGTGAACTTACCATATTATCATAATTTCAATTCTTAATGTTTGCATTAACCAATGGTATTTTCTAGCATTTTGAATGTTTCACCATTCTCTGCATTTTGCGTTATATATATAGATAATGAATCATTGATTAAAAAATTTTAAAAATTCATATCGGATCGAATTCATATTATGTTCAAAATATTATCCTTGTCATAAGCAAGGCCAATTCTAGGATGGTGCAAGTGGCGCCACTCACAGGATGCACAATTTTTTAGGCCCTTAAATGGTGCAAGTGACACCACTACACCCAATTTTTAGGTCCGCAAAATTTTTTTTTACATGTATATTATATTTTATTATTACACGGTTTTATCATACACAGATTGTAGTAGTATTAGAGAGGTTATGTAGGGGGGGGGGGTGTATGGGGGTGGAGGAGCCTTTTTTTTTTTTTTTTTTTTTTTTTTTTTTTTTTCTAACATACTATATTTAACTTTCTCAAATTGAAACACTAAAACTTTTTTGAATTTAATTTGTAATTGTCGTTGCATGTTAATTGATTATGAATTTCAGATCTAAAAACATTGTTTTATGACATTAAGTCATGGCAAATTAAATAGGTTTTTATTTATTTATACTATTTTCATATTAGATTATGTGAGGGCCAGTTTAAGTTTCGCATGGGGTCCCTCAAAATCTCAGGACTGACCCTTATCACAAGATGACCGATAAAATATAAAACGAAAAATGCTAGTATAGAAAAGACCTTGAGGTTAGTCCAAATGGTGAGAAAGAGTGAGGTGTTCAGTTAGAAATTAAGATATATTCAAGATTCAATTCGCCACAATGTAAGAAAGAGAAAATAAAAAGTTATAGAGGCATTTTAACATGTTACTCATTTTCAATTATAACATGCATTAAAGATTATCATTATCATTATGCTGTATTTTATTTTTTTGACAACATAAAGTCAAGAAGAAAATCATACAATAGTGATACTTCTCGGTGTCCAAAAAAGCCTTCTTCAAAGTATCTCCAAATTTACTCTAAGTAACTAAGGGATCAGATGAAACCTTGTTAAGGATAAAGTACTAACGCATGAATGTTTATGATCCTTATATATATAGTGGACTTAGGAACATACTAGTTTGTACAATGCTATGTTCGAGGCTTCAATTTGCACATTTTGTCACATAAGGTAACAAAGTGTGTTTGTGGAACATTAAGGTAACAAAGGATTTAAGTTATATACGAGTTCTCTAGGCGCATGTTGAATGTTGTTGGTGGAGCCACTCTTAGACCAAGAGTGGCCTTGACCCTTCCACATTTCAAACTGAAGGACTAGTTTTTAGGTAAAAGATACATTATGAGGGCACATCAAAGATTCGATTGTGTCGGTTTGTAGGTCTCTTATCGGGTTGAGTGTTGCATGCGCGTCAAAAAATATTGGTTTGAATGAGCTAACAAAAAAATACCACACCTTAAACACCATTAACGATAGGCGAAGGGCGGAGATCCAGCCAGGTGTGTTCGAGGGTGGGTGGAGGGCGTAACTAAGCTAATGTACCACTTTTCTGTGTGGTTTCTCACAGACGTCGCCAAATGTTAAATGGTGAATTCTCAATGGTAGGACTAGGTGGCCACGGTCAGTAGTGGACCTTTGGTAGTCCGATAGTACCACGTGTCATGGTCGTACTTGGTAGATTGGGCTTGGTCATTCCCTCGTGTGAACATAGATGAGGAAGAAGGGATGAAGTTTGATACCAGGGTCGACAAAAAGTGGCATAGGGATAGGCTTGAAAACGAGGAAAACCGATGGGCGGTGGCCAAATCTTATTGGATTTAACCTGTCTTCTATAGTGGGTGTATGGAGAAAAGCATGCTAGTGAGAAGACGTGCTCGATGAGGCGAATATACTGCAACCAGAACCACCATTAACAATAGGCGAAAGGTGGAGATTTGAATGGGTTGGTTGGAGGCTCTCTAACAAGGTAGAATGCTACAGGCGCGTTGAAAAAAATTGGTTTCACTAAGCTAACGTACCACATTTCTATGTGTTTCCCACAAACGGCCCCAAATGTTAAACCGTGAATTCTCTGTAGTCGGACTAGGTGGCCACAGTCGGTGGTTGACCTTTGGTAGTGCGATAATGTCACATGTCATGGTTGTATTCAGTAGACCCAGCTTGGTCTTTTCCTTATGTCAAGATAGATCATGAAGAGATGATGAAGTTTGATACTTGGGTCAACAAAGAGTGGTGTATAGATGGGGTTGAAAATGAGGAAATCGATGGAGGGTGGTCGAATCTTATTGGGTTTAATCTGTCTTCTACATTGGGAGTATGGAGAAACAAACACTAGAAAACTGACGGGCTCGATGATGTGAAGATATTACAACCAAAACTGCTGCTAATAGTGGGCAAAAGGTGGAGATTCAGCTGGGACGGTTCACATGTCTCTAACCGGATTTAGGGATGTAGGTGCGTCGGAAAAGATTGGTTTCACAAATCTAACAAAAAAAGCTACATCTTGAATGCCTCTAACGGTGGGCAAAAGAAGGCGATTTGGCCGGGTCTGTTTTTCAGGTGATTCGTGGGCGTACCTAAGCTAACGTACCATTATTCTGTGTGAAGTTGGCCCATTTATTTGATAAGCCAATCCATTGTTCTAGAAGGCCCATATAAATAAAATAAAAACCTGCAAAACCATCAGCACTTTGCTGGAAAACAGAAGCCACGAAGGAGCATGGAAGACCACGCAGGTTGCTGGGAGGGAAAGAACAAGTTTTCAAGCAAGAAACACCTAGCGAACCATGAGATGTTGGTGCGCAAAGTGGGAATCATCCTTCGAACCAACATGTATACCCATTTCTTTCCTTCATCAGACCTGACCATAAAAAAAGGAAGAAAGGAAAGGAAGGAGATGGCTGAAAATAGGAGTCTGAAATAGCCGCGAGAAAGGAGGCCTTGAGCTCCCAAAAATCCTTGATTTTGTGCAAATGGGCAGAGTGGATTTTACCAAAATAGGATGATTGAAGAGATGAAGGGAGAAAGGAAGGGAAAGACTTGGCAAAATGGGCTAGAAACCATTATGATTTCTTAGGAAAAGATGGCTTCCAGCAGCTATAAATAGGGCCTCTTCTACCCAATAAGCATCAACCACATCAGAGAGCAAGCTTCCTCTCATACTCCCAAAACCCAGCAATTTCATGCTCAACCCATCCTTTTCCCTTAGTTTTCCCTCTTGGCAAGTTGTTCTGACACTTGACAGAGTCTCTGTCAAGCTGCCGGAAAAACACTTAAGCCACCTTTTTCTCTCTTTTTCCTCATGCTCAACCAAACTTCTCTGCAAAATCTTCTCTCCAACCTTAATATCCCCATCTTTCTCCTAGGAACACTTAGTTTTCTCTTCAGTGCTAAATCATGACAATTTTGCTCCCATGCTACAAGCTTCTCATGCCAAGCCAAGAATTTATCTGTAAGCTAGTGTTATTTTTTTCGGTGAAGGTAACCAAGGTGTTTCCCAAGGCCCTACTCTCCTTTCGAAGCATCCTTGGGGCTTGATCTTCGAACTCAGGCTCAAGGGGAAATTTCATCCATTTTGCTATTTAAGGCAGCCTAGGCCCGTAGTAGTTGCAGGAAGAAAAAAGCCCCACAAATTTATTTAAAAATTTAATATATATTATTTTTATTCAATAATTGCTAAAATGATGGGTATAATACGTGAATTTTGTTTGTATAATTGAAAATTTTGTAAAAATTAAGTGTATAAAACATGAAAAATACCTATGTACATGTACAATACGAGTATTAAATGTGAAAATGCTAATTTCTTTATGTGGATAGTACTATTTTTTTATAATAAAAAAATGTAGTATGGCCGTGCGGCTTTACGCTTTTTATATTAAAAACAAGCCCAAAACCCGAGTATAGCTGTTATAAAATAAACCGCCTAGCGCCCACGTGTCAAAGTTGTATCGCCGTGCGGCTATACTATTTATAAACAAATAAAAATAAAAACCCGCCTGGCCACCCTAACGTGTGTCCCAGTATAGCCGCGCGGCTAAACTCCTTGTTTTTATTTAAAAAATCCCACATATAGCCGCGCGGCTATGCATAAGATAGCCACACTGATATACGTTTTGAGCATGTTATATTCAATACGAATATAGCCACACGGATATACAATTTATTAATGGAATTAAAAGTTGTAATCAATCAGTATCCATGAAGTAAAACGTAGTCACCTAATCACTGTTGCCTTTATAATTTTATTTAAAATCCAATTTGCCTACGCCAGTAAGCCTTTCAATAACTTGATCGTGCATGTTGGTCGTAAGCTAAAGTGCATTAAAATAGCCCAAAAGCCAAGAACATAAGAGAATGAATGTTCTCAAATATTGAATTAACCAATCCTTCAAATGTTTTCTGTGATGGTTTTGCTGGTAACTCATCCATATGCACACACTTTTCCACACGGCCTCCTGCACAGCCAATTTGAATCCTCATCTCATCATTTGGTTAAGCTCTCTAGCAGCTGCAGCTCTCATATGTCATCACCCAAATTCAGAATCAGTGAAACCCAGCTCCCTAGCATATATGAAGGTTATCCTCCATGCAAATGACCTTTGCTGTGCCCACAGATCTTATGGTGGCCGAGTTAGTTCTTTTCCCTGGCAATAGTATTTTACTCTCCTGGTTGCAACTTGCCCCAAAGAAATGTAAAACTTGTTTGAACATATTTCCAGAACCTGACCCCAGCTCAGGAAAATGAAGAACACAAATTAAGTTCTCAGGGTTTCTTGTTCAGAGGAAATTGTCTCAAATAAACCTGCAGAAGTTTTATGTGGTTAGTGACATAATTTTTCATTGAAGTGGACTTCCAGATGCACTAACCAATTAAAGTTGAAAGGTTTGCTTTACTTACAGTTATATAGCTCGGCTTAAACGAGCAGCAAATGCCCCATCAAGGAAATGCTTTACAGGGTTGGAGAAATAGAAACCATGCTCGGTTACAAAATCAGGTGGAACATATCTGCCAATAGGATCTATGCAAAAATCCTGAAAACCCAGGAATAATATTGTAAATAAAGAAAACAAAGATGCACAAGAATACATTTACAACTGTGCAATACCACACACGGATGTACATAGTGTTCTATTTCATTGAGCACTGTCACCAACTGTGCAAAATTTTCCATTTTTTTCAATCTAGTATTTAGGAAAGCTAGTTGAAAAGACCTGCTGGACTTGGGGAAGCCAATTTTTTTGTTTTAATGAACATGACACTTAACATTTTAACAGAACATTCATTTTGTACTTGGTAACTTGTAAGCATCGACGTTTGTATAGCCAAGCTCCAAAGAGAATATGCAGGTAAGTTCAACAATTTCTGCTTGGAACTCAAAAACATGAAACAGTCCCGTCTTTTTGATAAGCAAAAACTATGAAACAGTCCCTCACCCTCAAAAGAGCATAAGCTGAAAATAATAATAATAATAATAATAAAAGAGTAAAGCGCTAAAAGAAAAATCAGGTTGTAGCCCTTACTGGATGCCTGAGAAGAAATGCAACTATCCTCTCTTCATTCTCTTCTGGATCTATAGAGCAGGTACTGTATACTAAAACTCCACCAGGCTTGACCAATCTGTAAATGCACATTAAACCTTTAGCACTTGAGGTAAAATTAAAAAGGAAAAATACAAGTGACAAGAAACTTATTTTCTTATGCACAAACCACGACTGCCAAAATCCAAGAAAAGGGGAAGTGGTGGTTGTAGTTCGTTACAACTATTCACAATTTTCATTTCCATTATTTATGACAGATCACTTCATTGATCAGGGTAAAAGGAGTTCACAACTTGAAGATTTTAGACCTTGAATAGATCAAAATATTATTCAGATTTTTTGAACATGTTTCGAATCTATTATGAGTAAAAGCATCGCAGTTGAAGTGCAAAACTGGGAATTGTTGAACCTCAAGTGCATTAGGTTCTTTTTCATATCTATTTTTTCTTTTCGTTTTTCTTTTTTGGGTGGGGGAGACAACTAACATAAATTCTGGAGTTTTAGAATTTTTCAACTAGAAAAGAAGCTTCATGATGTTGAATAAGATGTGAATTGAGAGAGAGAAAGAGAGAGGATTTGGTATTACAGGGAAGCTGCATCAAGGAGCTCATCCTGCAAATTCTTAAGCTGCTCCATATCCTCTAATTTCCTGTTCCAACGCAAGTCTGCCCTCTTCAAAATTCAAAAGGAAAAATAGCATCAAATAATTATATATATATATATATATATATATAACTGGAACAAAAACAAAAGTACATGTGATTCTTATACAATCACCTTAGAGAGAACACCCAATCCAGAGCATGGAGCATCCAACAGAACTTTATCACACTTCATTGTATTATTGTCCTGGAGAAAAAGATAAGGAACATATAAGAAATTTCATGCCCCAAAAAACAACTCTGTACAAGGTTTGATGACTTACAGAAAAAGTACGGATATCTGCATGGATAGTGGTGATGACACCATCTACTTGGTGCAACTTAGCCGTCTCTTTGAGGATTCTCAACCGGCCTTCATTTATGTCAACTGCATGTACCATACCTGAAATCCAATGGTAAACCTCTCCCATTAGTTACAGGTTCTCAACATCAATAGTAAAAGAAAATCAGATGGTCTAACATCGTCATCATTTCAAGATTAAATTTATCAATACAAGAATAAGACATTTATATTTTCTTACACAAAATGTTATAATACAGATGATGCATACCTTGGCCACTCAAAAGTGATGCCATGTAAAGAGTCTTTCCTCCAGGAGCAGCACAACAATCAACAATGCTTTCACCCACTTGAGGATCTACAACAGAAACTACCAGACCTGCAACAAGATTGGAAAATATATTGGATTTCTGTATTCAGACACTTCCAAAAAGTAGAATACAGCTCAAGCAAAATGCATAAATTTTCCTATGCATACATGAAAGCATGGAAAATGTTATTCTTTCAAGAAATCATTTGATAGGCAAGTGGCACGTGCTTGGAAAACAAAAACAATATAATAAAACAAGGCAAAAAACTGAAAATGTGTAAAACAAAAACAATTTGATTGTTAAACCAATCTACCAATTACTCAAGTATCTTGCTTGAACTAAAATCAAGAGGAAACTGACCTGCACTCTCATCCTGAACTGAGCATAAACCTTCTTTCAATAGACCAGCTTGTATGACCATCTGAATCAGCAAAATTTAGGTAGTTAGGACCTTTAGTAGCTCTCCAAAAAGTACAGAGCTTCCCATAAAAACTTTAAAATTGTAGATAAAATAAAACATACAAATGCTTGCAATTTAACTTATTCTTCAAAACAAGAAAATACAAAATAACATCTCAAAGTATTGTCTGTAGAAAATATAGCAGAATAGGATGGCACTCCATACAGAAAAAATTTACTCACTGAAACGAACTGCAAATTTAACTCATACCTGCAACCCTGTTTTCATACGGACAAAATCATTCAAATAAAAAGAGAGCTCGTAAGGAACCTGAAGTTCAAGAAAAGAAAATTAGCAAGCATATCTGGGGATAGAGGCTAGGCCAATAAAATATGATAGGCAAAGATAACGTATAAGTTCATGCGTGTTATTATGTGTGTTGAGAGAGAGAGAGGAGGGGTGGTCCATTTTAAAGAACCTTCAACATCACCAAACTAGAAACTGAAAAGGATAATCAAGAACCTTTAACACATCAAGCTTCGTCACAAGGTCAGCTCTTGAAACACCTTTCCCACTGTTTGCCCTGTCATTAGCACCAGAAAACGGTAATCATGATATTCATGTTCCTGGAAGGAAAATAGAAAGGAAAGAAACTAGAAACCTTAAGCTGAAACTAGGATCACTGTTATTCCACATCATTAATCTAATTGCTTCTTCTTGTCCAAGATGCTTTGTCCACCGCCTTACCATCCACTGGAAAATGAAAGTATTGAAAATAAGGAAGGGCGAAGATGAAAAAAACTATCAAGGCCAGCTATTTGTTACTCAAGTTTTGATTCCACCAGAGGTAGAATTAAATGTTAAGTTTCATGGAGATCTGCAATTATTCACAGTTTTGAATGCTTTGGAGTGGATTGTTGTGGTAATATATCTATCATTGACAATAATCCCTCAAACCAGTAGGTGATTACTTTCTATTTTCTAGCTCTACGGTGGTCCCATGAACCTGATTATCCTTTACCAGTATTCAAAAGAAGTATGAACAACATTTCAATTATAAACTTACAACTGGATGAGAGTGCAGAGTGGCAAGAGCACGTGCTTGTGTGCGATCATCACCCTCCAATTTGGGTAGAGGAAGAGAGCTATTTTCCTGAAAACCCAAATTTGAAGACATTAAATAAATATGTCAATGTAATTACATGATTATATTATACCATAAAACTAAAATAATGCCTCACCATATGAAGAACAAGCTTCCGGAGAATTGCATTGACCATGTTGCCAGCACCATGTCTAAGGGCAACTTTTGCAAGCCTCACATTCTGCAGTTTTTTACAACTATGGATTTAGAAAACTAACGCAATTACATACAATGTTAAAGAGAACATTTAGAACTTGTTACATAAACTGGGGAAAAGACTCAAGTAGCACTAGAGCCAATATTGACCACATGTCAAACCCAACTCGACAAAACTTTGGAGCAACCAAACTATTTGAACCCCATTCATGGTGAATACTATCTCATCTTTAAGCCAAAATCAGAATTTCTCCCTTATCAGAATGGTAAGATCAAGATGACAATTGAGGCTTCCAGAAAACTCTCCAGCAACCGAAATAGATTGAGGAAAAATAGGAGAATTTGAAAAGCGAAAATAAAATTACCTCATCTACAACAGCATATGGTGGCATATCCAGCTTAATAATCTCATAGAAACCAATCCGGAGAATCTATATACACAGGTCGATAACACCAAAATTAGCTACTTGGTCACCAGGAAAGTAAAGTCACAATCGCCAACATTTCTAAAAGTAACTAGATAATTAATTGCATATCCTATAACTAGAGTTCTCACCACCGATGCAATTAAAAAATAGGTCCATCTCATTAAACTACAGGAAAACATCTACATAAATTAAAGACATTCCATGGAACTCCTTCCAACACAGTGACACAAGTGCAAAAGATTCTAGCTACTTGCATAAAAGAATGGGTCGTATTGTTGTAATTTGTATATCACTCACCATGACACCTAAACAGTTGAAACTTGAAGGTGCATGTAATAAATACATGAGTGTAAAATACCTGCAAAAGAAGTGGTTCCATCCTGGTAAATGTGTTTGCATCATGACAAAGTGAACTAATCAAATGATCAAGATATCTCTTCCAGCGGATTGTACCTCCAACAATATCAGTGACCTATACAGTTGAATTTAAAAGAAAATGGCAAAAGAAAAGAAAAAAGAGAAATATTCAAGTACGGCTTCAGTCCCATTGTAATGATAACTTCAAGAAACTAAAATATTAACCATATCCCACTTTCACCTAGGCTATATTTGGCTTACACACACTCACAGCGATACCTGTTCCAAATACTGAAGTGAAATCTTTTACTAGTGATATTCTAATAAACAAACATAAAGTGCACAAATTAGATAATAGGAAGAGAGAGATAACCAATCTAAGATCACGATCCTCTAAATCCCGTGTGCGAAACCCAAGAGTTCTTCCTACATATCCCATCTCATTTGCACCAGAACCCTTGCCTTTCTCATTGAGAAGATCAGCAAAAGCACCTCCCATCTCTATTCTCATCAATCTCACTGCAGAAACTGAGCAAAAGCAAACACAAATCTACATTAAGGAATTAACATTATAAAAAAAAATCAGGGAATGTGATCCTCTTGTGTACAAATATGAGCACGGTTAAACCAACCACTAAGCAAATTAGCAAAAAAATGCATATAAAGGAAACCTCATAATCCAAAACTCATTAAACACTGACACACATACACACACACACACACATAGAGGTGCAAAATTACCAGCTCTGTGAGGAGAAATCTCCAAATTCACCTTCTGGGTTTTGTGTGAGGGATTCAAATTACCTATAAAGTAACACACTTTAGTGACAGCATCAAGAACTCACTGTAGCATCAATTTGGAACCAAATTCACACCCCCAAACTAGTTTCCACTAAGTTAACAATAAAGACGAGAACTTTTGAACGCCACACAAAGCTAGCAAATGTAGGCTCTGTCTTCTACCAAGAGTCTCAAATCATAATCCATACTTTTCTTCTGTTCTCAGCATTTTCTATGGAAATGAACAGAAAATTTCACCTTTCCTAGGAGCAGAAATGGATGTCTTCGTTCTCTTATCCAATTTCAGGGACTTAGAAGAAAAAGAACTTCTGTTGGTCTCCGCAGAGAGAAGCACACGGAGAGAGAGCACGTGTGCCATGGTGCTGTGTGCTATGTCTCTCAACTCTCTCAACTCCCTCTCCCTCACCCTCTTATAACGGTAAGGCAATTGGATAAAACTAAATTTGTTGAAATAAATAAATAAATAAATGGGAAAAAAACAATTAACAAAAAAATATCACAGTATCTATGTAAAGCGTACGGCCAATCGGCTATACAATTTTTTTTTAAAATAAAAAAAGACCAAAGTAATGCCGGGCGGCTATACTCCTTTTTTAACAAAATATCCCAGTATAGCCGTTCGGCTATACAATTTGGAATAATAAAAAACCGTAGTATAGCCGAGCGGCTATACGCTTTCAAATAAAAAACCGTACCATAGCCATGCGAATTACACCGGTATAGCCGCGCAGCTATACCGTTATAAAAAGGGAAAAAGACCCGTCTGGGGCCTAGCAGCAGTTAGGCACGTGTCAAAAATAATATAGCCGGGCTACTGTACTATTTTTAAATATTAAAACCGTAGTACAGCCTCGCGGCTATACTCTTTTTATTTTAAAAAAACCCCCGCTTATAGCTGCACGGCTATACTATTTATAATTAAAAAAAGACCACCTGCTTGGGGCCTAGCGCCGCTTTACCACATGCCAAAAATAGTATAGCCTTGCCGTCTAGCTCCTGCCTGGCGTCTAGCTCCCGATTTGTCACATGTCAAAAACAATATAGCCGAGCGGTTATACTATTTGTTTCACTAAAATACCCAAAATGGGGGCTAAAATTATAAAAAAAAACCCCACACCCAAAACATTTTATAAACACACTCAAAACTCATCGTTACACACACTCAAAACCCATTTATAAACACACCCAAAAAATATACAATTGTTGATTTTGGGTGTGTTTCTATGTTTAAATAGTGCTTGGATTTTTTTATAAATACATGTCTAGGATTGGGTTTATTTATAAATTCGTATTTTTATATGAAAAACCGTAGTATAGTTGCACAACTATACTGTTTAAGTATATATTTAATAGGCGTATAGCCGCACGACTACACTATTTATTAAAAAAGAAAGGCCCTTCTAGTTGCATTAGTTTATACTTTATAGATATTAATTTGCTAGTTTCGACATCTTCAAAGCAGATATTGAAGAGAGAGAAATTTCACAGTAAATCAATTTGAGAGTTCAATTTTTTTCTTCTTCTTTTTTTGTGGGAATTTTTGCCTTTGGTCTACCTCGTTCTCTCAAGAGGTACTAAATTCTATTACTGCATACATTATTCGTTATAGAGAATTGCATGCTGAGTTGGAGTATTCTTGGTAATTACTTCACATTTCAAACAACACTTTACATGAAGAATACTATCACATTGCTTACTACTACTATGCCCATAAATCTTTATTTAAAATTGTTATTCTTGGTGGAAAAGAGATTGCAAAATCACCATCTTGCATTTTTGTTACAACAAGTAAGAAATAATCTTAGCGTCTTACATTCTTTCATAGTTATTAAAATACGGAATGGGAAAAATATGAATAAGTGTGTCAAAAACATAGTATAGCCGCACGGCTATACTCTCTACGCATATTATATTTAATAGGAGTAACTGAAAGAAAAGGACCCTTTTAGTTGCATTAGTTTATTCTTTATAGATATTAATTTATTGTTTTGACATCTCCAAAGCAGATGTTGAACTGAGAGAAATTTCACAGTAAATCAATTTGAGAGTTCAATTTTTTCTTCTTTTTTTGTTGTTGGAATTTTTGCCTTTGGACATTTTTTTTGCAGTTTTTGTGTGAATCTGTGTTGAAATGAATTTTTTTAAACCATTAATGTTTATTTAAATATTGTGTAACTGAATAAATATCATAAAAAAAAGTTTGGTGTAGTGGTTTGTGAGTGAGGCTTTCCTCCCTTGAGGGTCAAGGTTGAGTCCCTTCTTCCCCTGGTAATACTTTCTTGTCTCAAAGCAAATTTTGTCAAGCATAATTGAGATATGTGATATATGAACTCAAGAAGCTTCTGCTACAAGTTTCCCTCCTTAATCTACATTATGTATTTGATTTTAGTCTATATTTGGCCGAAGTTTCTAATCTTCTTCTTTTACAGCAAGTCGAGGAGGCATTCGCTTTCTGGGGTACTCCAGAAGGTGATCTGGTCCATCATGCTGAGTGTATGCAGTAGTTGTGGGAGCAAATATTTTCGTCTCCAATCACAGCGCGCCACGTGGAAAAGAAGATTATCTCTTTTAATTAATTAATTGAACCAGTTTATCTGGCCAATTAATTAATTGGGATAAATATCTTAATTAACATGATATTATCTTTATTTAATAAGATAATATCATTAATTAAGATATTATCCTATTAAAGAGAAGATAATGTCATTATCTCATATATTATCTTCATAAAAAGAGATAATATCATTTAATTCAGATATTATCTCCATAAAAAGAGATAATATCATTAAATCAGATATTATCTCAATCCGACTCGATCCCTACGAATTTGGGTAGAGAATAAACTCAGCATATTCTCTACGAAACCCTAGCCCCGAGGCTCCTATAAATAGATGACTTCATTCATCATTCAAGGTACATCTAAACCTACTCCTTATACCCGAGAAAAATACCCGAAGCTCTCTCTTTCTCCCTCTCCACTCTCCATATTTTCTCCACACGGCTCCGGCCACCACACACGGCTCCGGCCGCCCGGTTCACACCCTACATAAACACTACTCCGTACCCTTTGCTTAGCTATTGTTTTCTACAAACACTCGAACTAACTTAGGCATCGGAGGGCCTTTGGCCAACACCCCCCGGGTGTGGTCTATTTACTCCAATCTGTTTTACAGGAATCGAGGAAGAGAGAGAAGGAAGATCGAAGGTTGAAGGATCTAGAAGCGAATATTCTCCCGTGAGATTATTTGCACAAACATTTGGTGCTTTCATTGAGAGCACGAGTTATACTCAACGCGTGCTCAAGGAATCCGTTCCTCATATTTTCCAATCCACCGAAGCCTTCCAAACAACCATGGTTGGAAGCAAGCGCACGAGGAGTAAAACCGCCGCGATGGCTCAATCCGTGACGGCCCAAAGCCACTCCACCCACGATCCCGCGATCAACATGGTGGCACCACCACCTCTTGCCACCGTGCCACCTATTGGACCCGCGACCGAATCTAGCAACCTCCGTGGCACCGCCGCCGAACATGGTGGAACCTCCTATCAAGGTGGGCTCGTTACCACCACCGACTTAGGCCCAGTCTTGGAGCAACTTCAAGCGTTCCCTCCATTGCCTCCACGCTCGACACACGCTCTCACGTACACCTCCAGTGAAACCCTAGCCTGTGTGCAATTGGGCTCCACACGCTTCTCTCCTCCCGATCCACAAAGTCAAGCAGATCTCAACTTGAGAGTTGACCAGCTAGCTCAGAGAGTGGACGACCAAAACGCTCTTATGAGGCAGCTCCTTAATCAAATAAGCGTGGCTCAAAATCTTGGCCTTGACAACCAGGCGAAGTGAGAAGAATAGACGAACGCACCGGTGGGCAGCTCAACGGGCACCAAGCGGGTCGAGCAGGAGCGAGCAGACAAGGTGATGGACAACCACGTGATCAGCTTGCCGACATGTCACGAGCATCTGCAAGCCACACACAAAGCAACGTGCGAGAAAGGCTCGGCCCACGACTTGACGTTCGTGCTCGCCTGGGCCCACAGGAGAATGTACTTCAAAGGCTAGGCTCCCAGGGAGATCAAACTGACAATCGCCGCAATGAGGATCGTGAAGAGAGGCGCTCCGCTGCCCACTCGCAGAGAAATATTCACGAAAGGCTAGGCCCCCAGGGAGGTCAACCCGGTAACCCTCGCAATGAGGATCGTGAAGAGAGGCACTCCATTGCCCGCTCTCGGAGAACCAACTCTCGCCGTCAAGCTGCAGAAAATCCCTCGCAATCGCAGTCCACCAACACGCCTCCTAGGCAGCGCGGACGAGAGGGCCGACCCTTGCAGACCAACGAGGAGGTCAATCAGCGTTGCCCGAATCGCAAAAGTCGCCAACGTGATCGACCAGCAATGCGCGTGGAAGACGTGGAGAAGCTTGTGAATGACCGACTTCGAGACTTGAAGACTGGCGAGAACCTCGAGGATGAACTGCGTAAGGAGATGGACCAGGCGATCTCTACTCCTTTCACCCCTGAAATTGAGCAGGCTGCTCCCCCGAAGCGATTCTCAACTCCTTCTTTTACGCATTTCAAGGAGATTCCAATCCCGAAAGCCACCTAAAACACTTCAAAAGTGTCATGATCCTCCACAAGGCCGATGACGCACTGATGTGCAAGGCGTTTGCAATGACATTGCGAGGAGCAGCTCAGGACTGGTTCCACACCCTGCCATCTGGGTCGATCAACTGTTTCAAGGAGCTTGCCTATGTCTTCACTAAAGAATACACTTCTTATCGGATGATCAAGAAGAACCCAGATCATCTGTTCAATCTGCGCAAGAAGCCCGACGAATCCATTCGAGATTACATCAAGAGATTCAAAGTAGAAAAGGCCAACATCGTAGGGTGCGACGACCGAATCGTATCATCTGCCTTCAAGAAAGGTCTTCCAGCAGAACACGAGTTATACCGCGAGCTGACTATCACTCCCAGCCAGACTTTAGCAGAGGTCTTCGCGACTGCAGAACGCTACGCGCTCTGGGATGACGATCGAATTGCCGCGAAGAAGTCCACTGAGTAGGGAGATCGGCAGACCAAGCGGGCGGGCCTAAGAAGCGATGGATTTAGCAACAAAAACAAGGACAAGCGCAGGTCACACCCACAAGAGGACGCTAAGGCAGGAGAGAACTACACCAAGTTCACTATCCCTATACATCAAATCCTAGCCCAAGTGAAAAACAAACCTTGGGTAAGAAGACCGCCACCCTTGAAAGGAGATCCAGACAGGAGGGATACTAGCAAATACTGTGCCTTCCATGGGACGCATGGACACACTACGAACAACTGCTTCGCTTGGAAAGCACACCTCGAAGAACTCGTGAGGGAAGGTCACTGCACGGAATTCATCGCTAAGCAGGCCATCCAACAGATTGAGGACCGCGACACCGCCAAGGAGCCGCCCCAAAAGGTCATAAGGATTAACACAATCCTAGCCGACTCCGAGGAATCTGGGTTGACCAGCAAGGAAAAAAAAAGGAAGATCAAACAAGCCACTATGATCTTCCAAGTCTCAACCGACATTCCGCTAGCAGAAGACGACCCTATAATCGGCTTCCAAAAGAAAGATCTAATTGGCCTTGATCTACCACACAATGACGCTCTTGTCATCAGCATTCAAATCGCTCAGGCCATGGTCGGCCGAATCCATGCAGACGAGGGCAGTGCGGCCAACATCCTACAATTGACAGTTATCCAACAGATGGGCTTAGAGGCAAAGATCAATAAATCAGCCAAGTCGCTGACTGGTTTCAATGGAGCAACAACGGTCACCGTAGGCACGATAGAGCTCGACGTCTACGCCCCACCTGTAATCAGCTCTCAAACGTTCATGGTCATTGATGAAGTCTCACCCTACAATGGCATTCTAGGCAGGCCATGGATCAGCAAGATCAATGCCATCACCTCCGCCACGCATCAGAAGATTCGCTACCCAATTCCTTGGGGTGGGATCGGCCAAATCAACAGCGATCAGGCAATGGCGAGGAAATGCTCAGCTCAAGGGCTGAAGAAAGGCAAGCAAACACAGTTCCTCCCTGTGAATCAAGCAGATCTAAAGGGAGTAGAACAAGCAGATGAGGAAGCAGATCCCGTTCCTGACGGCCGAGCAGGCCAAAAAGGAAAGGGAATAACTACTCCCCAATAGCAATCAAAGAATCAGGACCAAGTCGAGGGAATCCGTCCGGAGGTCTATCCTGAAGAAGGATGGAAGCCCGAGGAGGACGTTGAGCTAGTACCCCTTGATCCTGACAAGCCAGAGAGAACAGCGCGGATCGGCTCGCGCCTAAGCCAGGAGGAAAAGGCAGAGCTTGTAGCCTTCCTCCAGAACAACAAAGACGTATTTGCATGGTCACCCTCTGACATGCCTGGCATCGATCCCCAGATCATCTGTCATCGCCTACACGTCAACCCAGCCATCAAGCCTGTAGCGCAGAAGAGACGCAACTTCGCCCCCGAGCGAGTCGCCATCATTGAAGCTGAGATCGACAAGCTTCTAGTTGCCGGTTTCATTGAAGAAGTCTCATACGCAGAATGGCTGGCGAACGTTGTTCTAGTAGCAAAAAAAGATAAAGGCCTGTGGAGAGTGTGCGTCGACTATACTGACCTCAACAAGGCATGTCCTAAAGATAACTTTCCACTGCCGAGAATTGACCAGCTCGTCGATTCAACTTCCGGCAATCAACTGCTAAGCTTCATGGACGCTTACTCCGGTTACAACCAGATCATGATGCATGAAGACGACAAGGCAAAGACCTCTTTCATCATCGAAAGAGGTACCTACTGCTACAAGGTCATGCCCTTTGGGCTGAAGAACGCCGGGGCAACCTACCAAAGGTTGGTGAATAAAATTTTCAAGGAGCAAATTGGTAAGACTATGGAGGTCTACGTAGACGACATGCTAGTCAAAGCTCCCGAGCGAGTAGACCACATCGAGAATCTTGCCGAGGCATTCAGCATACTCCGAAAATACAACATGAAGTTGAACCCGAGCAAATGCACATTTGGAGTCTCGTCCGGCCGATTCCTTGGATACTTAGTCACCCAAAGAGGAATTAAGGCACATCCAAATCAAATCAAGGCTATACTTAACATGAAGTCACCTGCCACAACAAAGGAGATACAAAGTCTAACGGGTAGGGCGGCAACCCTCAACCGATTCCTCTCTAGATCTACCGACAAATGCAGGCCATTTTTCAAAGCCTTGAAGAAGGGACACAAAGACAAGTGGGATGACGAGTGTGAAGTAGCTTTTCAAAACTTGAAAACTTACCTCACTTCACCTCCATTGCTCTCAAAACCGATACCAGGCGAGGACTTGTAAATCTACCTAGTGGTGTCCCACTCAGCTGTCAGCTCAGCTCTCATCCGAGAAGAGCTGGGGGCACAACATCCGGTATTCTACACTTCAAAAGCTCTCCTCGATGCAGAGACTCGTTATCCGAAAATGGAAAAACTCATTCTTTCACTTGTAGTTTCTGCGAGAAAGTTAAGTCCCTACTATCAAGCACACCGGATAATTGTCATAACAGAATTTCCTTTGAGATCGATCCTTCACAGCCCCGACGCTTCTCAGCGACTCATTAAATGGGCAATCGAACTCAGTCAATACGACCTCCTCTACTGGCCGAAGACTGCTATAAAAGCCCAAGCTTTAGCAGATTTTGTTGTAGAGTTTACTCCGACAGCCGAAGAAGAGAAGATTGTCACGAAAAGCAAGGAAAAAAGCGGACGACACCTCCCCCACCGATTCAAACCTACCTAACGACATGTGGCAGTTGCATGTAGACGGAGCATCAAATCACAAAGGAGCGGGAGCAGGAGTCGTCATAATCACCCCAGACGGAACCTTGTTGGAACAAGCTATCACACTAGGCTTTTCTGCTTCAAACAACGAGGCAGAATATGAGGCACTGCTTGCAGGACTACGCCTAGTGAAAGAACTGTCGATTAAGAGACTGGCCATCTACTCAGACTCCCAACTGATCACGAATCAAGCCTCAGGCGAGTACATGGCAAAGCATCCAAGAATGGTCCAGTACCTCGACAAAGTCCAAGGACTTTTGAAAGAATTCCCTACTTTCACCATCCAACAAATTCCACGGGCAGAGAACACTCATGCAGATGCGTTGGCGAGCCTAGGATCAGCACTGGACACCCAATTCAGACGCTCCATCCCAGTTGAACACCTTGACCGGCCAAGCATCGAAGAAATAGAGCCGATCGACTCAATGCAGATTGATGAGGACCCCAGCTGACAAGACCCCATCATCGACTACTTGGTGAATGGAAACCTGCCAACGGATAAGTCCAAAGCTAGGAAGGTCCAGCAGAAGGCCGCGAGATACTATATGCACGGCAGCAAGCTCATCCGTAGATCATACTCCAGCCCTCATCTCACCTGCATAAAGTACCCTCAAACACTTGAAGTCCTCTGCAAAATTCACTGTGGCAACCACTCAGGGGGCAGGTCACTCGCCCAGAAAACTCTGAACGTAGGCTATTTCTGGCCTACCATGCGCCACGACTCTGCTGAATATGTCAAAAGATGTGATCGTTGCCAACGATACAAGCCGATCCCTAATCTGCCTGCCGAAGTTTACCATCCGCAAAACAGTCCATGGCCATTCATGCAATGGGCCATCGACTTAGTGGGTCCCTTGCCACCGGCGCCTGCCAAGAAAGAAATGATGATCGTCGCCACCGACTACTTTACTAAATGGATCGAGGCCGAAGCTCTATCCTCTACTAAAGAAGCCGATGTGGAGCGATTCATTTGGAGAAATATCATCTACCCACAAAACACAACAGTTGTCCATAAGCAGCGTCCTTCGGGAGACGCAGGGCAACGACCAGAAGTGTCCTTCGGGAGACGCAGCCCATAAAAAGCGTCCTAAGGGAGACGCAGGGTGCGCCAGGAATTTCCTAAGGGAGGTATCCAGGTTCCTATCCGTTCCCTAAGGGGGGCAGGATAGTCATATAGTTGCCCATAAGGAGCGTCCTAAGGGAGATACAGGGCGACGACTAAAAGCGTCCGTTTGGAGACGCAGCCCACTAAAAAAGCGTCCTAAGGGAGACGCAGGGTGCGCCAGGAATTTCTTAAAAGGAGGTCTCCATGCCTCCTGCGGGAAGTATCCAGGTTCCTATCCGTTTCCTAAGGGAGGCAGGATAGTCATACAGTTGCCCATAAAGAGCGTCCTAAGGGAGACGCAGGGCGACGACTAAAAGCGTCCGTTTGGAGACGCAGCCCACTAAAAAAGCGTCCTAAGGGAGACGCAGGGTGCGCCAGGAATTTCTTAAAAGGAGGTCTCCATGCCTCTTGCGGGAAGTATCCAGGTTCCTATCCGTTTCCTAAGGGAGGCAGGATAGTCACACAGTTGCCCATAAGCAGCGTCCTTCGGAAGACACAGGGCGACGACCAAGCCAACCTAAGAGATATGCAGAACACGTCTGAAGTCCTTCAAGAGGAACCCTGACACTCATGAATCTCCAAAAGGAGATGTGCAATCAAGACACTAGCCGGTTACTCAAGCAGTTCACAAGACAATATGCAAATTGAAATTGAAAAATAAAGACTGAAATTTTCATAGCAAAGCGACCAACCGGCCAAGTTCAAACAAAATAAGATGGTCAAACAAGACCAATTATTCTAAACAAAAGCAGACTACAAAAGTTGAAAAGAAATAAAGGAGTCTTCGTCTACTCCGAAGCGCCAGCAGGAGATCCCTGATCTACAACCTCTTCAGCGTCCGCCTGAACAGCCACGCTTTCAACAGCTCCACATGCCTGATCTATGACGTCTGCCACCACCTCATCGGCTGCATCCTCCTCTGCTCCATCCTCTTCAGCTATCGCCTCTTTAGTCACCTGCTCTTCAGCTCCTTCGATGTTCACAGCATTAGCCTTCTCACTTTGCGCAGGGGGCAAGTCTGGATAGAGCATCTCGATGTCTTCATCTCCAATGGCGTAGAAGGGATCATATCCTCTTGTGCAGTCCAGGTAGCCCAACTTGTACGCGTCCATGGCAACTTCGGACTTGGATTCCTCAGCAGACTCATGGTAGGCGTGAAGTCTAGCTAAAAGCTTGTCATAGCTATGAGAGATGTCGGCATTCTTGCGCTCAATGTGGAAATAAGCATCTTTTCGACTTGCCAAGTCAGCAGCAGAAGAGTTAAGCTCGGAATCCTTCTCAGCAAGGGAGCTCTTCAACTCAGATATCATCGCCCGCAAATCAGACGTCTTTTTCTCATAACGGGTCTGCTCGGCGGAAAGTTTGCTAACTAACTCGGCATTCTTCTTCTCCAACTCGCTGAGCTGAACAGAAGATGGGGCAACAGCAGACGAGTTCCGAATGGTCACAGCAGCAAAAACTATTCCCTTTTGAAGCAGATGAAGTGTCGCTTCTTTTTGCTTTTCCAAGGAAAGACTTGAAAAAGTACCACGATCGCCAGCCTGACGGATTTGGTCAACCAGCTCAGCACAAGAGGATGGACTTGATAGAAATTGCGTCTTTAGCAGATCAGACACGCCTGCATCCCCTGCAGGGCTAGATTTGTCCACCTTTGGATCAGTCGCTGACGTTACAGAAGAACCTTTTGTCCGGGCAGATGACTCTCTTGCTTTCCTAGCCTCCGCCAACCTCACTTCCAAAGGAATTTGCGACGTCGAATCAACTCCATGCTTGACTGCTCATGACTCAACAGTTGAAACATGATGGTTGGATGGATGAGCAGACTGCCCAGATCGACTTCCAATCTTCGACTGGTACAAACGACTCGAATTTCGAAAAGGAGCATCCGCATCTCTTTGCCTCTCAACAAGTGAGCTAGATCGTGCACGGACTACTTTACTGAGCATATCACGATCTCCAAACTCATCAGGCTTGAGCTCTCGAAGACTTGACATCAGCCTTCCTTTTTTAGGGGAGTTTAGCAAAACACTCCTCATGTCCAGCAGGCAGATCATCAAGGCTCGGACCATCCTGCTTCCATCTATCGACATCCTTAGCAGGGGGCAGTCCACCAACTTCCTCCTAATCGTTGCTCAGCAGCCGCCAGCAGCCACCGCCGCTCCAATCGTCTTTGGCTGCCAGTAACGATGACAACCAACCTGGTCCCACCCAACTGGTCCTCGCCTTGAAAAAGAGAAGACGAAGGAAAATTTACGTGCTCGACTTACTTTGGGATGCACGGCAACTCCTCTCTTCGACAAGCAGTACAAAATTCTCCAAGATCTTTCTCAAGCTAGAAAGTAGAGAAGTTAAGTTTGCGATGTAAGAAAGAGTGAAGAGAAGCCCTGTATTTATACAAGTTGGACAACCCGGGTCAAGAAGGAATCTCAAGCTCTTTCCTACTGGGAATCCAACTCCAACAACAGTCAGAAGCCTACACCAATTGAGAATCCGATCTGCAAAAGGAGTCCAACTCACAGAAGAAAGCCCAGACTCAGTTGGAGAGCCCGAAAAAAATAATTTCATCTCCTACATGCCACACAAGCGCCATGCAGAAGCTGGGGGGCATTTGTGGGAGCAAATATTTTCGTCTCCAATCACAGCGCGCCACGTGGAAAAGAAGATTATCCCTTTTAATTAATTAATTGAACCAGTTTATCTGGCCAATTAATTAATTGGGATAAATATCTTAATTAACATGATATTATCTTTATTTAATAAGATAATATCATTAATTAAGATATTATCTTATTAAAGAGAAGATAATGTCATTATCTCATATATTATCTTCATAAAAAGAGATAATATCATTTAATTCAGATATTATCTCCATAAAAAGAGATAATATCATTAAATCAGATATTATCTCAGTCCGACTCGATCCCTACGAATTTGGGTAGAGAATAAACTCAGCATATTCTCTACGAAACCCTAGCCCCGAGGCTCCTATAAATAGATGACTTCATTCATCATTCAAGGTACATCTAAACCTACTCCTTATACCCGAGAAAAATACCCGAAGCTCTCTCTTTCTCCCTCTCCACTCTCCATATTTTCTCCACACGGCTCCGGCCACCACACACGGCTCCGGCCGCCCGGTTCACACCCTACATAAACACTACTCCGTACCCTTTGCTTAGCTATTGTTTTCTACAAACACTCGAACTAACTTAGGCATCGGAGGGCCTTTGGCCAACACCCCCCGGGTGTGGTCTATTTACTCCAATCTGTTTTACAGGAATCGAGGAAGAGAGAGAAGGAAGATCGAAGGTTGAAGGATCTAGAAGCGAATATTCTCCCGTGAGATTATTTGCACAAACAGTAGTTACTCGAGAAAGTTAGGCGTCATAGAGTCAATGTTTGTACTTTCATGGTAACCACTTTGGTTCTTGAGGTAATTTCTTTTTCCTTTATCTACTGCAGCTGAAGCATGCAAATTCTCTTATGAATTTCTGTAATCTTTGCAATATATAAATTTCTCATATATCCTTTACTCCTTTCTCTTCTCTTTATAAATTGAAATTAATTGTCTGAGAAAAACAAATATGATAGTTTTTGTATTATAATAGGTTTACCATGAGTAGCCGAAATAGACAATAACTGATCTTCTACAAATATGAGAGGCAACTTGCTCCAATTTATATTATCATTGGTGTGGTCATCAATAACTGATCTTATACGATTATGTTTTGCAGGGATGGCTGCGGAAACTTGATCCTGGGTACTATCTGCAGCATTTTGTTAGAAATAGTTTTGGGAAACTGATATGAACTTATGGAGTCTTAAACTGGATGAGAGAAGATTTTGGTGTTAGATCTATTTTACCAAGTATGGAGTAAGAAAGCAACAATGCAGAAGGATTCTGGCTTGTAACTTGAAAGTTCTTGAGGGCTAAAACAAATTTTGTCTTTGCCTTACGAGTGAGGGCTTACAATGCAAAAGGTATAGCTGCGCGACTATACAATTTAATAAATAAAAAAGTAAGACAAAAGCACCATCTTTGTTGCATTAGTTCATACTCTAGAGATATTAATTTGCTGCTAGTTTCAACATATCCAAAGTATATATTAATCGGCCAGTATATAATAATTTAATATATATTATTTTTATTCAATAATATGCGAGAATTATTTGTATAAATAGTGAATTTTGTGTCTTATTGAAAATTTTGTAAAAAATACATGTAGTAAACATGGGAAATACTTATTACAATACGAGTATTGTACGTTTACTTTTTAAAAAAGTGAATTTTACCTAGTCTTTAAGACATGTACAAAACACTGATGTATTATTAAAAAATACATACATACGTGTATAATAAAGTATTAAACGTGAAAGTGCTAAATTCTTTAAACTGGTAATAACTCTGGAAAAGTAAAAAATTAAACAAGGACAATAAAGACTTGGGTAATGGCCTCATTAGTAATGGATAATGTTATAAACTATTCTTATCGATAAACGAAAAATCAAGGAAAAAATTTAAAAGAAAAAAAGGATCCCACTATATATATTTTAATTTTTTTAAATGGAATATATAACAGTATAGCCGTGCAGTTATATGCTATAAATACAATACAATGAGTACGATATAGAATGGAATTCCTTGAATTCATTCGAACACGAGCCGTCTTCTAGCCCCTCTCTCTCGCTCAGACATAACCGGTGACCTGTCTTCTTCAATCCTCATCTCTCTCTCTCTCTCTCTCTCTCTCTCTCTCTCTCTCTCTCTCTCTCTCTCTCTCTCTCTCTCTCTCTCATAGCACCATCGTCATCTCGTCCTTGACCTTGGAGATTCCAAAATGGCTTCTTTCGTTTTTTGCTTCTTTTTGTTTTAGGTGCTAGCGCCTGCTTAAACTGCCAAGCAACTGCCTAGACCACCTATAAATGGAAAGTGTCAAAGAGTATAGCCGCCCGGCTATACGATATAGAATATTCTAAACGTATAGCCGGCCGGCTATACTCTATAAATAGAATGTGTCAAAAGTATAACCGTGCGGCTATACTATTTAAAGAGAATATTTTAAACTGTACCACGCTCCCAACCACCACCATCTTCTTCGTCATTGTCATCATCGTCATAAAATTCCGAAGAATTATCGTCTGATCCCAAAACTGGATGAAATCCTGAAAAGTTGTGGGAGAAATTCAGAGCAGGGTTTGTTGTTGTTGTCTTGCTGATAATAACTCTCGTCAAGTCTCCAAATTGGCGGTGGCATGCTACAAAGCCCTTCTATTTTCCCTACCAATACACCCCGTTTCAACTTTTTCACCATTGATGATCCTAACGGCTGCCTAGTGACCTCTTAGCAATCGCCTAGACTGCCTAGCCCGCCTAGCCCGCCTAGACCGCTTAGTGCCCGCCTAGACCGCCTAGCAACCGCCTAGACTGCCTAGCACGCCTACCCCACCTAGCCCCAGCCTAGACCGCCTAGCGCCCGCCTAGACCGCTTACTGCTCGCCTAGCGACCGCCTAGACCGCCTAGCGCCCACCTAGCAACTGCCTAGCTCGCCTAGCGCCTGCCTAGGCCATTTATTCCGTAACATTAACAATATGAGTGAGTGTGTTCAAGGATTTAACTTGTAAAGAAGATTTTCGAACAACAATAGATAACCCAGAGAAGTTTCATGGAGTTATCACAATGGTGGCTCTTGGCCAAGTAAGTCTCATGGAGATGGTGTTATCACAATGTGCTATTTGCATTAGCTGTTTATCTTTTCTGTTCTTTTTGTTCATGTCTTGTTTTGATTTGTCTCTGTTACGTGCTATGTTTATTCATTTTAGCATCTCTAGTAGTCATTTTCACCGTTAAAGTATAAAGGTTTTTGCTTAAATATCGGTGGCTCAAGGCTGGTTTTGTTATTTTCCGTTGATTTGTAAATCTTTCGGATAATGTCCCTTGTGTCTATTTGCTTGATATTACAATTTGCAGTTCTATTTTTCTACTTGAAGCCTAGTACTAGTTCTATTTGACTGAGACCTTTCAATTACATTTCATGAACATTAGTACCCACTTTATGTGAGTAGGCTCGTTATTGTTTTTATTTAGTAAACTAGGCTACAACTGACATAGTATCTTTTATTTTAAACATCTTTATTTGCTGAATGTAACCACTTTCCAATCGAAATCTTCGGGTATATAAATGTTGTGGGATACATTTCTGAATGTAATTTGGGAAAGCGTGCCAAATGGTTATGCTATTCATGATATTTTGATGCTTGTTCATATAATTCTGACTTATGTGTTTGTTCTAAAACAATTGGTTAATGTTGTTGCATCTGTCTTGTAGCACTGCTGTGGTTGCTTATTGCAGCATGTATCAAGACGAGGAGGTCTCAGACTGCTAAGAGAGCAATTGAACAGGTGGAGCAGTGGCTCTCAAAAGACGGGTGGCCAGAATACTATGACGGCAAGGCAGGGAGATATGTCAGGAAGCAAGCGAGGAAGTACTAGACCTGGAGCATCTCAGGATATCTGGTAGCTAAATTGATGATTGAGAACCCAGCCAATCTTTCACTAATCCCTCTTGAAGAGGACAAGAACATAGCCAAGCCAAGGCTCACCCACTCCGCTTCCTTTTGAGTCAAACCAGCGGCAGCAGCATACATGATGCATTACAGGTATATGAGATTTCTCTTTACCCATGAATGCTGGAGGGAAACTAGCTGATTAAGTTGATTAAGTTGCAGTTTTGTGATTCATTAACATGATTTGCTAGTATGCTACTAAGACATACAACCCCTGCATTTTCCTTTTCAGTTTCTTAATATCTGGTTTTGAATAGTAAATGTTGTATAGGTGTTTTGGAAAGTAATGCAACATGGCCGTTGTTCTGCTTACCAATTATTTGGCTAAGTATTTCAAGCTTTTATGGTGGGAATTTGCCTCATATTTTCCTGCCAAATTCAGTTTGATAGGTGTGCAAATATTTTTCTTTGTGTTGTTGATAAAATTATTTTACAAATGTGCCAAATTGTGATTTGGGGAAATAAGTAATGTGAGAAACAATATATATTCAAAAGGCTTGTAGCTCAAGTGGTTAAGACAAGTTCAGATTTGTTACTCTCAATATATAGACAGGGGCAAAAATAACTATATATAATGACTCTTAAAAGACCTCGACCCTCAAGTTCAGATTTGAACAAGTGTCAAAGTCTGTACTTTTACTCTTTGGCAGCTGCTTATGGCTTTGAGCCCAATGCTCTCGACCCTGTATGTTCTTTGTTCTTCAGGTGATTTCTTTCTGTAAAATTACTACTGGACTTTCTAATAGAATCTTCACTCAGATACCACTTTATGTACATAGAAGATAAGGAATGTCTCACTTACAAGTCTGACGATACACTATACTCCACCTAACTTATAAGACACAGAAACTGCCTAGCTTATACCCTAACCTTGCTAGGTGATTCCCTATCTTAGCCTAGTCTTGGTGGTAACAGACGGAAAATCAATAAAATTCATAACAAAATCATTATTGTGGTTGTCAAAAGCACAGAATTGAATTAGTAAAATTTATAATTCTACTTGATTGATAAACTTAAAGGATAAGGACTTTGCATCAAGTTTCAGGAAACAAATGTGTAGTCTGGTGGAAAAAGAAAAGTACCAAGTGGGGAACTACTCTTAAATGATTGTGTCGATAACCTTACCTGCAGAACACCAGCAGCAGCTAAAATCTGCTGCCCATGGCAGATGGATGCAACTGGTTTCCCAGCTTCCACGATTTGCTTCACCATTTCAATAACTTTCTCATCATATTCTGGAGCTTGACCTCCAGGGATTACAAGAGCATCGTAACTTGAGACATCAATAGTATCAAAATCAGCTGTTAAAGTGAAAATGTGGCCTGGCTTCTCACTTTAGGTTTGATCACCTTCAAAATCATGGACAGCAGTTGTGTAGATATCACCAGCTTTTTTCTTGGGGCAAACTCCGTCAACATGGCATCCTAGAGCTTGAAGGGATTGAAAAGGCACAGTTATCTCATAATCTTCCATGAAATCCTACAAACATTGAGGGAGAGAAATTGAATGATGCTCAGTAGTAATTGTATAAGAATTAGTTCATTATAACAAACGACAAACCCTTTTAAATTAAAACAAGCAGCCAATCTTGATTTATTAACAATCTTATCACTGTTGTTGAACAAGTACAAGTTTGATCCAGAATAACAAGTAAAAAGAATATTTTGATGTAGGACAGCTTAAATAATCAGCCTACAACTACATATGTGGTGGGCTTTAAGGTTTGTCAACTTGTATTTTTAACTTTTGGCATTGTAGAGTTTTAGTAGGATTCAGAAGATTAGATTTTAAAGGGGGGAAAGGGGCTGGTTCAAGAAAATAGGTTGCATGAAATCTGAAAGCAACTAAGTTATGGATTTAGGGCTGCGTTTGGACTTCGGAGAGCTAATAAACGGTAATATGGGCAATCTTTAGGGTTTTAGGGATTTAGGGGGGAAGGAAGGGAAGAATTGAACTGTAAAGAAATAAGCAAGCATTTTTAGTCCTTTATTCAATTTCAACATAAAACTTGAGATTTGAAATTCTTGAGTAGTCTACAACCCTTGGAATCATTATACTAAATGTAAAGTGGTCCTTTAAAATTCATAAGGGAGCTACTTGTCTATGTATCGTTCCAAATCCAGAATTCGCACGACCTGAAAATAGGCAGTATGCATGTTTGGATTTACCTTCACATTTCACACAAATGACCTGAAAAACAAGTATGCCAATGTAAAACACAACTCAAATAAGCAAACCTATGAAGCATACCGCCAACACATTGCATACATACATAGGAATGAATAACAATACCACATCACAATTTGTGGCAAATCTAGTAAAGCATATTGAGGCTTTCCTCCCTCTCTCTTTCAACAATATATGTCAACATCAGTTCTTTTAAGTTTATTTTTATGCCCATTCATGATGTCATATTTAGAAAATATGGTTTTGTTTATGTCACATCCCGAGATCGACTCCATCGTAACACGATATTGTCAGCTTCGGGCCCCCCTCTCTGCCCTCACGGTTTTGTTTCTGGGAACTCACGAGCAACTTCCCAGTGGGTCACCCATCCTGGGATTGCTCTAGCCCCAACTTATTTAACTTCGAAGTTCCCATGACTCTGAAGCCAATGAGCTCCTAAAAAGCCTCGTGCTAGATGGAGGTGGGCATGTACATATAAGACACATCATCCCCTCTTCGTTGGTCAATGTGGGATGTTACAATCCACTCCCCTTAAGGGCCCGACATCCTCGTCGGCACACTCGCACCACACGACAGAGTGGCTATGATACCAAATTGTCACATCCCGAGATCGGCTCCGTCGTAGCACGATATTGTTCGCTTTGGGCCCCCCTATTTGCCTTCACGGTTTTGTTTCTGGGAACTCACGAGCAACTTCCTAATAGGTCACCCATCCTAGAATTGCTCTAGCCCTAACTCGCTTAACTTCGGAGTTCCCATGACTTTGAAGCCAGTGAGCTCCCAAAAGGCATCATGCTAGATGGAGGCGGGCATGTACATATAAGGCACATCACCCCCTCTCCGTTGGTCAATGTGGGATGTTACAATCCACTTCCCTTAAGAGCCCGAAGTCCTCGTCGGCACATTTGCACCACACGGCAGAGTGGCTATGATACCAAATTGTCATATCCAGGGATTGGCTTCGCCGTAACACGATATTGTCCACTTTGGCCCCCCCTCTTTGCCTTCACGGTTTTGTTTCTGGGAACTCACGAGCAACTTCCTAATAGGTCACCCATTCTGGGATTGCTCTATCCCCAACTCGCTTACCTTCGAAATTCTCATGACTCCGAAGCCAATGAGCTCCCAAAAGGCCTCGTGCTAGATAGAGGCGGGTATGTACATATAAGGCACATCAACCCCTCTCCGTTGGTCGATGTAGTATGTTATAGTTTGAGTTTGTTTAGGTTGCAGAATGGATTCGAAAAGAGACGAAGTTGGGGTTTGGATTTGGGTAGAGAAGAAAATAGAGAGGAAGAGGAAGAACTGGGTTTTGAGGGCAAAGTTGTGAGTTTTGTAGGTTGTTCTTGATCTTCTTTTTTGTGAGAAGAGGCGTAGTTAGCTGGATGGAGAGAGAGAGAGAGAGAAAGAAAGAAACCAAAAACTGACCAAAAGTGTTATCTAGCCGATAAGTGGGCAATAAGTATGTATTTATAGGTGATATTTGTAAAATTTGTGGGGAGAGGTGGTATTTCCAGTTAAATTAAAAAAATGGTGGCATTTAGCTATCCTTTTTTTTTTTTTTTTTTTTTTTTGGGTGAATAAAAGGCACGTAATATGATTACCTTAGAAGGAGTGACATTATGTGTAATTTTGATATTTTTTAATTACATTATTGTAAATTTAGGTACTACTTTTTGGTCTTTGGCCTTGTGCTAATTAGGTGAAATTGTATTCCTATTTTCCAAGTTAGTAAGCTATATAATGTTTTCAAATGAAAGCCCCTTCATTTTAAAACAATAATAAATAAATTATGAGGAGCACTTTATTTTAACGAAATTGGGCCTCTGTTTTTATTGGGCTACGTTGCTTGTGCAGGCATCATGTTTGTCATGTTTTATAAGATCAGGGGTAAAAGCGTAAAAGTACAAGAAGAGACTATCCAAGTTGAAGGTTTTTGAGGTTATCAAAATTTTTATTTTTATTTTTGTTGGTGAATGTTTTTGAGGCTAATTGAATTGGACCCCACGAAAGGAATAACCGACTTTAATTGCCTACTCCTTTTTTCCTTTTCACTTTTTTTCATTTTGGTGATGAAGAGGAAAAGATGTTTTAGGAATATGTTTCCTCAAAGTATCAAGAAACTTGTGGTTTGGTTTATAAAGCTATGCGTTTTTAATTGGTAAGTATGATTTCTTTTTGGTTAAGTTAGGCACATCCAATTCACAACTAGACATAGATAGTGGTAATTCAAGATTCTTCCAAAAAAAAAGAATCAAAAAATTATTTTTGATATTGTCAAGCTGAAAACACATAATTATTATAAATAAATAATAAAAATTCTCATGCCCTCCGAATGTCACCTCCCCACACTCTTTACTTCACGATTAAGAAAGTCACAAAAAGGACAAAACAAAACATGCACACGGCGCTTTGAATTTGATAATGCAAACTTTATTGGCAGCAGCATCTATATTTTTAGGCCACTCTACCAAGCCAGTTACAATAAATCAATTGTTGCAAGTCTGTGTTTTTTTCTATTAAGCTAGACCTCGTTGTCAATGCTCATATATTAATAATTGAACTCTTGTTGTAATTATGGGTTTTAGTGAATTGCCACCATAGCTAGACTCAAAATTTTGTGCAGTTCATATGACATCAAGCTTCACTAATAATGTTTCCATGCCATATAGTACTATTCATTGTGTACTTGATAGTATAAATGAAGTTACACTAATTTGAAAATATGGCAAAGTTATAAATAAAAAATAAGTACACATTGGTAGTTTACTTGTTTCATCATTGGATGATAAATAAAAAGTTTTAAATTTTTAAAAGTCCTTTAATGTATAGATGTAACAAACGAGACTCAAACTATTATCGTGAAGACATGGATGAATATTTATATTAGATCATAAACTCCAACAAATGTATAAAACCTTATAAAGAATCAATCTTTGTGAAGCAATTTAGGATACAAACTTTTCTAGACTTGTACTAGTGTTCATGCACTATGTAAATTTATATTATATAGCTTAATTCATTTCGCCGGTTAATATTTAGAAACTTAAGTATTTAATTATAGGACATTCCAACAAAAAAATATTAAATTATATTTTTTCTTTCTGGTTACAATTAAATTATATATTTTATCCAACAGAAAAAAAAAGTTGTATTTATTTATTTATCTCCTCCCATTATCTCTCTCCGTGTCTCTTTTATTTTCCCATTTTCCTGTAATTTTCTCTTCCCTCATATATATATATACGACACTCTTTAGCTTCTTCTCAGTTATTTATTTCTTCTCCAATTCTCTGCTTCTTTTTCTCTCTCTCTCTCTGCGATCTCATCAAAACCCTAATCTTGATCGCAGAAAAGCTGAAATTTCATCTGATTACTCTAGAAAAATCAAAGTTTGACGATCCGATCATCGTGAAATTGCCTGAACCGAACCTTACTCAGTTCAATTTCCTATACACTTAATAGTTGCCTCAGAATTTTCGTTTCCCCAATTCAGTCTCTGCTCTTCGATCAATTCTTGGATTTTTGGGGATTGATCGGCTTTTATTTCAAAGAGGTTTTGATTCGTGCAATGCTTTCAGTTTCAATATGAAGTTAAAGAGGAGGAGGGCGGTTGAAGTGGTCAGTATATTTCTATCAATGGAACCGATTTTCATTGTTTTCTACATACATGCACATGTTATATATGTACATGAATAAAGTATTGTTTTTCTCTATATTTTAATTTTGACAAGTCGATGGTTTTGGGTTATGTTTTTTTTCCCATTTATTTTGATTTATTTCTCTTGGTTGTTTAAGTTATGATGCTATCTTAGTGAGTGGAACTCTCTTATGCAATTACTTATTTGGCTGGTTTTGGGCATCAATTTGCTATCTTTTCTTTGGTTTTTAAATAGGTATAGATACAACTAAAAAAGATAAGAATTTTTTTCTTTCTCATATTAAATTGTTTATACAATTTGGAGTACAAGAATGTAAAATATTCAGTACATTTATGTTACGCACGATAAAATATTACTTTGGGAGTTGAGTCACTGTGCTTACCTGAAGGAGTTAGATAGAAATGGTGAGTGTGTGAATGATCATAACTTTCACTATAAGCATCTAATTGAATATGGCGCTCTGAAGATTTTCAGTGATTCAACTTTGTTACCCTTATCATTTGTTGGGGGCAATAGGAGTGAACTCAACCATTTCATGCCGAGGGTCATTAAGGTTGATCCAGTCGCCCTTTGGGAAACTTTTTCCACTGCCTCAATTTCTGACACTAGGTTCAATGTTGTTTATTTTCTGTACTTAGAATTGGACACTGTTACCAAAGTAAGAGGGGCTAAGGTGCGGTAAAACAAAGTATCTCTAGGATACAGTCTTGTTTGCACTACCTTGTATGTGCCTTTCTCAGTGTTTGCACTATGTTGTATGTGCATTTCTCACTGTTTGCACTACATTGTATGTCCCTGCCTCATTATATTTGGAGAACTTATTGTTTACAAATGATTCATCCATTTCTGGTATTTTATGTGTATATGCTGGTTGGGTACTAATTTCATATACAGGAATTTGGAGATTCTGCAAGTACTGACAATTATTATTACCTTTTTTTTGGCCTTGTTTTTTCTCAGCCTCCAAAAATTAGATCCTTCATCAATAGTGTCACTGCTGTTCCACTTGAGAATATAGAGGGACCTCTGAAAGGTTTTGTCTGGGAGTTTGATAAGGTGGTTTTTATAACCTTTACCTGTTACATTGATATGGTTATTTATATGCAGTTTGACTTATGTGCTTTTATTTTGGGTGCAGGGAGATTTCCATCATTGGGTTGATCTTTTCAACCATTTCGATTCATTTTTTGAGAAGCACATAAAATCCAGGAAGGATTTGCAGGTCGAGGATAATTTTCTGGACTCTGATCCTCCTTTTCCAAGAGAAGCTGTTCTTCAAGTTCTCCGTGTAATAAGGATAATTTTGGAGAACTGCACAAATAAGCACTTCTATAGTTCTTATGAGGTAAAAATTTCACCACTCGCCTTCTCAGTTTTTGTTGAGTAATTTTCAGTTGTTTAGGATTAGTTAGTCTGCTTTAGAATTTTTGTAACTTCTACATATTATTATACCATTATTGCTTTCTGGGGTTACTAAAGACAAACATCTGCCCACCTTTTATATTTGAGGTGAAGGCTTATTGAGTTGTGTTGCGATGATTGATCATCTTGCATTTCATTGCGTTATTCCTTCATCTTTTCTTTAGCCAATTCAATTAGTTTTAATTTCTTTCTTCTTTTTCCCATTCATTAGTTTGATGTCATCTTTGTTTCCATATGTTATTGCAGCAGCATCTTTCATCTCTGCTTGCTTGCACTGATGCGGATGTGGTTGAGGCTTGCCTGCAGACTTTAGCTGCTTTTTTAAAGAAAACAGTTGGAAAGTATTCCATTAGAGATGCTGCACTAAATTCAAAGTTATTCGCTCTTGCACAAGGTTGGGGGGGAAAAGAAGAGGGTCTTGGATTAATTGCTTGTGCAATACAGAATGGTTGTGGCCCTATTGCTTATGAGTTGGGTTGCACCCTTCATTTTGAGTTCTATGCATCGAATGATTCAACAGATGACATCCCTGCCACCCAAGGTTTACAAATCATTCATTTACCTAACATCAACACTCATCCAGAGGCAGATCTTGAGCTTTTGAGTAAATTAATTGCCGAGTACAATGTACCCTCTAGCTTAAGATTTTCTTTATTGACAAGATTGCGGTTTGCAAGGGCTTTTGGTTCTTTAGCTACCCGCCAGCAATATGCATGCATTCGCTTGTATGCCTTCATAGTTCTTGTTCAAGCAAATAGTGATGCTGACGACCTTGTTTCTTTCTTCAACACTGAACCTGAGTTTGTCAATGAGTTAGTGTCATTATTGAGCTTTGAAGATGTGGTTCTTGAGAAAATTCGAATTCTATGTCTTCTTTCATTGGTTGCTCTATGTCAAGATCGGTCCCGACAGCCTACTGTTTTGACTGCTGTCACGTCAGGTGGGCAACGTGGAATCCTATCCAGTCTCATGCAGAAGGCCATTGATTCTGTCATCAGTGATACATCAAAGTGGTCTGTTGTTTTTGCTGAGGCTCTATTATCTCTTGTCACAGTTTTGGTTTCATCATCATCAGGTTGTTCAGCCATGCGTGAAGCTGGTTTTATCCCCACCCTTCTGCCTTTGCTTAAAGATACAAACCCACAGCACCTTCATCTGGTCAGCACATCTGTGCATATTTTAGAAGCTTTTATGGATTACAGTAATCCAGCTGCTGCATTGTTTCGGGATTTGGGTGGTTTAGACGATACCATCTCTCGCCTTCATGTGGAAGTGTCTCATGTAGAAAATGGCTCAAAGCAACAAGATGAAGATTCTGAGATCATTGGGAGGAGTGCTCAAGTAGTTGCAGGGACTTCCACAGAGCTAGACAACATGCAGCCTTTGTATTCAGAACCACTAGTTTCCTATCACCGACGTTTGCTGATGAAAGCTTTACTGCGTGCTATATCCCTTGGAACTTATGCCCCGGGGAATACTGCCCGTGTTTATGGCTCAGAGGAGAGTCTATTGCCACAATGCTTATGCATAATATTTAAAAGGGCAAAAGATTTTGGTGGTGGGGTGTTTTCACTTGCAGCCACAGTCATGAGTGATTTAATTCACAAAGATCCTACCTGTTTTCCGGTCTTGGATGCAGCAGGCCTTCCTTCTGCTTTCTTGGATGCTATAATGGATGGTGTTCTTTGCTCTGCTGAAGCCATTACGTGCATACCACAGTGTCTAGATGCCCTTTGCATAAATACTAATAATGGTCTTGAGGCTGTGAAAGAGCGAAATGCTATGAGGTGCTTTGTGAAGATATTTACTTCAAGAACCTATCTGCGTGCCCTTACCAGTGATACACCCGGCTCCTTATCTAGTGGATTGGATGAATTAATGCGCCATGCTTCCTCATTGCGTGGGCCTGGAGTGGATATGCTGATTGAGATCTTAAATGCAATTTCAAAAATTGGACATGGGGTTGATGCTTCGTGCATGTCAACTGATCCTTTGTGCTCTTCTACTCCTGTTCCAATGGAAACTGATGGAGAAGAGAGGAACTTGGTCCTGTCTGATGGAGGGGAATCATCCAAAATGGATAGTTCAGAGCAGACTGCTGAACCATCCTCTGATTCTTTAACAGGGAATGTTGAATTATTCCTTCCTGATTGTGTCAGCAATGCTGCACGTCTTCTTGAAACAATACTTCAGAATGGTGACACATGCCGTATATTTGTGGAGAAGAAAGGAGTTGAAGCTGTCCTGCAGTTATTTACCTTGCCTTTATTGCCTCTTTCTGTTTCAGTTGGCCAGAGCATTTCTGTTGCATTTAAGAACTTCTCACCACAACATTCTGCTTCGTTGGCTCGGGCAGTGTGTTCATTCTTGAGAGAGCATCTGAAATCAACAAATGAACTCTTAGTTTCAGTTGGAGGGACTCAACTTGCTGTGGTGGAATCTGCAAAGCAAACTAAGGTTTTGAAACATCTTTCAAGTCTTGAAGGTATTCTGTCTCTGTCTAATGTTCTGTTGAAAGGGACGACTACTGTGGTGTCTGAACTGGGTGCAGCAGATGCTGATGTATTAAAAGATCTTGGGAGTACATACAGAGAAATCATTTGGCAGATATCTCTGTGTAACGATGTCAAGTCAGATGAGAAGATCAGTGCTGAACAAGAACCAGAGAGTGCTGAGGCAGCACCTTCTAATGCGTCTGGAAGAGAGAGTGATGATGATGCTAATATTCCAATGGTGAGATATATGAATCCAGTTTCTATTAGGAATCAGCCCTTGTGGGGCGGAGAACGCGAGTTTCTTTCAGTTGTTCGTTCTGGTGAAGGTTTGCACCGTCGTAGTCGACATGGGTTTACACGCATAAGGGGTGGAAGGACAGGCCGTCATTTGGAGGCTTTAAATGTTGATTCTGAATCTTCATCAACAGTATCGGAGACATCTACTTCCCAGGATTTAAAAAAGAAAAGTCCTGATGTTCTTGTGATTGAAATTCTCAACAAGCTGGCTTCCACACTACGCTCCTTCTTCACGGCTCTTGTCAAGGGGTTCACATCACCAAATCGGCGTAGAGTTGACTCAGGGTCATTGACTTTGGCTTCAAAGACTCTTGGAACTGCCCTAGCTAAAGTGTTTCTTGAGTCTCTTAGTTTCTCTGGGCATTCTACATCAGCTGGTCTTGATACTTCACTTTCAGTCAAGTGTCGATATCTGGGAAAAGTTGTGGATGATATGGTGTCACTTACATTTGACAGCAGGCGGCGTACTTGTTATACCACAACAGTGAATAATTTCTATGTCCATGGTACCTTTAAGGAGCTGCTTACGACATTTGAAGCTACTAGTCAGTTGTTATGGACCCTACCATACTGTGTGCCAACATCAGGTATTGATCATGAAAAGACAGCTGAAGGAAGTAAACTGTCCCACAGTCCATGGCTGCTTGATACTTTACAGAGCTATTGCCGTGTGCTCGAGTATTTTGTTAATTCTTCTTTACTCTTGTCGACAACCTCTGCATCCCAGGCGCAGTTGCTTGTTCAGCCAGTTGCAGTTGGTCTGTCAATTGGGCTTTTTCCTGTGCCAAGGGACCCTGAAGTTTTTGTTCGTATGCTTCAATCTCAAGTTCTTGATGTGATACTTCCTGTCTGGAACCACCCCATGTTTCCAAATTGTAGTCCAGGTTTCATTGCTTCTATTGTCTCGCTTGTTATGCATGTATATTCTGGTGTTGGAGACGTGAAGCAGAATCGCAGTGGCATTTCCGGAAGTACAAACCAACGATTCATGCCACCACCACTTGATGAAAGTACTATTACTACCATTGTTGAGATGGGTTTTTCAAGGGCCAGAGCAGAGGATGCGCTTAGGCGGGTGGAAACAAATAGCGTTGAAATGGCCATGGAATGGCTCTTTAGTCATCCCGAGGATCCTGTGCAGGAGGATGATGAACTGGCTCGGGCACTTGCTCTTTCACTAGGAAATTCATCAGACGCATCCAAAGCTGATAGTGTTGACAAGTCTGTGGATGTGCTGGCAGAAGAGGGTTGTGTGAAAGCTCCCCCTGTTGACGATATCCTTGCGGCATCGGTGAAGTTGTTTCAGAGTAGTGATACCATGGCATTCCCATTGACAGATTTGCTTGTGACACTTGGCAATCGGAACAAAGGTGAAGACCGACCAAGAGTTGTATCTTATCTAATTCAGCAGCTAAAGAACTGTCCATTAGATTTTCCTAAGGATACCAGTGCATTGAGTATGGTATCACATGTTATAGCATTGCTTCTTTCTGAGGATGGAAGCACAAGGGAAACTGCTGCACAACATGGTATTGTGTCTGCTGCAATAGATATCTTGATGAACTTTAAGGCCAAAGATGAGTCGGGCAATGAGCTTATTGTCCCAAAATGTATCAGTGCTCTACTGCTTATCTTGGATAATATGTTGCAATCAAGGCCCAAAATTTCTGAAAACGTTGAAGATACTCAGACAGGGTCTCTGCCTGAATCTGGGGAGCATGCGTCCTTGTCAATCCCTGCATCAGATACAGAGAAAAAACAGGCTACAGATACCCATGAAAAAGATTCTTCCACGGCATTTGAGAAAATATTGGGGAAATCTACTGGTTATTTGACTATGGAAGAATGTCATAAGGTGCTGGCAGTTGCTTGTGACTTGATAAAGCAGCATGTCCCGGCTATGATCATGCAGGCTGTTTTACAGTTATGTGCTCGCTTGACGAAAACTCATTCTCTAGCTTTACAGTTCCTTGAAAATGGGGGCTTGGTAGCTCTTTTTGGCCTTCCAAGAAGTTGTTTTTTCCCTGGATATGACACTGTTGCATCTGCTATAGTTCGCCATCTCCTTGAAGATCCGCAAACACTTCAAACAGCAATGGAATTGGAGATTCGCCAAGCCCTGAGTGGCAACAGGCATGGTGGGCGTAATTCTTCAAGGACATTTTTGACATCAATGGCACCTGTGATCTCAAGAGATCCTCTGGTTTTTATGAAAGCTGCTGCTGCAGTTTGTCAGTTGGAGACATCAGGAGGTAGGACCTTCGTTGTGTTACTGAAGGAAAAAGAGAAGGAAAAGGACAAATCTAAAGTATCAGCTGTTGAGGCTGGATTATCTTCCAACGAATGCGTACGGATTCCTGAAAATAAGCTACATGATGTATCAGGTAAATGCTCAAAAAATCACAAAAAAATCCCTGCCAATCTCACTCAAGTGATAGATCAGCTTCTTGAAATAGTCTTGAAATACCATTTCCCAAAGAGCCAGGAGGACTGTGTGAATAACCTATCTGCTATGGAGGTTGATGAGCCTGCTATGAAGGTAAAGGGTAAATCAAAGGTTGATGAGACAAGGAAATTGGAGTCTGAATCTGAAAGATCTGCAGGGTTGGCCAAGGTGACCTTTGTTCTCAAGTTACTGAGTGATATTCTTCTGATGTATGTACATGCTGTTGGGGTTATACTTAAACGGGATTTGGAAATGACTCATTTGCGGGGATCTAATCAACTGGATGGTCCTGGACTTGGTGGTATACTTCACCATGTAATTCATCGGTTGCTTCCGCTCACCATAGATAAATCTGCTGGACCTGATGAATGGAGAGACAAGTTGTCTGAAAAAGCTTCTTGGTTTCTGGTAGTTCTGTGTGGTCGTTCCAGTGAAGGGCGCAGACGAGTAATTAATGAACTTGTTAAAGCTTTATCCTCATTTTCTAACTTGGATTCTAGTTCCACTAAGAGCATCTTATTGCCGGATAAAAGGGTTTATGCTTTTGTTGATTTGGTGTATTCTATTTTGTCAAAAAACTCATCATCCAGCAACTTACCTGGTTCCGGGTTTTCACCAGACATAGCGAAAAGCATGATAGATGGGGGAATGATTCAGTGTCTGACTGGTATCCTTCGTGTGATTGATTTGGACCATCCTGATGCTCCCAAAACTGTGAATTTGATACTCAAGGCTTTAGAAAGCCTAACAAGGGCTGCTAATGCTAGTGAGCAATATTTTAAATCTGATGAGACGAACAAGAAAAAATCCACAGGATTAAATGGAAGATCTGATGATCAGGTAACTGCCGCATCAGGGGATAATACTGTGGGGCATAATCAGAATGTAAGCAGTGAGCAGGATGCGACAGATGCCGTACAGACTGAACAAGTGGGTCAAGGAGCTTCTCAAAGTGAAGGTAATCCTGATGCAAATCCAAACCAGTTGGTGGAACAGGACATGAGAATAGATGTTGAAGGACCACTAGCTTCTAATCCACCTATGGAGCTTGGGATGGATTTTATGCGTGAAGAGATTGATGGTAATGTATTACACAACACTGATCAAATTGATATGACTTTCCGTGTTGAGAATAGGGCAGATGATGATATGGGTGATGAAGATGATGACATGGGTGATGATGGTGAGGATGATGATGATGATGATGAGGGAGAGGATGAGGATGAGGATATAGCAGAAGATGGTGGTGGTATGATGTCTCTTGCTGATACTGACGTGGAAGACCATGATGATACTGGCTTGGGAGATGATTACAATGATGAGATGATAGATGAAGACGATGACGATTTTCATGAGAATCGTGTCATAGAGGTGAGATGGAGGGAAGCCCTTGATGGGCTTGATCATTTGCAGGTACTTGGACAGCCTGGAGCTGCAAGTGGTCTCATTGATGTTGCTGCTGAACCTTTTGAAGGGGTTAACGTGGATGACCTGTTTGGTCTACGAAGGCCGTTAGGTTTTGATCGCCGCCGTCAGACAAGTAGGTCTTCCTTTGAGCGAACTGTTACAGAAGCAAATGGCTTTCAACATCCTCTGCTTTTAAGACCTTCCCAGTCTGGGGATTTGGTCTCAATGTGGTCAGCAGGTGGAAATTCATCCCGGGATTTAGAAGCCCTGTCATCAGGGAGCTTTGATGTAGCTCATTTCTACATGTTTGATGCTCCTGTTCTTCCATATGATCACGTACCAAGCAATCTTTTTGGTGACCGTTTGGGTGGTGCAGCACCCCCACCTTTGACTGATTATTCTGTAGGTATGGACTCATTGCAGTTATCAGGACGAAGAGGACCAGGTGATGGTCGATGGACTGATGATGGCCAACCTCAAGCAGGTCCTCAAGCAGCTGCTATTGCACAGGCAGTGGAGGAACAGTTTATATCTGAATTACGAAGTATTGCTCCTGCTGATATCCCTGCTGAACGACAGTCCCAGCACTCCAGAGTGCAGGAGAAACAGCCAGATCACCCTCCTTTAAATGATAGTCAAGTAGCAGCAGAGAATGATGACAGCAGCCATCAACGAAACGAAGATCAACATCAAGACAGGGGTGGTGAAACAACACATCAAATTATCTCAAGTTCTGAGAGTGTTCCCTGCCAAGAACAAGTCAATCCAGAATCTGTTGGTTCCGAGGTACCTGAACCAATGTCAATTCAGCCACCTTCACTGAACGGTACACCAAATGATAGCATGGACACTGGTGATGGGAATGGTGCTGCTGGTGAGCAACTTGGGTCAGTGCCAGAGTTAGTCAGTGCTGATTTACAATGTGAAGGGGGTTCTGAAGTTCCTTCTAATGTACATGATGTTACAGTGGAGGCCGTGGGTTGTGATGGATCCTCAAGAACAGAGGGCCAGGTTGGTAATGTGTCGGCAAGTTTCGGCTTCGAAGCACCTAATCCAGGTGATTCTCATACTTCTTCGGTGCCAACAAATGTTGATGTTGATATGAATTGCATTGATGAAGTAAATCAAACGGGCCATCCCATGCCTGCTTTTGAAAATGGTACAGATGAGCCATCAAGACAAAACACATTGGTTGCTCCAGAAGCTAATCAGGCTGAACCAGTTAGTTTGAATAATGAGGCTCCTGGTGCTAATGCAATTGATCCGACCTTCCTGGAGGCTCTGCCTGAAGATTTGAGGGCTGAAGTTCTTGCTTCACAGCAAGCTCAGCCTGTTCAACCTCCATCTTATGCACCACCTTCTGTGGATGACATCGATCCTGAGTTTTTAGCTGCCCTTCCTCCAGATATCCAAGCAGAAGTTTTGGAGCAACAAAGAGCACAAAGGTTTGCACAGCAGGCTGAGGGACAACCAGTTGACATGGACAATGCTTCGATAATTGCTACTTTTCCTGCTGATTTACGCGAAGAGGTTTCCATCTGGAACTGCATCTTTTCATGACCATTGATTGTAGTGATTGTTTGTCTTAATATGTAGTAATCCTGTATTTTCCGTTTATCCAGGTACTTTTAACTTCTTCAGAAGCTGTTCTGTCTGCATTGCCTTCTCCATTACTTGCAGAAGCCCAAATGCTAAGAGATCGAGCAATGAGTCATTATCAGGCTCGCAGTCTTTTTGGAAGCAGCCACAGGCTAAATAATCGGAGAAATGGATTGGGTTTTGACCGGCAGACAGTAATCGACAGGGGAGTTGGAGTCACAATTGGTCGGAGGGCAGTTTCTGCTCTTGCGGACAGCTTGAAGGTTAAGGAAATTGAAGGAGAGCCGCTTCTGGATGCTAATGCTTTGAAAGCCTTAATTAGGCTTCTACGACTAGCCCAGGTAAAACCATATTCTAATTATGGGAATTGGAGTATCACACGTGCTAGCTAGATTTTTTTTGGAAGTACTTTGCTGCCAAACTGGTAACGTGCAGACATGCATTCACGCATAAAATCATTTATTGAATTATATTCTGCTAACATGGTGGATTTGTTTTGGTTTGTGTGTTTAGCCCCTTGGTAAAGGACTCTTGCAGAGGCTCTTGTTAAACTTGTGCACCCATAGTGTTACAAGAGCAATCTTAGTTCGTCTTTTGCTCGATATGATCAGACCTGAGGCTGAAGGCTCAGTCAGTGGACTAGCAACTATTAATTCCCAAAGGCTTTACGGTTGCAATTCAAATGTTGTTTATGGTCGATCACAGTTATTGGATGGTAATCGTCTGATGCGGCAATAATTATCTACATGATTTTTTATTTTTGAACTATGAATTTATATGTTCTATTTTCATTTTCAACAGGTCTTCCTCCCTTGGTGTTGCGTCGAATTCTTGAGATATTGACTTATTTGGCTACAAATCATTCTGCTGTGGCAAATATGTTGTTCTACTTTGACTTCTCAGGCGTTCCTGAACCATTTTCTATCCATATGGAAACCAAGAAGGATAAAGGCAAGGAGAAAATGGGAGAGGGAGGATATTCATCAAAAATTTCTGGAAACACCCAGGACGTGAATGTTCCCCTGATATTGTTCCTAAAACTCCTGAACCGGCCTCATTTTTTACATGGCACTGCTCATCTTGAGCAGGTACAACCTTTTTTTTAATTTATCATGAACCAGTTTTTGAATGTGCAAATAAGGGTTAAGTCTCTTGTTTGGTGTCCACCTCCATACTACCTCAACTGTGCCTGAGAGATTATCTAAATTTAAGATTCAATGTGTTTGAGTGTAATTCAATTGTTTAAAATGTCGAACTCATCACCCATTATGGACCAAACCCCGTACCTGCTCCTTAATTATTTTGCTCTTGTTAAAAGTTTCTAAATAATTAAGATGGCATATGGTAGATGACTTGCGTCTTGCTTGCCATATATCTTGATGTAACCTGGAGTCATAATTTGATTATTTAATTTTAAAATCATACCTTGCTATCTATCTAATATTTTAAAAATTCAGCTCAATCTTATGGTTTTTTTTGTGTGCTACAGGTCATGGGCCTGCTTCAGGTTGTTGTTTATACCTCAGCTTCAAAATTAGAGGGTCGTTCTCAATCTGAAAGGGTAGATGGGAATTCTCAAAATCTAGCCATAAATGAAGCTTCAGGAGATGGTCAAAAGGGTCCTGCTTTGGAACAAGAATCTGATCATGGGGATAAGCCTATTAGTGGTGAATCTTCAACTTCAGATGGAAAGAGGAATGCAGATACTTATAATATTTTCTTGAAGCTGCCAGAATCTGATCTGCACAACCTTTGCAGCCTTCTTGGTCGTGAGGGGTATTATTAGTTCTCTAATTCTTATTTGCATTATTTGAATGTGTGTGCTATTGTTTAGCTTTTCACTGTTGTACTTTGTTTGAGTAGTTGCTCCTTAATTTGTTATGTGCATTTCCTTTACATGCATATCATACCAGCCCGTTCTCCTTTGTGCTGCTATGTGAAGTATGTTGTAAATGAGCATCTAATCTTGTTTGTTTACTTGATTAGGCTTTCAGATAAAGTTTATATGCTTGCTGGTGAGGTCCTGAAGAAGTTGGCTTCAGTTGCAGCTGCCCATCGAATTTTTTTTATCTCAGAGCTTTCAGAACTAGCTCATGGGTTGAGTGCATCAGCTGTTGGGGAGCTTGTCACCCTCCGAAATACACAGATGTTGGGTTTGAGTGCTGGGTCTATGGCTGGGCCAGCAATCTTACGTGTATTACAATCCCTTTGCTCACTTACTTCACCTAGGGCTAGTGAGAATTCAGGACTGGAGAATGATGCGGAGCAGGAGGAGCGTGCCACCATGTCGAAGCTAAATGTGGCACTTGAGCCATTGTGGCAAGAATTGAGCAACTGTATAAGTGCAACTGAAACACATCTGGGTCAGAGCTCTTTCTGTCCAACCATGTCTACTATAAATATTGGGGACCATGTACAGGGTTCTTCTTCTTCGTCTCCTCTCCCTCCTGGAACCCAGAGACTCCTGCCTTTTATGGAGGCATTTTTTGTTTTGTGTGAAAAGCTACAAGCAAACCTCGCTATTACGCTGCAAGATAATGCGAATGTGACTGCAAGAGAAGTCAAAGAATCTGCTGGAAACTCAGATCCTTCAACTGCTAAGTGCCACAGTTGCGGGGATTCTCAGAGAAAACTTGATGGTGCTGTCACATTTACAAGGTTCGCTGAGAAGCATCGCCGGCTTTTGAATGCCTTTATCAGACAGAATCCAGGTTTGTTGGAGAAATCCCTTACTATGATGCTGGAGGCACCAAGGCTAATCGATTTTGACAACAAGAGAGCATATTTCCGATCAAGAATTAGGAAAGAACATGAGCAACATCTCTCTGGTCCACTGAGAATAAGTGTTCGCCGGGCTTATGTTTTGGAGGACTCTTACAATCAGTTGCGCATGCGGCCTAATCACGACATGAAGGGACGATTAAATGTTCAATTCCAAGGGGAAGAGGGTATTGATGCTGGCGGTCTGACACGAGAGTGGTATCAATTACTATCACGGGTTATATTTGACAAGGGCGCATTGCTTTTCACCACTGTAGGAAACAATGCAACTTTCCAGCCAAACCCTAATTCTGTCTTCCAGACGGAACATCTTTCTTACTTTAAATTTGTGGGCCGTGTGGTAATTCTTCTGGACCATTGGATGAGTTTTTGAGACTTTTTTTATGATCTTTCCGTGTCTGTATAAGATTTCTCTTTAATTTTTTCTGGTGTGATTTTATTCAGGTTGCAAAGGCACTTTTTGATGGGCAACTTTTGGATGTTTATTTCACTCGATCCTTCTACAAGCACATACTTGGTGTAAAGGTGACTTACCATGATATAGAGGCTGTGGATCCTGATTACTACAAGAATTTGAAGTGGATGCTGGAGGTTAGTGGGGTTTTGACATTCTGATTTTTTTTTTTTTTTTTTTTTTTTTTTTTTTTTTCAAATCTTCAGAGTTGGATGGGGCTGGGTTTGGTTTTAGGTTTATATCTTGTTAACTGATTGAATGTATCCATCGGTCATTCGGAAATTTTCTTTTCTGATGGTTTTGCTGCATGGATTAGGACTTTATTAAGTTTTTGTTTCTCTTTATGCCTTTTTTCCCCTCCAGAATGATGTGAGTGATATACCTGACCTGACGTTTAGCATGGATGCGGATGAAGAAAAACATATCCTTTATGAGAAAAACCAGGTATTTGAATGTCAACTTCTATTGATATGTGAGTTTTATTATTTATTTTCTTTATTTTTGAAAGCACTTTGTTTTATTTTTATTTTTTTATAGTTGTTTAGTCTTGCTTAAATGTCAATTGATTCTTATTTAACTTTCATTATATTTCTGAGTTCATGGGTTTGACTAATGTTCTGTTTGTTGTGTTGTTTGGAAAAGGTTACTGATTATGAGCTCAAACCGGGAGGAAGAAATATTAGGGTTACAGAAGAAACTAAGCATGAGTATGTTGACCTTGTAGCTGAACACATCTTGACAAATGCTATCCGTCCTCAAATTTTTTCTTTCCTGGACGGGTTCACTGAATTGGTCCCGAGAGAGCTTATATCTATTTTAATGATAAGGAGCTTGAGCTACTTATCAGTGGTCTTCCAGAGATTGATTGTGAGTTGCCTTTTATATGAGCTTACTTAATAGATAATCTTCTTTTGCTTCTCTTGAGGTATCTGAATGGTGCATTGGCCTTGCAGTGGATGATTTGAAGGCCAACACTGAGTATACTGGCTACACGGTAGCATCTAGTGTTGTTGAATGGTTTTGGGAGGTGGTTAAAGGTTTCAACAAGGAAGACATGGCAAGACTGCTGCAATTTGTGACTGGAACATCAAAGGTAATGAGAGGTTTTTTTGGGGTGCTAATAGCAGCAAGGGCTTTTCTATTCCTGTTTTCTGTTGATGCATGAGCCCCAAAACAGGATTGTGAGTTTTTCTGAATGGATGCATTTTATATTAGTGGAGCTAATGTATTTGTGGTTTCTCAGGTTCCGTTAGAGGGGTTCAGGGCTTTGCAAGGTATCTCTGGTGCTCAGAGATTTCAGATTCACAAGGCATATGGAGCTCCTGACAGGCTGCCCTCTGCTCATACATGGTTAGTATAAACATAGTTTTTGTGCGCATCTTACTGGGAACAAAATATATTTTTCTGCCCACTTACATGCTCGTCAAGCTTGATGTTTCTAATGGATTCCTATGTGATCTCCAGCTTTAATCAACTAGACCTTCCTGAGTACACCTCCAAAGAACAGCTTCATGAACGGTTGATGCTTGCTATTCATGAAGCTAGTGAAGGATTTGGCTTTGGTTAACAGAAAGAACCTCAGCTGATATTGTTGCCCCAGCACACCAGTCATCGCGCTTATAGTTACCATGTACATGTCAGTTCAACATCCTTTTCCTTTTTTTATTTATTCCGAATTAATTTGTTAATCTTTTCTATCCTTTAGTTTATTCAAGTTAAGATAATTTGTGATTTTCCTCTGTGGTCTCTCCATAACTGTTGTGATGGTTGAAGTGCTAACTAATCATCCGTATTTCAGGAATTGGGAAAGTACACTCATCTGATTTATTATTGAGTACTTACCAAAGTATTTCACTCTTATTCTTCTTCTTCTTCTTCTTTGTGCAGATGAAAGATCCGAACTGAAGCTCCCAGAATTATAGCAACCTTGATGGATTTTGTGAACTCTGAAAGCATTATCTATTTTTTGGAGGCCGGAGAGCAAAGCTTTTATCAACTATATACAGCAGATGATCATTATACTTTTGCTGACTCATGTTGGCTCCTCAGTGACAATGGCTTGAAAATTTGAAATTCTTTCTGTGGATTCTTACAATGTCCGAAAATTGGGGAGTCGTACAGATGATGGGGGATAGAAAATCGCTTTTGTTGTTTATATTAGATTTCTTTCTATGTTACGAGTTTATGGCCAAACTGCCTTAGATTAGTCAGTTTCACTTTCTCTGACCTGAATTTGGTAATAAGCCTAGGAATATGTATATTGTAATTCCAGACGGATGTTTTTGGGTTTTAATTGAAGGCGAGAAAGTGGTTCAAATTTTGCCCTTCATTTTTATTTATATTTTTTTCTTTCTTGGGTTGGATGCTTTGATTTGAGTCACCTGAAATGTTTCTGATTTTTGTCTTCTAGATGATCATGGTTCAAGGTTGAACGGATAAGCCCCGGCGACACCATCCAAATGAAATTACTATTATTAGCCTCTAACCTTGATTGTTTTTATAAGTTTTGGTTGATTATTCTAGAAAATCAGAGCTTTTTTCTTCGGGTCAACAAATATACAAATATATACTTAGGAATACATATGGGATCATTTTATGTACTTATAATAATACATTTGTTTTTTCTACATATTATGAAGAGCATCTACATATTTTTAGCTTCTAAAACAAATGCGTTTATTTAATAGGTTGAAATGTTAGTTAAAATTGATGAGGAGTGGGAACAAATAATTTCCAACAAAGGGAGTGTAAGTGGACAAAAGCATACTGGGAAAATTAGCTACATTTATTAATAACCTCAAATTTTCTTAATGGAGAAAGCGGAGAGGTACCAAAAGAATCAACAATTTCTTTTCTTGGCCTCTAACTCTTTTTATAATAAAAAAAATACAAATTTATAAATAAACCAAATCCTAGACATGTATTTATAAAAAAACCCAAACACTATTTAAACATAGAAACACACCTAAATCAACCCCAAAATCAACAATTGTATATTTTTTTGGTGTGTTTATAAATGGGTTTTGAGTGTGTGTAATAATGGGTTTTGAGTGTGTTTATAAAGTGTTTTGGGTGTTAGGTTTTTTTATAATTTCAGCCCCCATTTTAGGTGTTTTAGTGAAAACTCCCTAAAAAAAAATAGTTATATATATATATATATTTTTAAATTAAAAGTTTTTTAATATTTTATTTTATGTATAAGCCATATTCGTGTGTTAAATATTTCAGCCGGTGGATGTTATCCAACGGTTTGTGTGTTTGTCGTGTTCACCAGCGCTCAAAGATACGCGCTCTTTATTGTTTCCTCCAGTGTCCAGTGTGACAAAGAAGGCGGTGATGACTCATGAGAAATAAGATAGCACTCAAACTCAATGTTGTCCTCCTCAACGACTAGAGCTAAACAACTCTCTCTAATTTCCCACCGAATTTCAAAGGTCAGAGCTTTTCATGCTTTCTTCCAAGACATCAAAACAAATCTTGGAGATGATGATGCCAGAAACATAGCTCACAAAAAAGGCACACAAACCTCTGGTATGTCACTTTCTCTGCGCTTCTCGTTGAGTGTGTTGTTTTGAGATTAAAGTTTTGATTTTATGGGCAGTGTGCTTTTCTTTTAGGCTAAACTGTTAACATTTGGGAACTACAGGCACAGAAATGGAGAAGAGCATATATGCAATTCTCACCATAGACCGTTGGGAGTCTCTGAACCACATGGATTATAGGTTGGCTTCTCTTAGACCAGTACATGGAAGGCTGGCTTTGAAATTTCTCAATTGGGTCATTAAACAACCTGGTTTGGAACTCAACCACCTCACTCACATACTTTCTGTTACAACCCATATACTTGTTCGAGCTAGAATGTATGACTCTGCCAAATCAATTTTGGGGCATTTGTTGCAAATGGGTAATGCCCCAAAACCTGTTTTTGGTGCTCTGATGGATACTTACTCTCTTTTCAATTCAAACCCTTCAGTCTTTGACCTTCTAATTAGAGTTTATTTAAGGGAAGGAATGGTTGATTATGCTGTAGAGACTTCGTATTTAATGGGTTTTCGGGGATTTAGGCCGTCCACTTGTACCTGTAATATGATCCTAGCTTGGTTGGCAAAGGACCAGAAAGCTGCGTCAGTATGGTCTTTTTTCAAAGAAATGCTTGCTAATAAGATTTGCCCCGATGTTGCTACGTTTAATACATTGATTAGTCTTTTATGTGTTGAAGGGAAGCTTAAGAAAGCTAGTTATCTTCTGAGAAAGATGGAAAAGAGTGGCTATGTTCCAAATATAGTTAGTTATAATACTTTGCTCAATTGGTACTGCAAGAAGGGGAGGTATAAAACAGCCTTTGAGCTTATTGATCACATGGGTTCTAAGGGTATAGAAGCAGATGTATGTACATATAACATGCTAATTGGTGATTTATGTAGAAACAATAGGAGTGCAAAAGGTTATGTACTGTTGAAGAAAATGAGAAGGAAGAAGTTATCTCCTAATGAGGTTACCTACAATATTCTTATTAATGGGTTTGTGAAGGAGGGGAAAGTTGGCGTTGCTACCCGAGTTTTTGATGAGATGTCTACTTTTAATCTTTCACCGAATTTTGTTACTTTCAATGCTTTGATTGGTGGACTCTGCCAAAATGGTAAGCTTGAAGAAGCTTTCAGACTTTTGGACATGATGGAAGCTATGGGACTAAGACCTAATGAAGTCAGCTATGGGGCTCTTTTGAATGGGCTGTGTAAGCATGCCAAGTTTGATTTAGCAAGAAGTCTTTTTGAGAGAATGCGGATGAATGGGATTGTTATTAGTTGTACTATATATACAGTGATCATGGATGGGTTATGCAAAAATGGGTTGCTTGATGAAGCTATGCAGTTGTTTAATATGATGGTCCACGATGGTGTGGATCCTGATATTATAGCATTTTCGGTGCTCGTAAATGGACTTTGCAGAGCTGGGAAGATGAAACATGCGAGGGAGATAATATGTAAGATTTATAAAGCTGGCCTTGCACCGAATAGAATAATATGTTCTACTTTAATCTACAACTCTTGCAAGATGGGCAACATAGTTGAAGCGTTAAAGATTTATGCTGTTATGAATCACAATGGCCATGGTGCTGACCGTTTCACATGTAACATATTGGTTGCTTCGCTTTGTGAAGCTGGAAAACTAGAAGTGGCAGAAGATTTCATGCGTCATATGGGCAGTATGGGTCTTGATCCCGATTCCATTACTTATGATTGTATAATAAATGGCCATGGAAACATGGGAAATGGGTTAAAAGCATTTTCTATATTTGATGAAATGATTAAGTCAGGTCATCATCCAACTCCATTCACATATGGAAGTATACTGAAAGGGCTATGCAAGGGTGGAAATTTGGGGGAAGCAAGGAAATTTTTGGAGAAACTCCACGGCATTCCATCTGTTGTTGATACTGTTATCTACAATACAATAATTTATGAGACATGTAAATCTGGAAATCTGCAAGAGGCTGTTTCCCTTCTTGATGAGATGGTTGAGAATAATGTTCTGCCTGATGATTATACGTATGGTGGCCTTCTTGCTGGGTTATGCAGGAAGGGAAAAATGGTTGCCGCCATCCTGTTGTTTGGGAAACTCATGGGAAAAGTGACTTGCTCACAAAGTGCAATAATGTATACCTGTCTAGTTGATGGCCTTTTCAAGACCGGCCAGTCTAAGGCTGCTTTGTATCTCTTTGAAGAGATGGAGAACAAAGGTCTATACTTGGATACTATTGCTTGTAATGTCATGATAGATGGATACTCGAGGATGGGAAAACTAATGAAGGCAAATGAACTGTTTTCAACTATGGGGAGCAGCGGATTGTGCCCTGATTTGGCTACATATAATATTCTCTTGCATGGATACTCGAAGAACCGGGACCTCGTGAAATGCTCTATGTTATACAATAACATGATCCGGGCCAGATTATTTCCCGACAAATTGACATGCCACTCTCTTATTCTTGGATTATGCGAGTCCGGTATGTTGGATGTTGGCCACAAAATGTTGAATAAGATGATAATGGAAGGTGCTATAGCTGATCATCTAACAGTTAACATGCTTGTTAGCAAGTATTCTGAGACTGGTAAGATGGTGAAGGCCTTTGAGCTAGTTAGTGTCCTGAATCTGTTAGGAGTTTCTGCTAATATAGACACCCATGGTGCTATCTTGAATGGACTATTCAGAAGCCAAGATTTCCAAGCATCCCGTGCCCTTCTTTATGAAATGTTGGAAAAAGGTTTAACTCCCAAGGATACACATTATTTCACCTTAATTAATGGTATGTGTAGAGTGGGAGATATACAAGGAGCATTCAAACTAAAAGATCATATGGAGGCTCTTGGTGTTACTACCAGTGACATTGCTGAGAGTGCTATGGTTAGAGGGCTCGCAAAATGCGGGAAGATTGAAGAAGCAATGCTGGTTCTTGATCGCATGCTTCGAATGAAACTCATTCCAACAACTGCTACTTTTACTACTTTGATGCACATGTTCTGCAAACAAGCCAACCTTGCAGTGGCTCTAAAATTGAGGGGCACAATGGAATGCTGTGGTGTGAAGCTTGATGTCCCTGTGTTTAATGTTCTCATTTCAGGCCTTTGTGCCAATGGTGATGTTGTGGTTGCATTTGAGCTTTATGAGGAGATGAAACAAAGAGGTCTCATGCCCAACACAACAACTTATACTCTGCTCATTGGTGCTGTTTCCTCTCATAATAATCTTATTAAAGCTGAACAACTTTTGGGAGATTTATCTGAAAGGGGACTGATATCTGGAAATTTGGATGGAAGCGCCCAAATGCTACATGAGAGGTTGATGAATGCAATGGGAAGACTAAATTCTTTGAGGCGCATAAAAGGAACTAATACTAAAGAGAGGTAGTAAAGCCGTACTTGGATTGGGATATGCCGCCAAAATGGGCTTTCATTACTTAACCAAGTTATGATATAAACTTTTCTACTGGAGGTCTGATGGGAGATGGGATTGTGATTGGTTCTCTTTACTTAACGAAGTTTTGATATAAACCTTTCTACTTGAGGTCCGTTGAGAGATGAGACTGTAATGGCTCTCATCGCTTACTGAAGTTATAATACAACATGACCTTCTGCTATAGTTTACAGTAAGCTGCATTCTCCAATACCTTTCCTTATCTTCTACTTTCTTTAACAACATATATCTTCTTGTATTTATTGGTAATGTATTTGCTGCTACTTTAGGTGAAATGCAGTCTACCTCATGCTTGGATGTCATGTTTCGTGATATGATATTTGTTGTGGCAGAATGAATCATGCCCCATGCTATGTGAGTTCCAACTTTTACTTAATGCATTTACAGGCCCCTGTTTTCTTTTATGATCAAGGGCTACGGGTATTTACCCTTTTAACACTAATATTCTCTTTACATTCTCTTTAGGTAACATAGGCTTCTTTCTGGAAACAAGTGCTGGAATGCTAAAGATGCTCTCATATAATGCATAAGGTTTGCTGATAGTTAATATGCTATTATTTCTTTTAGGTGGTTCTTTCTTTTATCGCCATATCTGATTATTTCATTGTTGCACTCCACCCATCAAAGAGACGGGCTCTTGGCTTCTGTGCAATGGATAAGAGTTTAAGAGGAGACTCTTGCACATGATACTTCCCTCCTATAAACATGATTCTTGAGCAAGTTTATTGTAGTTGAGGAATCAGGATGTTTGAGAGAGCAGTGTCATTTGGCTCGCTGCTTGGAAGGTTAGGATCAGTAATCAGTGCCATTCATTACCTAATCAGTCAGTTTTTTTTGCCCAAAAATATGTTTATGCAAAGCTTTCCACCATCCCCAAAATCTTCTTGTTTGTATCAAATCTAAGTTCTCCATTTTTCTTTCTGCAGTGAATAATGAATTATAATCTATCCTGGGGGCTATGACTAGCCAAATTTTGGTTAGACACGTCACATGCCAATAAAGGTGGAGGAAACAGCTCTTTGATAGAGAAAGAAGTTGGCCATTGAGGGAACCAAATGAAGCGGGTGTCTCAAATTTACATCTTCATTTTGCAGCTGATGCTGGAGGCACAGGGACTTCACTGCAAGGGAATATGTTGATGTGCTGCCATGTATTTTAGGGTTCTCTTTTGCAAAATATAATGCCTATGTTATGGGCATGGCAGACAGAATCTAGCAAAATTTACATGGATGAATTGCTATTGTTGACTTTGTATAATTAATAATGTTCATATTGATTTGTATATATTCACATTGTCTCATCTTGTCTTCTTTATATGTTCAAAGCCTATAACTTACAAGTTGCAGAGTTTTGATGGGCACAAGGGAAAAAAAAGATGGGAATCAAGAAAAACCGTTTGAAATTTGCTTGTAGAATTCGAATAAATAAGATTTACCTTATGAACATAAATTAGAGCTATGAACCATACTCATTAAAACACAGGATGAGTATAGTACATATGAAATACATGTGTAGTATTCGGTAAATTTGTTAACAGCATACGGCACAAAATTCAGCTATCATATAAAAAATTTAAAATTATTTGTAGTCTTATTTTTTTCAATAGTATGCGTGTGTATAATAAGTGTATAAACCATTTGACAAAATTGTATCATTTGAACAAATACGGATGCACGTATATAACACAAATAATACATTTGAGTTTTAAAAAACACATTATCTATATATATATATATATAATAATCTATATATATAAAGCAAAAGGCAGAGAATGGTGAAACATTCAAAATACCAAAAATGTCATTGGTTAATTCAAATATTAAGAATTGAAATTATTAATTAAATGAGGATAATATGGTAAATTCACTTTTTTATATTAAAAAAATAAAAATAAAAATAAAAACAAAATCAGATAATATGTCCTACTTTTATAGAACATAACTACCCATATTATCTATTCTTAATTCTAAAAATAAAAGAAAAAAGAAAAAAGAAAACCAATTGGCACATACGTGAGCATGTGCCAAATGGCTAGTATATATAAAGCAAAATGCAGAGAATAGTGAAACATTCAAAATACCAGAAAATGCCATTGTTTAATGCAAACATTAAGACCTGAAATTATTAATTAAATGAGGATAATATGGTAAATTCACACTTTTTCATATTAAAAAATAAAATTAAAAGAAAAATCAGATAATTGATTCTATTTTTATGGAACACATCTACCTATTATCTTTTTTAATTCTAAAATAAATTTAAAAAAAAAAAAAAAAAAAAAAAAAAAAAAACAATTTCCATTTCTCAAGCACGAAAGCGCGTGCAGAGAGACTAGTTTTATATAATGAGAAATGTACTAAAAAATAGAAATATATACATGTATAATATGCTAATTATCTATTTGGAAAAGAAATTATAGATTTTTTTTTCCCATTAATAGAAAGAAAAAAGTTGGTATCTACATTAATTGATTAATTAATTTGATTAATATAGAGGAGGAGAGGTGAGAAGACATGGAGACGCCAAACTGTTTGAAATTTTAAACGCTACGAATGCCAGCAAATCAATGTGCTGTTTTTGCCTCCGTGCAACCCAACAGCTACTCCTACTTCCTCACTCCGTCTGCCAGCTCACCACCCCGTTCCGTTATTACTTTTTTTTAATATTTATTTTTAATTTGCGTTCCTTTCAATTTCATTTCAAACGCACAAACCACGTCAGCGCTGACGTTGACCAAACGGCGACCGAACAATCTTTCCGTTCCTTTTTCACAACATAACGCCGTTTATTCAAGAAAAAAGCGAACCGTTAAAGCCTCATATTCCCAGATTTCACATTGCAATTATAGGCCCATTTTTGGCCCAACCTCTCTCTCTCTCTCTCTCATTCTCTCTCTCTCTCTCTCTCTCGCTTTGCTTTCCGAGTTCATTTCTTTCCCCGGAAAAAAAAAAAAAAAAAAAAAATTTCCTTTTGATCGAATTCATGTCGGTACGTATCGCCTTCGTCTCTTTCTTCAATCTGAATATAAATTCTTAATATTTGTATGCTTTTTTATTGTTTATTTTTAATCTTTGTGATGCTTAATTTGCTGGATTTGCTCCCCTTTTTTATTGGCTTTAGCTGTATTTCATAGATTTCTTGGTTAATCTGTATTAATTCAACTGTAATTGACTCAGATCAATCTATTCTAGTATTTATTTTGCATTATTTTGAGCAAAATTTATGTTTTCTTCTTTTGTTTTATGATTTTCGAGTTTCCCCAGTTACATGATGCAATTTTGGATTTCCAGAGGAGCAGATTTTAACTTTTCAGTTTTCTTTTAGTTTGGTTTCAATAGGAATGGTGAAAATGAAACGACCAGACAAGGAATGGTGAAAATGACAAATTTTCCCCTATCTTTCTTACAAAATTATCAAGTTAGAATATTTCGAGAGTCTGCATTTGTATTTAGTGTAGGTATTGTTATTATTTGCTGTCATTCATTTTTTGAGTGGGGCATATAATCTTATACAAACTTCTACCTAATTCATGGTGATTTTGCTTAGTATATTAAGGGCATTTGATCTTTCCTAAGTATTCCACGCACACGTATATGTGGTTCTCTGTGTGTGTGTGTGTGTGTTATGCTGATTCTGAATGTGTAGAATAGTTGGATGAAGAGGGGTTTTGTTGTAATTGCCTTGTCCAAAACAAGGATTTCTGTAAGAACTAAAAAAGCTTTCTTCTATCGGGGTTTTAATGTCCTGGGAGAAGGTTAGAGTTCTTTTTATGTGTATTTTTTTTTCTTTTCATTCAATTCATGTATCTTTATAGTTTTTATTTTAATAATATGAATCTGGTGGGTTGAACAGCTGTGATGAGTGCTTCCTGAATATGACTTGAGTTATGTTTCTAAATTGCTTGATGTCCTAATTCAAAATCAGTAGGCTTTTCTGAGCGTCTTCCTCTTCTGTCTGATTTTGATAGGATATTAGCTCCATTTCCTTTTATATGTGTTAAACGCTTTCTGAACGCTAGCCATTTCTTGTCTGTGTATTCTTATGTTTTTCCCTTATAATGTTGAGTTCAGTGAAATGCCATTGGAGCAGTTCCTATCATCTTGGAGCTGCTCCTATCATTTGATCAGGAGACAAAACATCTCATTTTCTTGTTTTCTAGGATTATCCTAAAGATGCAGCACTGAGCAGGATTTAGGGGGATAGTAGTAGCCAGGTTTTAAACTCAGTGTTCCATAATCTTACTACCAACGACCAGGATAAAGTAGTGCTTATTCTCTTACAAGATCCTTACTGAAGTGTTTTTGGAAACTGGATCCATTTAGCATTTACTCAGGTTGAGGTCAGGTTGGAAATGTTAGATTGAGTTGGTCTTTGGCATGTGAAGGCTAAGTATTTGATCCTATTGAGTGGTCATTTGTAGTCTAGAAATCTAAGGGTAGCCTGACATTGGGTTTCTGGCGTTCTGTCCTCTGTGGTTGATGCAATTTTATTCTTGTGTGGGGTGTGTGATAGATGACAACCCGGATGAGTTCAGGATGTAAAGTAGTGCTGGTTTTTCCTGTTGTTATTTATTATATATATATTTTTGTATTACTCGGCTGAATAATAGTGATAATATTTTTCTGATTGCTAACAGGAAAAGGGTAGGCCACTCCCTAAATTTGGTGAATGGGATGTCAATGATCCTGCTTCAGCTGAGGGGTTTACTGTGATCTTCAACAAGGCTAGGGATGAGAAGAAGACAGGTGGAAAACCTGAGTCACCAGGAAAGGCCGATCCTAATATTAGGCATGGAGTTGAGCCCGGCAGGCCTCCATCTGTAAGATGCTTTCTCAGAACAGTTGTCTCATTTCTTTCTCTAATGATTTGATATATAAGTGGGACAGCCAATAAGAATTCATTCTTGTTCCAGTTGATGGTGGTTTGCGTGGTTACAAGCTTTTGATTTTCAAGTGACAGTAGTACAATACACAACTTGAATAGATAGCATACCTTTCTCACCAAAAAAGTGGACTGCATACCAATGTAACACTGTCTTATTGATCACACTCAGCCTACAAGTTAATAAAGATCAATACAACCGACTTCTTGTACAGAATTGTAGTTAGGAAGAGAGGAAAAGGACTAATATAATATTTAGTGGCAAGATTTTGAAAAAGAAAAGAAAGGAAGATGATTTGACTATTTATCTGCATTATTTGATTGCTCCACGGGAGTGGAATTGGAACATGAACCCTCTGATTCTGCCTTGTTTAAGATAGATGTTGCCTTATAGTCACAGTTGTTTGGAAAGAACTAGTGGCCCTGGACTTTAGTATTTACTCATCTTGTGGTCAGTTGATCATTATGCGGCCCTTTCATTCTTACTATGTTTATGTCCTTGTGCATTTGTTTTTGTGCTTTGAATTATTTCTGCTGCCGAAAGTTGTTTTAGTTTGCTTGACTTTCTTTCTCCTTGTGGATGATTTCACGGTGCGCAGAAAAAATGGTTTTGCTGCATTCATCAACCACCAGCCGAATCTTGACATGGTTGTCTCCATGGAAGTGCTTCAATAGAAGAGCACGGTGTTCTGTTACTGGCTCTACCATATTTTTCCAAAGATAGGGAGCTGTATAGCAATGATGGATGGAATTTATTGTGGCTTAAAAAAAAAGAAAAAAACTTTGTGATGGGAGGAGTAAAGAAGACAAATATACTTATTGTATCTATGTTGTCTGATGTTGTTGTGATTGGTATTTAGAATGCCAGTCTGTTTCTTTGTCTTATCTTTTGCTACACGCTTTAGAGCTTTGCTTATGACATTTTTTCTTCTTTTCTTCCTTCGTTGTATTATCAAACCCGTCTTGTGTGAAAATATTTTGTTTTGAAATTTCAGGAACTTTTTCTTCTTTTCTTCTAGGGGTCCTCTCTGCGGATTGTTAAATTATTTTGTATGTATATTCCATGTTATGGATCTCTGGTACCAATAAGAGAAAATGGAATCGTACCCCTAAAATTTACTTTTGAATACAAATACATATAACATCTCATTTTTACTCATTATGCATCTCAACTCTTTTTCTGGGGTCAGAAGTTCATATGAACAAGCTGTTCATGTCAACTGAAATTCAAGCCCCCAAACTGTTCATTTTTAGTATGGATTAGGTCTTCTTACAATTTTGGATGGAATGGTCTTAGTTTTGTTAAATCCGTTAATTTTTAATTTGAATTTTTATTATAATATTATTTGTAAAAACCATTTAGAATTCTCGTGTGAATTTTATTTCAACTGTGTAACTGCACAAGTAGCCTGTGATTATATGGCTGAAATCAGAAAGCTTATGCTAGCTTTTGCACACATGAACATTCAGTGCCCAAATGAACACAATTTCCTTTTTCTTCTTTCTATGAAAAAATAAACACACTTTCGGGTTATTCGTATTCAAGAATTTCCCCCCCGGCCCCCAAAAAGGAGAAGAGAATTTTGAGACTCGACGGGATTCCACAAGAAACAAGGAGATGGCTTAGAGCTTCCAAAGTGATGGTTTCTATACATGATTTATTCCTGCGGGATAAAATAGAAATAAAAAAACAAAAGCATGGGGGAATAACAGTTAAGTGTAAAGCTCTTCTATTGGTAATATCTCTGGCTAAGACAGTTCAGACTCTGGTCACCCCAAGCTTTCGTTCAAAGAGGCGGCGAAGAAGGTAAACTTGGAGAGCGCTGGCACCAACAAGTGCTGCTGATTCAAAGAAGGCCTTGTGGATTGCCCTCCGGCTCATTGCTTCATTTACTGCATCAACGATTTCCAGGGCAATTTACGTAACAAAGAGATCAAATTAAAATTATGTTTCACATGTTTGTAGAGAAACATATTTGTCTATGCACAAACACTACGGAATCAATACTAGTTCAACTTAAGTGTAAAGCTTCCTCTATATTTGGTAACCGGAGTTCAGCAGATACCTATTGCCTGGCGTGCGGTCTGAGCCTCGAGCCAATGCTGCTCAAACTGAATGTTGTAAAGAGCTTCCTCTAACTTTGATACCTGCTCTAACAATGGGTTAAAATGCTCTGCATATATGCAAACAAAAATATCATAAGTCCGTCTCCTTATTTCACAAAGAGCTCAACAGTTGAAAGAATAACTAAAGATTTCAAAAGATGCACAAAGCGACCGCTCACCATCTTTTGCATGTTGATCATAGTATGTAAAATGGCTAACGTGTATATCGAAGTCTATGGTTTCATGATAAGGCGACTTGTTGGTGAAGCAGAACTGATGGACTCCTTTGTGACGAGTGACAAAATCAAACTTCTCACTTGTCTTGTCACGAAAATCATGAATCTGCTCACCAGAAGGCCCCTTCACCTGAAAATTCCAATGACATTGTACGATCACAGGTGGGTTTTCAGTTAAAATGCCTCTCTTTCCCCCGAAAAAACAAAAAAGTTAACATGCCTCTCAATATTATGCTTAACAATATAGGCATGGAATAATGCAAGATCTTCAACCACTATGATCCATTTACGCTTTTGCTTACACAAACACATGGTTTCCAGTTATGAGCTGTCTTATTCAATCAGCAGTAAATGAAAGAGATCATGGCATGGCTAAAACCATATATGAGAAATTATCAAACCCAAATCAGGGAACAAATGTCAAGCTTACCACGAGGTCAACGCCGTCTTGAGTATAATGCCAAGATGCATCCACCTTAATTACAACAAAAGAGATGTGGACAGTATCTCCTTCAAATTGAACATTATGAGAGAAGCACTCTTCTCTGTCAATCACAAATCTGATCCCAAAAACTGCTTGTAGGCTCACCAAAAATGTCAGCAGCAAAACAGCAGCACAATTTGAAGACCCAACTTTCATCTGCAGATTAAAAGCAGGATTGTTAACATTCAAGCTAACCAAATTATTACCCACAAAATATGACAAATCACAGGCCTGAAATTTTTAGTTTCCCTTTTCTTTTTTCTTCATGCATACAATTCAGTCAAGCAACAGGGCAGAAACTTGGTTGTTCCTTAAAACTGAAAATCAAAACTAACCCATAAACCATTTTCTACCAAAACAAACAGAGAACAAATAAGAATCATGTTTCCAGGAAATAATCTGATTCATAAATTGAATGCTGAAAGAAAAATTCCAACTTTTTCATCAGATTGACCGGAAAATTGGAAAAAAGATTAAAACTTGCGATATACTACAATCATAACAAATAGATTCCCATTAGTGCCCTGTTTGGTATCCAAACAGAGTGACAGAGAGATCAAACAAAACGAAATTATTGGAAGCTAAAATTACAGAATTTGTAGAAGAAATAGGATTTACCTTGGAATGTTTGAACAATTTGACGAAGGCCGCAGAGAAAATAAACACAATTAAAATTAAATACAGGATTTATAAAATAATAAAATAGAATAATGAGATAAGCAGTTGGGTGTTAGAAGTTAAGGATGAAGGAGTTTGTGTTTAGGTTTCAAATCTCAAAGGTCTACTTCGAACGTAACGAACCAGACAGCAACTACACGAAAAGCTTTAGTTTAGTACTTTTGTCGCATATAATGCGACGTGTCGTTTCCATCCTGTCCTTCGTTTGTAGTTTTTTTTTTTAAATTTTTAAAGTCCCTGTTATAAAAAATTGGAAAAAAAAACCCAATATAGCCGTGAGAAATATATTTTTTAAAAAAAAAAAAAAAAAATAAAAAAAAAAAAAAAAAAAAAAAAAAAAAAAACAAGCCGGGAGGCTGTATTATTTCTCTTATAAACAAATTTAAAAACCCGGTATCGCCGTGCGGCCATACTATTTCTTTTTAAAATGTTGGGAATACGAGTATTGTACATTTGCTTTTTTTAAAAACGTGAATTTTACTACTATTCCTTGTCAAACAATTGGAAAAAACTAAGTCTAGCCGGGCGGCTATTCTTTTTGAATTTTTCTGAGAAAACCGAGTATAGCCTCGCGGCTATACTATTTCATCGGTTAACAAAAGGAAAAAACGGGTATAGCCGCCCGGCTGTACTGTTTTTTAAAAGAATTTAAAATTATATGATTATAGCCGGGCGGTAATACTATTGTAGAAGAACGAGAGATCCGAGTATAGCCGCTCGGCGATACTATTTCTTTTTGACAAAGTAAGACAAAACATAGTATAGCCTTCTTTATAAAAAATTGGAAAACACGCAGTACAACCGTGCGAAATACTATTTATTTTACAAACAAAGTGTAAAAAACTGAGTCTAGCCGCCCGGCTATACTATTTCTTTTAAAAGAAATTGGAAAAACCCGAATATATATTATTTGTCTTCAATAATGTATATAATACATGAATTTTGTGTGTATTATTGAAACTTTTCTATAAATATGCATATTAAACATGAAAAATACGTAGTACATATTCAATACGAGCATTGTATATTTGCTTTTTTTCAAACATGAATTTTACCATGAGGCTATACTATTCTTTCAAAAAATTGGAAAAACCCAGTATAGCCTTTTATGCCATCGTGCACCTTCATATGCTTCTTTTCCTTCTCGGATTGAGGATAAACCAATCAACATAACATGTTGCTGAAGAGTTTTCAGACTTTGGAAATTGAGATGCCTCAGCCTTTTATGCCATAACCAAGATGGTTTAACTACATCCCACTTCATTGCAACTGAGCCCTTAGAATAATTCATTCGAAGTTGAAAGCTTCTATTTCCTTTCCTTCTAACCCTTGAAATAACCTGACATTTGTCCACTTTTGTCCTTCCCTTCTATCACTTAACTCCTCACCATATGACCCCAATTGATTTATCACATCAGTGAATATAGTAAAGTAATCTTTCAACAATTCATTATCTTTCATTCTTGCATATTCAAAATCTCTTCTAAGAGTCTGACATTTTATAGATACTACTTTTTCTGCACCTCTGATGAATTATTCTCTCCAACAGTCATACTGTTGGAAAACAACAATCAATGACTAATTAAAACAATTATATAAATAGAATTATAATAACTGTAATACAGAATACAGTATATAAACAATAAATGAAACTGACTTAAATTCGAGATAGAGGCTTGCAGATTTGGTGCAATGTCCTAAAGACAGTAATTTCACCCCTTCTCGGTGCTTGAAGTTCTACAGGTGACTGCCTCCCAAGATTCAACTATCTGTATTCTAAGCCCTAGCACTCGGACTTAGAATCTGGCGAACGTATGAGGCCTTGTTTGATTTAAATAAACTTATGAAACCTTATCAGAAGAGTCACAACTGTTAGAAAACAGTTAATAAAACTAATCCGAATTAATAAAAAATTATTAATTCGAATCCCAAGGCCCATCATTTTGACCATTAAATATTATATAATTTTATATAATATTCAAAGCCCAAACATATCGGATTTACTTGGTGATGCCCAAACATATCGGATTTACTTGGTGATGCAGTGGATATAATTGATCTTGAACTGTTCACCGCTATAGTAAACCTAGACAATATGTCTCACACATATACATCTTAACAAACGTTAGTTCATACATTTTTGTTCATTTTGGTCCTGAATATATCCCAGGTTTCATGAGAGCTTTAGAGAACTTAGCCTTTTATTTTTCGTTCTCATAAATGCGACCCCACATTTACTCCCATATAGGTGACACCAATTAAGAGTGTTCTGCCTAAACTCCTCTTAAAAAGATATTAGTGTCATTAAATGCAAAGCATAACCTTCACATCAACAAACAACACACTAACCATCATAGGAATGAGTTAAATTGTGTGTTCAACTTTTGAATCTTACCCAGCCAGTTTGCCTATTGAACCTAGACCATGGGATCTCCAATCAACTAGGTTAGGTTTTTGCCAGGTTTGATTCATTGGATTGGCTTCAATCCCATTCCCCTCGATGTAAATTTGATTTGCTCTCTTGGTAGGCCTTTGTCAAAGGATCTGCAATATTTTCCTTTGACATCACATAGTCAATGGATATAATTCCATTTGAGAGCAATTGTCTAATTGTATTATGCCTACACCTGATATGTCTTGACTTTCCATTGTATACACCACTCTTGGCTCTTGCTTGTGTTGCCATACTATCACAATGTATGCAAATTGCTGTCACAGGCTTAGGCCACATTGGAATGTCCTCTAGGAAGTTTCTCAGCCATTCTGCTTCTTCAGCAGCTTTATCTAAGGCTACAAAATCTGATTCCATTGTAGAGCGTGCTATACACGTTTGTTTAGAGGATTTCCAAAATACTACAGCTCCACCTAATGTAAATACATATCCACTAGTTGATTTGGTTTTTGTACTGTCAGAAATCCAATTTGCATCACTATAGCCTTCTAGAACTGGTGGATATCTAGTGTAGTGCAATTCATAGTCTTGGGTGTATTTCAAATATCTTAGCACCTTGATTAGTGCCTCCCAATGATCATGTCCAGGATTGCTTGTGTATCTACTAAGCCTGCTTACTGAATAAGCTAAGTCTGGCCTAGTAGAATTCATTAAATACATTAGGCTCCCAATTACTTTGGAATACTCCAATTGGGAAATTGCATCTCCACTATTCTTTTTAACTTGCAATTTACATCAAAAGGAGTCACAGTAGGTTTGCAGTCAAATTGACCAAACTTTCTTAAAATTTTTTCTGCATAATGGGATTGAGTAAGAATATACCCATCATTATTTCTTTTGATTTGAATTCCCAATATGACATCAGCTTGACCTAAGTCTTTCATGTCAAAACTTGAATTCAACATCTTCTTTGTAGAATTTATCGCATCCTTACTCGTTCCCATTATGAGCATGTCATCAACATATAAACATACAAGAACACAAGAATTCTTGTTGTTTTTTTATGTAAACACACTTGTCACATTCATTGATCTTCCGTGTGACATCATTGTATGATCAAACTTTTGATGCCATTGTTTTGGAGCTTGTTTAAGTCCATATAAAGACTTAACAAGTTTACAGACTTTAGTTTCTTGACCTTTTACCACAAAACCTTCTGGTTGTTCCATGTATATTTCTTCATCTAATTCCCCATTTAAGAAAGCTGTTTTTACATCCATTTGATGTATGTCCATATTGTGTATTGCAGCTATAGCAATTAACATCCTTATAGATGTAATTCTTGATACTGGAGAATAAGTGTCAAAATAATCCAACCCTTCCTTTTGCCGATACCCTTTAGCAACTAAACGTGCCTTGTATTTATCAATAGTACCATCGGCTTTTAGCTTTCTTTTAAAAATCCATTTATATCCAATTGGTTTGTTACCAGGTGGTAAATCAACCAATTCCCACGTATGGTTCTGCATAATGGATTCTACTTCGCTATTAACAGCTTCCTTCCATAAAGGAGCCTCAGGTGAAGCCATAGCTTCCTTATAAGTTTGTGGTTCTTCTTCAGTCAGGAAACTTACAAAATCTGGTCCAAAACTTTTTGGTGTTTTAGTCCTCTTTCCTCTTCTAGGTTCCACTTCCTTTTCTTGGACACCTGAAGAGGATGGTTCATTAGGATTTCCATCATGTACTTTCCTTTTGTTTGAACCGGACCTCTTTTCTTTGTAAGGAAAAATTTCCTCAAAGAAATCAGCATCAACAAATTCTATAATTGTGTTAACATGTATATCAGAAATATCAGATTTAATAACTAAAAATCTATATGCAGCACTTGTGTTGGCAAAACCTATGAAAACACAATCAATAGTTTTAGGTCCAAGTTTTACCCTTTTTGGTAAGGGTACTTGTACTTTAGCTAGGCAACCCCACACTTCAGTGTCTTGTATGTAGGAATCCGTCCTTTCCACATTTCATAAGGAGATTGTTTACTCTTCTTATGTGGAATTCTGTTCAAGATGTGATTTGCAGTAAGTAAGGCTTCACCCCACAGATTGTGTGGAAGCCCAGAGCTATTCAACATGGAATTTATCATATCCTTGAAAGTTCTATTTTTCCTTTCTGCTACACCGTTTTGTTGCGGTGTATATGGTGCAGTGGTTTGATGTATAATTTCATGAGTTGCACAAAAATTAGAAATGCAGTGGACTCATATTCTCCACCTCTATCTGATCTAAGTACTTTCACTTCTCTATCAAGTTGATTCTCAACTTCTGCCTTGTATGTCTTAAACATCTGTAAGGCTTCATCCTTGCTATGTATTAAGTATAAATAACAATACTTACTGCAATCATCTATAAATGTTATATAATAATTTTTCCCACCACGAGTTGGTGTAGATTTAAAGTCACAAAGGTCACTATGAATTAATCCAAGTAATTTATTTGATCTTCCTTGAACAGATTTAAAGGTTTGCCTAGAAAACTTGGATTCTGTACAAGTTTCACACTTATTATCAAAGTCAATATCAAATTTAGGCAATAAACCTAGATGCATCATTCTATGCATAGATCGATAATTTACATGACCTAATCTAGCATGCCAAATATTAAAAGACTCAGCAAAGTAAACGGAAACCTTATTTATATTATATTAAAAGCATCATTGCCAGTTACATTGAGTTTGAACAAGCCATCAGCAAGGTAACCCTTTCCTACAAACAGCCCTCCTTTGGTTAGGATGAACTTGTCAGATTCAAATACAAGTTTGAAACCCTTCTTACTAAGAATTGGGCCAGACACTAAGTTCTTCCTAATTTCAGGAACATGCAGCACATCCAAAAGGGTTAAAACCTTCCCAGAAGTGAACTTCAGCAGCACACTGCCTTTGCCTTCAACTGCAGATGCAGAGGCATTTCCCATGTACAGTTTCTCACCACCAGAATTCTGTTCGTAATCAGTGAACAGATTTCTGTCACCACAAATGTGCCTAGTAGCACCTGTATCAACCCACCAGTCCTTAGTATCAGAAACCAGATTGGTTTCAGACACTACAGCCACAAAATGTTCATTGACTTCAGTCACGTTGGCTTGAGGATTGGTTGGATTTTGGTCTCTTTGGTGGCGGCAATCTTGTGCTTTATGCCCTGGTTTTCCACATACCCAGCAAGCACCTTTGATTTTCTTGAAATCCTTGCCTTTTGGTGCATGAGTTTTTCCATAGTTCTTTGCAACTTTCTTGCCCTTGTTATTCTGGAATTTTGGCTTTGATGTCTCAACGACATTGGCTTTGGCTTCCATGACAAGAACTTCACCCTTGTCACCTTTCCTGTGATCCTCCTCAACTCGAAGCCTCAAAATCAGATCCTCCATAGACATCTCTCTGCGCTTGTGCTTCAAGTAAATTTTGAAGTCTTTCCATGATGGAGGCAGTTTCTCTATGATTACTCCAACCTGGAAGTGTTCATTAATAGAGCACCCCTCTGCAAGCAAATCATGGATCAGAATTTGAAGTTCTTCAACCTGTTTAATAACAGTCTTCGAATCAACCATGGCATACTTGAGAAATTTGCCAATCACGAACTTTTTGGCACCAGCATCTTCTGTTTTGTATTTTTTCTCAAGTAATTCCCAAACTTCCTTTGCAGAATTGTATGACGAATAAATGTCATACAGAGTATCATCAAGCCTGTTAAGGATGTAGTTTCTGCACAGGAAATCAGATTGTTTCCAAGCCTCAATGGTCATCATTGTTTCCTTAGACATTGGATTTTCTCCTGATTTGGGAGCCTCCTCTCTGACAACATGTGCCAGATTCATGGTTGTGAGATAAAACAACATCTTCTGTTGCCATCTCTTGAAGTCAATTCCCTTGAACTTCTTAAGCTTCTCGTAATGAGGATTCTTAGTCACCCCATTCACAGTCACTGATGATTGTGAATCCATCGGTTACTGTCTTTAGATTGTTGAAAAAACAACAATCAGTGACTAATTAAAACAATTATATAAATAGAATTATAATAAACTGTAATACAGAATACAGTATATAAACAATAAATGAAACTGACTTGAATTTGAGATAGAGGCTTGCAGATTTGATGCAATGTCCTAAAGACAGTAATTTCACCCCTTCTCGGTGCTTGAAGTTCTACAGGTGACTGCCTCCTAGGATTCAACTATCTGTAAAGCCCTAGCACTCGGACTTAGAATCTGGCGAACGTATGAGGCCTTGTTTGATTTAAATAAACTTATGAAACCTTATCAGAAGAGTCACAACTGTTAGAAAACAGTTAATAAAACTAATCCGAATTAATAAAAAATTATTAATTCGAATCCCAAGGCCCATCTTTTTTACCATTAAATATTATATATCAAAGCCCAAATAGATTTTGAAGCCCAAATTGCTTCCACTTGGCTCACTTCTATTACCAAGTGTGAGACTTCCACACTTATAAAGACCTCATTCTTTCTACTTTCTACCAATATGGGACTAAGGTTCTTGATTTCATTCAAACTTCCAACACATACTTGGTTTAACTTCTTGAGGTTTTCTTCCACCAATGCTCTCTCTGCTACAGTGAGCTCTACTTCCTCCTTAGGTTCAACAACCCCAATATCAACAAATTTTCACAACCCATAAGAGGTGAATAGGGTCCTCATTTCACTCTCCAACAGTCATTGTTTTCACCATCAATATCGGAGATGAAAATTCCTATCATTGTTGCTGCTACTTGCCATCAGAATTTTTTGAGTTTGAAAGTTAGAGGGTTTCAAAGAAAGAAATCCCAAATTGAAGAACACAAAAAATACTCCCAGCTTAGTTGATCAGACTAAGCTCTGATACCATGTTGGATTTTTTGGTAATCCTAGTAGTAAATCACTCAAGAGATTATGCAAGGATAAGAGAGAGAATTTTGGAATTGGAACTCAGAGGTCTAGCTTCAGAGAGACAAGTCCAGACTTATTTCTCTATTTTTTCAATTGATTCACAATGACATCAACTCTCTCTACAAAATATTCATTACAAGCTTAATTGCCCACTTAGTGGTTAACTTAACTACCAAAAGGAAAGGCTAGAAATAGCCAATTCACATACCACTTATGTTGCCTCCTAATACAAACAAAAACAACAATATTAAAGTTTCCTACAAACATGGCTCAATCTCCTTCTTCTGTTTTTTTTTCATTTTTTTTTCAGAGAACTACAATAAGAGCATTACACAAGTTTAACAAGGCATGCATGATGTATTATATAGACGTGTCATAATTTGTACCTAGTAAATAGTATATGCACACTAGCCATGTAATATTAACAGCGGCAGTCCTACATTTTGGAAGCCCCCTAAATGGGCCTTCTCCTCTATATTATTAGTACCAAAATACAGATAACTTACCTACAAAAATATCTGCGCATGTATAGTATATACTACAATAGATGGTGGCAGAGTTTGTAAATAGTGGAGAAGTTATGGGCGCTTCTTATCTTTTTTTTGGCTTCATGTTATGAAACTATAGTGAACGATATGATACCCTGACAGGGGCCGGGACCCATTATCCCAATCATTAAACCACTGAGGACTGAGAAAAATCTACTGAGACTCAGAGCTAGCTAGTGAGCTGCAAAAATGGCAAAGGAAGAGCATTTACCATTGTTTGAGACAAAAAAAGCCCAGGGAAGAGTCCTATTTAGGATTTTTGCAGCTTCTATATTTGCAGGCATATGTTTGATTTGGGTTTACAGAGTAAGTCACATACCAAAAGCAGGAGAAGATGGAAGGTTTGCCTGGATTGGATTGTTGGGTGCTGAGATATGGTTTGGTTTTTACTGGCTCCTAACTCAAGCCTCCAGGTGGAACCCTGTTTATAGGCACACCTTCAAGGACAGGCTCTCTCAAAGGTACCTACTTTTTGTTCATGTTAGTCTTTCTATCAGTTAATGTATGTATTAATCAATTTGGAACAAATAAGTTTGATTTTATATATGTATTAAATAACTGTCGTCCGTGAAATTTGAACAGATATGAGAATGAGTTGCCTGGGGTAGACATATTTGTGTGCACGGCGGATGCAAGCATAGAGCCACCAATGATGGTGATGAACACTGTTCTGTCAGTCATGGCTTATGAATATCCACCAGAGAAGCTGAGTGTGTATCTCTCAGATGATGGAGGGTCGGAAATTACATACTACGCCCTCATGGAGGCTGCTGAGTTTGCCAAACACTGGATACCATATTGCAAGAAATATAATGTGGAGCCAAGATCACCTGCTGCTTATTTTGTCTCAAAACATGGTGATGATGCAGTGGAAGATAATCATCAGGCTAAAGATTTCGTGGTTATCAAGGTACTAATATCAAGAATTGAATTAACTTTCAGAAATTTTTGTGGTGCAACTTAAGGTAAGCCCATCACAAATATTTATTAATCCGCCTTCTAAAAACGTTACTATACGGGCCCTAAGAGTACGGATTAGGTGAAGTGACGTGTTTTCAATCCTGCTGCCTATAATAAGCCAACCCAATGGATTAGGTGCATTGGGTCATCCCTGACGTGTTTTCAATCCTGCTGCTTACAATAAGCCAACCCAATGGTTCTCTCCCCTCGCGTAGATTATTCACTGGGCCCCACACACAAATTTGTGCAAGCATTGTGCATCTTGCCCAAGAATTTATTTTTCCACGATTGATTAGTGCATATTGACATGGAGTTGAGTGTCTAAGGCAGTGGACGAACGAGTTTATAATATCCACAAGGCATGTACATATTTTATAATACAAGTTATTTGACGACACCATCGTGTTACAATGACACTAGAAATTTATTTTTTCATTCCTACTTCCCGACATTATAGATAACAAAAAATAATAGTAAGAAATGTTGTTATGATATTGCTAATTTATTAGTATATTACATAGAAAATGCTAGACTTACTACATTTTTATACCACATTACGTACCACATCTCTAATAAAGAAGAGTCTCATTGTATTGGTGGACTCCATCTCTATTAGATATGTGGTATAAAAATATGATAAGCCTAGCATTACGCATATTACATTATTAATTAATTAGCTTCTAACTGGTGAGGTGCCTTTGCGATGATGAATTTGTTGTGGTAGAAATTATACAAGTACATGGAGAATAAAATCGAAAATGCAGTGAAGCTAGGCCAGGTTTCAGACCAAGTACGATCAAAACATAAAGGCTTTTCTCAGTGGGATTCATATTCATCTCGACGTGATCATGATACCATTCTTCAAGTATGAAAGATAACCAATATATATCAATTTAATTTGCCTGATATATTTTATGCTTAATATATTTTTCTTAAATTTTCTCAGATAGTAATTGATGGAAGAGACCCGATTAATGCAACAGATAATGAAGGTTGTGCGTTGCCAACTTTAGTGTATTGGCTCGAGAGAAGAGACCCCAGTATCACCATAACTTCAAAGCTGGCGCTATGAATGCTCTGGTAAATTACATATTTTGTTTCTCATATAAATAAAATAAAATAATTCTGACTTCTTCTTCAATCAATATTCTTTGTTATCTAATATCCTTTATTAATTTATTTTCAGATTAGGGTATCTTCATACATTAGCAATGGGAAGTTACTTCTTAATGTAGATTGTGATATGTATTCAAACAACTCCTTGGCCATACGAGATACGCTTTGTTTCTTAATGGATGAAGAGAAAGGCCATGAGCTTGCATTTGTACAGTTCCCACAGAATTTCAAAAACCTTACTAAGAATGAATTATACGCTTCATTACGCGTAATCAATGAGGTGAGTATTTGTTGACAATAATTATATTTATGGTAATGGAATAAGTAAAGTTTTTGATCATGTTATTTTAAATTTTATTAATTCTTACTTATTTGGAATTATTTGTCTGTGTTGTGTATATGGAAGGTGGAAGCACATGGTGTGGATGGTTATGGAGGCCCTCTATATGTTGGAACTGGATGCTTTCACAGAAGAGATACACTTTGTGGGAGGAAATTCAGCAAGGATTCTAAGAGTGATATGAAGTGGGATAATAGGAAAAGAGAAGAACTTGGCATTCATGAATTGGAAGAAAACACAAAAGGTCTTGCAAGTTGTACATTTGAAGAGAACACTCAATGGGGAAAAGAGGTCTCTCTCTCTCTCCCCCCCAAAATTTTAGGGTATATAATGAAATGACACGTAATCATTGTTTAAAAATACTGCCGGTATGATTTAAATTCAAATTTTAATTGGTAATGTGTAGATGGGCTTGAAATATGGATGTCCAGTTGAAGATATAATAACGGGGCTATCAATCCATTGCCGGGGATGGAAATCGGTGTATTGCAATCCAGCAAGGGAAGCTTTCTTAGGATTAGCTCCAGCCACACTGCCTCATATACTTGTGCAGCATAAGAGATGGTCAGAAGGTAACTTTCATATTTTTCTTTCTAAGTACAGTCCTGCTTGGTATGCCTATGGGAAGATTAGGTTAGGCCATCAACTTGGATATCTTCGCTACTCCCTCTGGGCTTCAAATTGCTTGGCAACCCTAGTTTACTCAACTCTCCCTTCGCTTTACCTCCTTAGAGGCACATCCTTATTTCCACAGGTATGGTTCCTATGTCCTTATATCCTCATTATATATATAACCGTACGGTACCTTTAGAGTATATTTCCCTCTAATGGATTTTGTTTTGTGAATTTAATTAGATGTCAAGTCCATGGCTCATACCATTTGCATATGTGATCATTGGCAAGTACACTTGGAGCTTTGTGGAGTTTCTGTGGTGTGATGGTACAATATTAGGTTGGTGGAACGAGCAACGCATATGGCTTTACCAGAGAACAAGCTCCTACCTCTTTGCCTTCATAGATACCATTCTATTCTCCATCGGATACAGTAATTCAGCCTTTGTAATCACAGCCAAGGTGGCAGATGAAGATGTGTCGAAGCGATACGAGAAAGAGATTATGGAGTTTGGAGCCTCCTCTCCAATGATCACCATTTTGGCAACATTTGCGTTGCTCAATCTGTGCTGCTTTGCTGGGTTTGTATTGGAAGAAGCAATTGCTGGATCGAAGGGCATTGCAAAAGCTTATGAGACTATGTCTTTGCAGGTTCTTCTGTGTGGGGTTTTGATTCTCATTAACCTACCTTTGTACCAAGGCCTTTACCTGAGAAAAGATAAGGGGAAGATGCCGAGCTCCGTAGCATATAAATCAATGGTCATTGCTGTGTTTTCTTGTGTATGTTTTAAATTATCATATTAAATTAAGGGATTGTGAAGAAATGTATGTTCTAAGAGCCCCCCAACCTACAATTAATTTTCTTAATTAACTGCCTCGCATCACATGTGGACGTTCCATGATCATTATCCTGGAACAAATATAGGATTCAAAACAATTGGTATGAAAATCATTTGCTTAATTATATTTTGTGTACACTCATACTGGTTATGATAAAATGAATAAATAAAAAGCCGTGTTGGATTCTAAATAAAAAGAGCCTCTTCTGAAACTTGTTCAAAAGGGAAGAAGGGCTATCTCCTCTCCTTTATGTATTCAACTACACAACTGGTTCAGCGCTGCCAATGCAGGCCCATAAATTAATGGTGAGTATGGGGTACAACTTACAACTTACAAGTTACATCCATGATGGCTCCAGTCCAGCAGCCTCAGTAAGGGTCGACGTGCAAATCACGATTGCGTCTCATATTTTGGAGTAGCCATTTGGGTTCTGTTCTGATGAAGGAGAAAAGTCACGATTTCCGCAGATGAAGGAGAAATGGGCTTTGTTTACAGTTTCATTTTACTCCCCAATATATGGAGCTTACGGTCTCATTCTCATCCGAAAAGACTATAATGAGGAGTAGAGAGTGAGGAGCTTATTTGAGGGGTTCAATCCCACCATCAACAACTGTCAGTAAATCAATTGACTTAAAATATGCCGTCATAAAAATGTATATTGTAGCTAAAAACTAGTCCACCACGTTTTCCACTTAGCATGACCACGAGCATAAATACTTGCTTAAAGAAAGGCAATACCAAACGACTCAAACGACTCGATTGTCATTTCGCATACCCTTTGTTTTGTAACGGAGGAAACTTGAAATCCCCACCCCAAACAAAAAGAAAAGAAACAAAGATTAAAAAAAAAAACTGCACGTGTTGTTGCACCTAACTACTACCATACCATTAGGTGGTGGCAGAGTTTTGTTATTTTGGCTTCATATTATAAGACTTGGGTGAATCTCTATAACTAGGAAAGGAAGAGTGGCGGAGCCAGGAATTTATGTGTTGGGGGGCCAACATATAAACCAAACAAGACTTTTAAAAAATTCAAAATTTCAACCTTAACAATGTTTGGAAAAATTAATGGCAAAAAATAATTGTTTATTCAATTAGGTATCAAAATAACACTTGTTGTTTTCATATCTCGAAAACCATCTATAATTGAGTCAATGCTAAACTTTTCGGCAATTTCCCTTTCAATGTACATAATCAAAAAGTTTGTGAGAAATTCTTCTTCTATCTTGTTATGAAGCCTAGTTTTTACTATACGCATAGCACAAAATGATCGCTCTACAGTTGTTATAGAAACAGGAAGAGCAAGCACAAGCACAACCACTCTATAAACAAGTGAAACAAAAATTAAAATCTCAATCCTTTTTTATTTGGGTAAAGTCTACTTTCTATTTGATAAAGGAATTTTTTGAAACTTTATTTGATTGGCTGCTTTAATTTTTTTATTAATATATTGATGGACATTAGATTCCACTTTTTTAAAACCAAAGTTGGCGTGTGGACAGAAACATTCACGACCTTCAGTCAAGTGGTTATTATTATATATATACTTAATTTGGAAAGAGAAACACATTTTGAGGGGGCCACAAGCAAAATTGTTATGCATACTTTCTAAAATCTGTAGGAATAGAGGACCAAAAATAAAATATTATCAAATTTTTGGGGGGGGCCCGGGCCCCTTCAGGCCTTAAAATACCTCCGCCACCCATTCTCCCAATCATAATACTGTTCAGTACTGGCCACTGAGAAATGGCTAGCGATGAGCTGAGAATGGGAAAGGAAGAAGAACATTTGCCATTGTTTGAGACAAAGAGAGCCAAAGGAATAGTCCTATATAGGCTTTTTGCAGCATCTGTATTTGCAGGTATATGTTTGATTTTGGTTTATAGGGTGAGCCACGTACCAAAAGCAGGTACAGATGGAAGGTTTGGGTGGATTGGATTGTTGGGTGCTGAGATATGGTTTGCTTTTTACTGGCTCCTCACTCAAGCCTCTAGGTGGAACCCTGTTTATAGGCACACCTTCAAGGACAGGCTCTCTCAAAGGTATCTACAACTTCATATATGCATCTCTCTTTTTGGTAAATCATTTACTTCATGTCACTCTGCCTCTTAGTAATGTATGTATTAATCAATTTGGAACAAATAATTTTTATTTTTAATGTTTTCAACAACTGTCATCCGTGAAAGTTGTGCAGATATGAGAATGAGTTGCCGGGGGTGGACATATTCGTGTGCACGGCAGACCCCACAATAGAGCCACCAATGATGGTGATAAACACTGTTTTATCGGTCATGGCTTATGACTACCCACCAGAGAAGCTGAGTGTGTATCTCTCAGATGATGGAGGCTCAGAAATTACATACCATGCCCTCTTGGAAGCTGTTGAGTTTGCCAAACACTGGACACCATATTGCAAGAAATACAATGTGGAGCCAAGGTCACCTGCTGCTTATTTCGTCTCAGTACCTGCTGATGATGCAGTTGAAGATAATCAGGCTAAAGATTTCGTAGTTATTACGGTACTAATATCAAGAATTGAATTAACTTTCAGAAATTTTTGTGGTGCAAATTTAGGTAGGCCCATCACAAACATTATTAATCTGCCTTCTGAAATTATTGCTGTAGAAATTATACAAGGACATGGAGAATAAAATCGAAAATGCAGTGAAGCTAGGCCACATCTCAGAAGAAGTACGATCAAAACACAAAGGCTTTTCTCAGTGGGATACATATAAATCGCGACATGACCATGACACCATTCTTCAAGTATGATAGTTTACCATAAAACTGCAAGTCAGGGTCATTGATATTTAACTGGTGTTTGATCAAATTTTTTTCTTTTCTCAGATAGCAATTCATGGGAGAGACCCCAATTCAGCTGATGTTGAAGGGTGTGGGTTGCCAACTTTGGTGTATTTGGCTCGAGAGAAGAGACCCCAGTATCACCATAACTTCAAAGCCGGTGCTATGAATGCTCTGGTAATTTTACTTTATTTGGTAACACATTTTTTTTTACTAGCTGAAGTATTCAGAAAAGAGAGTCTTTACTTGTTTAATGTTGCAAATAAATTTCATCTTATATTCATTGTTTGATCATTATGTGATCCTTTGTGTAGATCAGGGTATCTGCAAACGTTAGCAATGGGAATGTCATTCTTAATGTAGACTGTGACATGTATTCAAACAACTCCATGGCCATAAGAGATGCGCTTTGTTTCTTAATGGATGAAGGGAAAGGTCATGCGGTTGCATACGTACAGTTCCCACAGAATTTCAAAAACCTTACTAAGAATGAATTATATAGTTCGTTTCGAATAATCAGTGAGGTGAGTGTATACATATATCAATGGAATCGAAATTTTCAATTATTATAAATCTTTTGCCTACATGTTTGGAATTCTATATATGTGATGGATATTAAAATATGAAGGTGGAAATGCATGGTTCGGATGGTTATGAGGGCCCTATATACATTGGAAGTGGATGCTTTCACAGAAGAGATACTCTTTGTGGAAGGAAGTTCATCAAGGGATCTAAGAGTGATATGAAGTGGGAGATCAGCAGAAAAAGAGAAGAAAGTGGCATTCATGAATTGGAAGAAAATTCAAAGAGTCTTGCAAGCTGTACATTTGAACAGAACACTGAATGGGGAAAAGAGGTCTACTTTCTCTCTTTTTCTTTCTCAGTCTGTGCCACAGCAAGTGCATATAATTAATTTGAGGAGCTTGATATATCTATGAATCTTGAAAACTTTGCAGATGGGATTGAAATATGGATGTCCAGTTGAAGATGTGATAACAGGGCTATCGATTCAATGCCGTGGATGGAAATCGGTGTATTGCAACCCAACAAGAAAAGCTTTCTTAGGATTGGCTCCAACCACACTGCCTCACACACTTGTGCAGCATAAGAGATTGTCAGAAGGTTCTCTCCAGATTTTACTTTCTAAGTACAGTCCGGCTTGGTATGGTCATGGAAAGATAAGTTTGGCCCTTCAACTTGGATATTGTATTGTCTGCTGCTGGGCTTCCAATTGCTGGGCAACCCTATTTTACTCGATTGTCCCTTCACTTTACCTCCTTAAGGGCATTTCCTTATTTCCACAGGTATAATTGATCTTGTGTCTCAGTGATAATTGATTTGTCACAATATATGTCACATCACTAATAAACATGAGACATAAACTACTTACATAAGTAAGTCTCGCCTCGTCTCTATCAGAGATGTGGTTTATAACGTAGCCGCCCAAATAGTATATTTCTCAATGTCTGATGGGTTTTGTTTTGTGAATTTAGATCTCAAGTCCATGGCTCATACCATTTGCATATGTGATCATTGGCAAGTATACTTGGAGCTTTGTGGAGTTTCTGTGGTCTGGTGGAACAATCTTAGGTTGGTGGAATGACCAACGAATGTGGCTGTACAAGAGAACAAGCTCTTACCTCTTTGCCTTCGTTGATACCATTTTATACTTCCTGGGATATACTGATTCAGCATTTGCCATAACAGCCAAGGTGGCTGATGAAGATGTGTCGCAGCGATACGAGAAAGAGATTATGGAATTTGGGGCCTCTTCTCCAATGCTCACCATATTGGCAACACTTGCATTGTTCAATGTGTACTGCTTTGCTGAGTTTGTGAAGGAAGCAACCACTGGATCAAAGGGCATGGCTCAAGTTTTTGAGACAATGGCTTTGCAAATTCTTCTGTGTGGGGTTCTGATCCTCATCAACATACCTTTGTACCAAGCACTTTATCTAAGGAAGGACAAGGGAAAGATGCCGGCCTCCATAGCATTTAAGTCAATGGCATTTGTTCTAGTTGCTTGTACTTGTTTTAAATTTCATATTGAATTGAATACCATATGGTACTGTGGGTTAAACCCGATGCGTATATACTTGGACGGTTGGTAAAGTTGCAAGTAACAGAAGGTGAGGAAATTGATGATCTTTGAGAGAGACCTAATCAAACCAACCTAAAATAAACCTGATTGGGCAAGGAAGATAAAACAACTTCAAGGCACAGACCTGCCCAAGACAGAAGAAGTGAAGCATCAGCAGCAGGCAACTAGCAACACAATCTGCATAACCTCTAGCTCATGCCCCTTTGACATATCCTTAGTGACCACCTTATTGGCGATGAAAAATCTGTTTGAGATCCTAATTGCCTCATTCCTTATACGTTCTGCCATCATCTGACAGAAGCATAAGCAAATGCAAGGAACAATTAGGCTTGACACATGAACAATAATAAATTACCTTCTTAATGCTTGGATGTTAGCCTAATAATGATGTATCTTCTTCCTTCTTAATGATTGGTAATTGCGGGATTGAACGTTAGGATGCCATACTGCAGGCCAAAATTGGCTTAACAAGGGAATGCCATGGAGCAAGCAAAGAGGAAGAACAAAGACATAATACAAATTTGGCAAGGAATTTGAAGCAGGCAAAAGGTAGAGACTATATCTCATTTGGGAACCCAAGTTAGTAGCAATGCACCCTCAAAAATGATTCTATTTATGGCAATGACATTTTATATAATGGTCATCAAAGAAACCTTTTTTAATACAAATATCTAAAATATATACATGCAAATACAGAAAATGCCATTGATTTAAAGGCTATGGAGCTCGGCATCTTTCCCTTGTCCTTCCTTAGGTAGAGGGATTGGCACAATGGTCGGTTAATGAGAATCAAAACCCCACACAGAAGAATTTGCAGAGGCATTGTCTCATGAAGTTTTGTCATGCCCTCTCCCATGATTGCTTCCTTTACAACACCAAGAAAGCAGAACAAATTGAGCAATGCAAGTATTGCCAGTATGGTAAACATTGGAGACGAGGCTCCAAATTCCATAACCTCTTTCTCGTATCGATGCAAACAGTGACAAAGCCAAGATTTTATGTGTATGGTGGGGGCCTCTTACAAATTATAAAGAATCAAAAATTCGAACTGACAATACATACGAAAAATAGTGTATATATATCACATGTCAAGAATTATATTGCTTATTAGTTGCAATCATAATTGTCCTCAACAAATGGATAGACAAATACACTCTAAGCAAGAAAAATTGCAAGAGATAGACAAAGAGTAGGGATTTAGCAAATATCTTTAAAGTTGTTTCCCCCATTAAACCCAATAGAAAGAAAGAAAAAAAAAATCAAAATTTCACAAATTAAAAAAAACCTTAGGTCCCTTCATGTATTCATATCATACATGAAAAAATATTTTATGTAAAAATATTGACTAAGTATGAAAAATGGTTTTTCGGAATAATCATTTTCTCAAGATAATTTTTGGCAGCTTTTATTCCTTACACATCAAATATGAAAACTTGATTTTATGGGATTTTAGTATGAAGTATATATTTGACTTAATGAGCCATCATTTTTAGCATAAATCGTATTTTACACTAATCTAAAACCGATTTTTCATATTTTGATTTGGTGGGAATTTGATTTTCTAGTATTTTTATTTGAATCCAAATAGAGAGTACTTCCTTATTTATATTGTAAACTTAAGTAAATGGAATAATATAAAAATAAATTAAAGTAAAAGGACAAAGACATTTACTTAAATGTTGAAAATGAAAATAAGATAATATGTACACCTAGAGTGCACCGCCACCAACTAAGCAAGGGGGCAATTTAAAGTACCTCCTTGTGCCTTAATAGGTCCGCCACAACACGTGGGTACATATCAAAACGTAAAGTATTTGAAATAATGTACATATAAAAATACATAACAGTATATTACTTTTAAAATATAAAAAAACGTGAGTGGGGCCCAGGACCACACTGGTCCCAGTGTGGCTCCGCCCCTGGATGCGAAACATCTTCATCAGAAACCTTGGCTGTTATTACAAATACTGAATCAGAATATCCGAGGGAGTTTAAAATGGTATCAATGAAGGCAAACAGGTAGGAACTTGTTCTCTTGTAAAGCCATATACGTTGGTCGTTCTACCAACCTAAGATTGTACCACCAGACCACAGAAACTCCACAAAGCTCCAAGTGTACTTGGCAATTATCACATATGCAAATGGTATGAGCCAAGGGCTTGAGACCTAAACCGACAAAACATGAATTTTGTAAAATTAGGAAAAAACTTACTATAGCCGAACGGCTATACTAATTTATAATATAAAAAAATTGGAACATCCCTGTATAGCCAGGCGGCTATAATTTTTTTAATAAAAATTTGGGGAAATCTGTTTTTGTTATAAAAAAAATGATGGAAAACCCAGTATAGCCGTGCGAAATACTATTTCTTTTTATAAAAAAATTGGAAAAAAAATAGTATAGCCGGGCGGCTGTACTATTTCTTTTATAAAAAAAATTGGAAGAAACCCTGTTTAACCGTGCGATGATACTACTTCTTTTTTAAAAATTGAAAAAACTAGAGTATAGCCGACCTGCTATACTATTTCTTTTATAAAAAAATTAGAAAAACCCAATATAGCCGCATTTTTAAAGAAAATTCAAAAAACAATTTAAAAACTGGAGTATATCTGCACGGCTATACTATTTAATAAAAAAATAATGAAAAAAGGACTCTCCTAGTTGCATTAGTTTATCCTTTATATATATGAATTTGGTATAGCCTTGCGGCTATACAAATAAAATACGTATGTAAATTCGGCAACATTTCGGCAAAGTACAACTTAAAAGTTCGGCCACAATATAATATTTTAATATATATTATTTGTATTCAATAATGTGTATAATACAAGAATTTTGTGTGCATTATTGAAAATTTTGTAAAAAATACATGTATTAAACATGAAAAATACGTATGTACATGTTCAATACAAGCATTGTACATTTGTTTTTAAGAAACATGAATTTTACCACGCAGCTATACTATTTCGTACAAAAACAATTGGAAAAAACCCAGTATAGCCAGGCGGCTATACCTTTTAAAAAAAATTTTGGAAAACCCCGAGTCTAGCCAATCGGCTACTCTATCTTTTGTAAAAATAAAAAATAAAAAATAGGAAAAAAAAAGCCATACTATCTCTTTAAAAAGAATTTAAAAAATTACTAGTATAGCTGGGCGACTAAACTGTTTTTAAAAAAAATTTGGAAAAATTCGGGTATAGCCGAGTGGCGATACTATTTCTTTTTGAAAAATTAGTAAAAAACCCACTATAGTTTCTTTTAAAAGAATTTAGAAAAATACGAGTATAGCAGGGCGCCTCTACAGTTTTAAAAAAAATTTGGAAAAATCCGGGGGCTATACTATTTCTTTTTAAAAATTAAAAAAAAACCCAATATTGCCGTGCGCCTATACTATTTCTTTTTAAAACAATTGGAAAACCCCCAAGTATAGCCGCTCGGTTATACCATTTCTTTTATATAAAAAATTGAAGAACCCAGAATAGCCGCCGGCTATACTATTTCTTTAAAATAGAATTTAGAAAAACGCGAGTATAGGCGGGGGCCTATACAGTGTTTTAAAAAATTTGGAAAAAACCAGAGTATAGCCGTGCGGCTATACCATTTCTTTTAAGAAAAATTGGGAAAAACCTGGTCTAGCCAGCCGGCTATACTATTTCTGTTACAAAAAAAATTGGAAAAAACCCAGAATAGCCCACCGGCTACACTATTTCTTTTATAAAAAGTTGGGAAAAACCCAGTTTAGCATGTGTCTGTGCTTTTTCTTTTAAAAAAAATTGGAAAAAACTCGAGTATAGCCGGTCGGCTATACTATTGCTGTTTTAAAAAAAAAACATGAGACATAACTGCCTCACCTCTATCAGAGATGCGGTTTATAACATAGCCGCCCAAATAGTAAATTTCTCAATATGTCTGATGGGTTTTGTTTGCGAATCTAGATCTCAAGTCCATGGCTCATACCATTTGCATGTGTGATGATTGGCAGGTATACTTGGAGCTTTGTGGAGTTTCTGTGGTCTGGTGGCACAATCTTAGGTTGGTGGAATGACCAACGAATGTGGCTGTACAAGAGAACAAGCTCTTACCTCTTTGTCTTCGTTGATACCATTTTATACTTCCTGGGATGTACTGATTCAGCATTTGCCATAACAGCCAAGGTGACCGACGAAGATGTGTAGTAGCGATACGAGAAAGAGATTATGGAATTTGGGGCCTCTTCTCCAATGCTCACCATATTGGCAACACTTGCATTGTTCAATTTGTACTGCTTTGCTGAGTTTGTGAAGGAAGCAACCACTGGATCAAAGGGCATAGCACAAGTTTTTGAGACAATGGCTTTGCAAATTCTTCTGTGTGGGGTTCTGATCCTCATCAACATACCTTTGTACCAAGCACTTTATAAGGAAGGACAAGGGAAAGATGCCGGCCTCCATAGCATTTAAGTCAATGGCATTTGTTCTAGTTGCTTGTCCTTGTTTTAAATTTTCATATTGAATTGAATACCATATGGTCTTGTGGGTTAAACCCGATGCGTATATGCTTGGAAGGTGTGGAAGGCAAAAAGGAAGTTTGCAAATAATAGTTTAAGGTTGGTAAAGTTGCAAGTAACAAAAGGTGACGAAATTGATGATCTTGAGAGAGACCTAATCAAACCAACCTAAAATAAACCTGATTGGGCAAGGAAGATAAAACAACTCCAAGGCACAGACACCAGGAACCCAAGACAGAAGAAGTGGAGCATCAGCAGCAGGCAATTAGCAACACAATCTGCATAACCTCTAGCTCATGCCCCTTTGACATATCCTTAGTGACCACCTTATTAGTGATGCAAAATCTGTTTGAGATAGCCCTAATTGTCATTGATTTTATATAGAGATTTTCTATTTAAACCCCACACTTCTCTTAGTTCACCCCATGTTCTAAGTTCACCCCAACTTTTAATTTAAATTTTCACAATTTCTAAGAAAACCCCATTATCTTCCTAAACTACCCTTAAATACACCCCAAACTGAAAAAATAAGAACTAAAAGAGATTTTCTATTTAAACCCCGCAATTTTCTTTGTTCCCAACCAAAAAAAACACAAACAAATGAAACCCTAAATCCGAAATTTAATACTTTCTAGAGAAAGAGAACAGCTTTACCTCTCTCCAAGAACTGTAACTGAAATTCTAACACTTCGGTCTTGTTGAGAACTTGAGCGCGAGAGAGAGAGAGAGAGAGAGAGATATTGTAAACAGGAAGTTGGAATGAGGTTTCTAAAACTTAATATGAAGAGTGGTGGGGTGTATGGAGTGTGTGTGTATAAATGTACTAGGGTTAATTATTAAGTTGGATGACTTTTTTTGTCTTTTTACACAATAAAATAACTTACAGCTTAATGATTTAAGTATTTGGGTGAACAAAGAGAAGTGTGGGGTTTAAATAGAAAATCTTTATATAATGGTCAATAAAGAAACCTTTTTTAATACAAATATTTAAAACATATACATGCAAATACAGAAAATGCCATTGATTTAAAGGCTATGGAGCTTGGCATCTTTCCCTTGTCCTTCCTTAGGTAGAGGGCTTGGTACAATGGTAGGTTAATGAGAATCAAAACCCCACACAGAAGAATTTGCAGAGGCATTGTCTCATAAAGTTTTGTCATGCCCTCTCCCATGATTGCTTCCGTTACAACACCAAGAAAGCAGAACAAATTGAGCAATGCAAGTGTTGCCAGTATGGTAAACATTGGAGATGAGGCTCCAAATTCCATAACCTCTTTCTCGTATCGATGCAAAACATCTTCATCAGAAACCTTGGCTGTTATTACAAATGCTGAATCAGAATATCCGAGGGAGTTTAAAATGGTATCAATGAAGGCAAACAAGTAGGAAGTTGTTCTCTTGTAAAGCCATATACGTTGGTCGTTCCACCAACCTAAGATTGTACCACCAGACCACAGAAACTCCACAAAGCTCCAAGTGTACTTGGCAATTATCACATATGCAAATGGTATGAGCCAAGGGCTTGAGACCTAAACCGACAAAACAAAACTCATTATTACAGACATTGAGAAAAGAGAAAATGTTATGGAAGGCTGTGACAAACTAATTAATATGAATGATAGAGGAACCATACCTGCGGAAATAACGAAACGCCTCTAAGGAGATAAAGTGAAGGGATAATTGAGTAAAATAGGGTTGCCATAGAATTGGAAGCCCAGAAGCAGTAACAACAGTATCCAAGTTGAAGACCTAAGCTAATATTTCCATATGCATACCATACAGGGCTGTACTTTGAAAGCAAAATCTGGAAATCACCTTCTGACCATCTCTTATGCTGCACAAGTGTCTGAGACAGTGTGGTTGGAGCTATTCCTAAGAAAGCTTTCCTTGTGGGATTACAATACACTGATTTCCATCCGCGGCATTGGATTGATATCCCCGTTATCACATCTTCAACCGGACATCCATATTTCAAACCCATCTGCAAATTATAGAGATTCATTAAGCTCAAACTATTGTACACTTGTGTGTTTGTGGATAGAGAGAGAAATAAAGACCTCCTTTCCCCATTCAGTGTTCTCTTCAAATGCACAGCTTGCAAGACTTCTTGAATTTTCTTCTAATTCATGAATGCCAGTTTCTTCTCTCTTTCTACTAATCTCCCACTTCATTTCACTCTTACATCCCTTTATGAACTTCCTCCCACAAAGAGTATCTCTTCTGTGAAAGCAGCCACTTCCAATATATAGAGGGCCCCCATAACCATCCAAACCATGGAATTCCACCTTCAATTCCCACAAACAGAGAATTCCTAACATGTCAGCCATAAATATTAAAACATTATAGAACTTCACTTAAATAAGTTTAACTCCACTTCATATAACTTCACGAACGCCTACTCACCTCGCTGATTACTCGTAATGAATTGCTATATAATTCATTCTTAGTATCATTTTCGAAATTCTGTGGGAACTGTACATAGGCAATCTCATTGCCTTCTGCTTCATCCATTAAGAAGCAAAGTGCATCCCTTACGGCCTTAGAGTTGTTTGAATACATATCACAGTCTACATTAAGAAGGACCTGCCCATTGCTAATGTTTGAAGATACCCTTATCTGCAGCACAAAGGATCACATAACAAATTAACATTGACTTGTAGAAATTTCTGCGGTATCAACAAACACACCAATACTTGATGATTTTGGAAGCACCTTTTTGGTCTCTCTAGCAAAGAAAATATTGCCAAAAATATAGCTTGAAATGAAACTGAGTTTCTTTTTACTAGTTTACCAATGCATTCATAGCGCCAGCTTTGAAGTTATGGTGATATTGAGGTCTCTTTTCTCGAGCCAAATACACCAAAGTTGGCAACACACACCCTTCAACATCTGTTGCATTTAGGTCTCTCCCATCAATTACTATCTGAGAAAAATGAAAAGGATGATAATATAATACATTAATTAATGTGTGTTTATGTATGTCAATAGCTCAAATTAAGAAATTATTATCTTCCATTTCTAAACAGTGAGGATCAAAATTTCATACCTGAAGAATGGTGTCGTGGTCACGTCGTGATGAATATGTATCCCACTGAGAAAAGCCTTTATGTTTTGATCTTACTTCTTCTGAAATGCGGCCTAGCTTCACAGCATCTTCAACTTCATTCTCCATGTCTTTGTATAATTTCTACATGGACAAATTGAGAAGGCAGCTATCACTAGATTAATCAATCATGCAATCTGTTTTATTGATTTTACCGTTTTAGTGATTTAATTTATTTAAAAAAATTAATAAGCCTATTGTCACTACTTATCATATTTGTATGTTCCTCCTCCATGTCCATGAACCTCCAGCAACATGTGCAGTGTTACTTTCCAAAAGAAGAACATTGGCAAAGTTATGAGTCTCCAAATCTCAGCTTGCAGCACTCAAAATTATGAAAACTTATTGTGTACACTTCTTTCGTAAGAATGCGTATGGGATTCACTGTTTTTTGTTAACGAATGAGGGAAGAAAATCTTAGGTGTAGCGGCTGTACACGATCATGTGTAAATTCCGTTATAGGGAAGTTTTTCTCCATTGAGAGGTATTGGCTGGCTGTATGCCTCAATGAAAAAACCCAATTCAGGTTATCAGTAATTCACATTTCGAACCAGAACCACACAACCCAATCCACATCGCCATCCAAAAATGACCCAATTCACATGCTCACCATTTATTTATTTTTTATAATAAACAAAGACAAATTAGTTTTAAATTATTGACCTCTTTGAACATTTTCTATGTTATCTATGTACTCATGACAAAATTGGTTGGATTCAATATAACCTAGCCTTCCGCATGCGCTTTCCACGCTTCCTCGAGGTTTCTTTTTTTTTTTTTTTTTTTTTTTAATTTATTTTTTAGAATTAAAAAAGATAATGGGTAGTTGTGTTACATAAAAATAGGATTTATTATCTTATTTTCTTTTAATTATTTCTTTTTTAAATATGAAAAAGTGTGAATTTACCATATTATCCTCATTTAATTAATAATTTCAAATCTTAATATTTGCATTAACTAAGAGCATTTTCTTGTATTTTAAATGTTTTACCATTCTCTGCCTTTTGCTTTATATATATAGATATATAGATATATAGATATATAGATAAGGAAATTAAATAGTACCTTAATGCCAGACAAATCAGCAGCCTGGTTATGATCAGCATCAACTGCATCATCAGAAGAAACAAAATAAGCGGCAGGTGATCTTGGCTCCACATTGTATTTCTTGCAATAGGGTATCCAATGCTTAGCAAACTTAGCAGCCTCCAAGAGGGCAAAGTACGTAATTTCTGAGCCTCCATCATCTGAGAGATACACACTCAGCTTCTCTGGTGGGTAGTCATAAGCCACGACTGATAAAACAGTGTTTATCACCATCATTGGTGGCTCTATTGTGGGATCTGCCGTGCACACGAATATGTCCACCCCCGGCAACTCATTCTCATATCTGTTCAAATTTCATGGACGACAGTTGTTGAACACATAAATAGACACAACTTATTTGTTCCAAAGTGATTAAAACATACATTACTAACAGACAGAGTAACATGAAGTAAATGATTTACCAAAAAGAGAGATGCATATATGAAGTAGTAGGTACCTTTGAGAGAGCCTGTCCTTGAAGGTGTGCCTATAAACAGGGCTCCACCTGGAGGCTTGAGTGAGGATCCAGTAAAAACCAAACCATAGCTCAGCACCCAACAATCCAATCCAGCCAAACCTTCCATCCTCTCCTGCTTTTGGTATGTGACTTACTCTATAAATCCAAATCAAACATATGCCTGCAAATATAGATGCTGCAAAAATCCTATATAGAACAATTCCCTTGGCTCTCTTTGTCTCAAACAATGGTGAATACCCTTCTTCCTTTCCCATCTGATAATTCAGATCTCTCTCTCTCTCTCTCTCTCTCTCTCTCAAAATGGATAATTATATAATACATTTGTGTGCTTGTGGTTATATATAGTATGGGCATGAATGACACCTGCCATGGTGGAATAAGGACAGTTTTTGTCTGCTTTTACCATTATTGTTGACAATTATTTAGTACATGCGTCCGTCAATGGTTTAATGAGGATGTTGTGAAATGTTGACTTGAATTTTTAATGTTAGTGCACTGAAAGAAACAAAGTCTATATACAACTGCTTGAGTTGTTAGAAATTGACATTATTACTAGACAGGTTGATTGCTTTGAATATTGACAAAGTCAAACAAAAACAAACGAAGGCTTGAGCTAGCTCTATGATGAATCACATTCGTCACCTTTGTTGAATCAGATTAACTGAATATATTGTTTGTTTTCTACTATAAGGGGCTAAGTTGTTAATGTCCCGTATCAAATTTTGAAGGAAGTTGAGGTTTCATCCCAAAATCAATTGACTATGGGGACTAGCCCAACTCCTTATATACCTAGGCAGCTAGGCTAGGTCCTTTTAACTTTTCAATGTGGGACAAATACTCTCAACAAATTTGCACAAAATATGAACTTTCATATAATGTCTTTTTTCGGTCGAATCATGTAGTGTCTGTGAATAAAATAAATTCAAATGTAACGACATCTGAATTATAACTTCCAACGAGAAAAAGATAAAATGGAACAAATGAGCAAATAAAGCACTCTTTCCATGAGCATGTGCCCAAGTAAAAATGCTAGTTTATATCATGATAATTGTTTATCAATCTTTCAGCTAGCTTTCCTAGTATATAGGCATCAGGCAGGCCAGTGCAAGCAAAAAAACTGACTTGAACGTGACAGAGGATGGTATATGGCCTTTATCGCTGCGGATGAAGAGCGCTTGGTACACCGGTAAATTGATCAGAACTAATATGACAGAAAGAATAACCTGGCTGATCAACTGGTCTAAAGCTTTGGAATGCCTGTCCATGACAACTCTCTTTGTTCCCCAAACTAAGCTCAGAAAATTCAGCAATGCTGATGTTGCTAACACGGTATACATAATGCTTGCACTTCCGAATTCCATAATCTCTTGCTCATACCGCTTTGAAACATCATCTGTGATCACCTTATCAGTGAGGGCAAACTCTGTCTCAGATAGCCCCAGTTGCCTCTTTATGGTATCGAAGAAGGCGAAGAAGTAGGAAGTGATCCTTCGGATCAGCCACATTCGTTGTAAGTACCACCATGCTTTGAGTGTGCTACCACTTCTCAGGGCTTCAACTATGCTGTAAACATTCTTGGCTATAAATACATAAGCAAATGCTAGGAACCACAGGCTTGACACCTGAAATGAAAACATCAATCAATTAAAAACCAACATTTTCAATGTGATTGAATAGTAGCTTAATAGACCAAAGATTTTAGGAAGCAATTGGGTTAGCTAATGTTTCTTTCCACCAAAGCATAAAAGAGTGAGCTTGAGGTACCTTAGGGAACAAGGGAATGCCATGGAGCAAGCAAAGAGGAGGAATAGTCACATAATACAAAGTTGGAAAGGAAAATGGAGCCCACAGAAGGTAGATACAATATGCCATCTGGGCACCCAAGTGTATCTTCCCATGCCCATAAATGAAAGGGCAATATTTGGAGAAAAATATCTGAAACAAGCCCTCAGACCACCTCTTATGTTGAATAAGTGCTATATCTAAGGTATTTGGAGCAACACCCAGAAAGTCTTTTCTCTCTGGGTTATAATAGATCGATTTCCATCCCCTACATTGAACTGCTAAGCCAGTAGCAATATCTTCAACAGGACACCCATATATCAATCCCATCTGCATAAAAATAACATATATCTCATCATGATCTTCAAGACTAATATTGAAAGGGTAGAAAATTAGCATGTTTGAGAAAGAGAGATAGGCAGAGAGAGAGAGACCTCTTTGCCCCATTGAGTACCCTTCTCATAGCTGCAACTGATAAGAGCTTTTGCAGATTCTTCCAGTTCTTTGATACTTCTTTCAATAGTCTTTTGGCTCTCTATGTTCCAATGTCCTGTATAATCTTTGGAATACTTCCTTCCAAAAAGGCATTCTCTTCGATGGAAGCATCCGGTGCCACAAAACAAGGCCGTGCCATATCCACCTAATCCAGCAAGCTCAACCTTCATGCATGACAACCAACCATGATATGTTAATTTGAAAGTAAGCGCAATTATATAACCATGGTCTAGATTTCTCACCGCATTAATAACGAAACATTCATTTCCATAGATATCGTCCTTGGTGAGATTATTATAGCCCTGTGGATGTTGCACGTAAGCGATCTCAGGGCCATACTTTTCATCCAAGAAGAAACATAATGCCTCTCGTATTGAGTCTGCATTGTTTGCATACATGTCACAGTCCAAGAGGAGGATGAAGGGTGCATTGCTTATCTCTGATGACACTCTCAGCTGCATAAGGGAAATTACCTTTTTTCAGTCTCCATAATACTTACAAATTTCAAGTTAAAAACACAATTGTGAAATATTTTACAAGTTAAAATTAGTGTCAGCAATGTAGTGGAAGTAAGGAAACTAAAGCTAACCAGTGCATTCAGAGCTCCAGCTTTGAAGTTGTGTGGCTGCTGAGGTTTCTTTTCTCGTGACATGTACACCATCATAGGTAACTGGCATCCATCATTATCCACGGCATTTATGTCTCTTCCATCAGTTATAATCTTCAAAGGAAATAAGAGGGACAGAGTAATGAAACAAACAAACAAACAAACAAAATTACAAAAGTATCGGATAAAGATCAACCAATTCACGAATTACATACCTGCACAATCGACTGATGATCATTCTTTGCTACTTTAAGGTTCCATTCTGAGAACCCTTTGTGTTGCTTCTTTATTTCTACTGGAATCTCTGCCGTTGCAACAGCAGATTCGATCCGATTCTTCATTTCTTCATAAAGTTTCTTTGGAAACATGTAAATGTCAGCTAAATTAGCCATTTCACATGCATACTTAGTCAATTATCTAAAACACTGATTTAGCAAAACTTGGCACTTTTTTATACCTTGATTTCCAGCCATTCCTGACCATACTTGATGTCATGCACATCAGAGTGCAGGGCAAAGTAGGCCTCTGGTGACCTTGGCTCAACATTGAACTTTTTGCAGAAGGGTATCCAATACTTAGCGAAACGAGAGGCCTCCAAGAGAGCATAGAAAGTGAATTCTGAACCACCATCGTCGGAAAGATAAACACTCAGCTTCTCTGTTGGATAATTGTAGGACAGCACTGATAGGACAGTGTTAATCACCAAAGTTGGTGGCTCCATTTTGGGGTCAGCAGTGCATATAAAAATGTCAACTCCCGGCAACTTGTCCTCATATCTGTAATATGCAAAGAATCATAAGAACTTCATTAATTAGAAATCCAATTTTCAACCTCCACACAACAAGAAAATGCAAAACAAAGTGGGATTTGGACTTAGAAAAATAGAGATTGATATCAAAATTGAGCCCTTTTGTCATAACTTACCTGATGCAAAGTTTTTGCTATCAGAAGAACACCTTAGATTGTACAAGTTCTATATTGAAAAACAAACTAAAAATACTCTTATTATACAATTTTCTAGATTGAAAAAGAATCTAAATTTTTTTCAATATTTGTTTTTAGTTGTTACTTCATGAACTGAGATGGAGAGCTAGCAAAACCTGTGAGAGAGCCTATCCTTGAAAGGTTGACGATAAGTAACATTCCATCTAGGAGACTGAGTGATGATCCAGTACAGCCCAAACCAGAACTCAGCCATGAGCATACCAAGCCAAGCCCACCTCCCTGCCTCTCCAGCTCTTGGGATGTTTGTTACTCTATACACCCATATCAAACACACACCCACCAATATTGTGGATGCAAAAACCCTATACAAACCTATAAATCTTGCTCTTCTGCTCTCAAACAATGGAGGAAGACTTTCTTCTCCACCACCTTCCTGCTTGCCCATCTCTCTGCTTTCTTTCTATCTCTGTTTTTGACCAAAGTAACTTTAGTGCAGCTATGTAAACTAGAAGCTAACTCTATCGTACCATACAGTCTTGATATAAGGATTGATGTGAAAACACGGTCCTGAATTATACTGTATAAAACAAGTTAAATGTCAGGTACCAAAAAAATTTACTGTGCTATTCATAACAATATTGAGGGAGGCGGGATTGCGGGCATGATGATGAGGTTTTGTTCTGTAGTGTTCCTTTTATAAAAAAAATAGAAACTCCGCTGCATGATGATGAGGTTTTGTTCTGTGGTGTTCCTTTTCTTATATATTTTTTAAAAAAAACGATACAATTATTTAACAGTCCAAGCACTTATCGTTTAGGTAGAGGTGAGGGCATATCATATGAACATATTTTTCTTGATCTTCAACCCAAAAAAAATGACACTAGTATAAGATTTTTAATGCCAAATGTCAATTCCATATCACCAATGATGTTGGGGTTGGAATTTAAAGAGAAATTTCGTAAATCTATATATATAAAGCAAAATGCATCGAATGGTCAAATATTAAGAATTGAAATTATTAATTAAATGAGAATAATATGGTAAATTCACATTTTTTTCATATTAAAAAAAATTAAAAACAAAATCAAATAATATGGCATACTTTTATGAAACATAACTACCCATGTTATTTTTTCTTAATTCTAAAAATAAAATAAAAAATAAAAAATAAAACCAACGCATGTGCCAGGAGGCTTGTATAGTATAAATAAAAAATAATATATGATATCCTATTTGTTTATTGAAGATCTGACTTTATATTTGGCTTTGGCCCTAGAAAATATGAGAGAAGCCACGTGATAGTCGACTAAAATAGTCAAGAGTTTCGATAGTCAATACAAATGTTATATTATATGATTTATTTTCTCCAGATCTGAACAAAAAAGCCAAATGTGATGTCCCACACAACACAACCGTACACGAAAGAAGCAACCACCATATCTGTGGTTGAAGTTGGTTGAAGTTGCTTGGTCTTCAAACTTCTACATCACTATTTTCCCGTATTCAGAAAGTGGCATTTGGAATTGGATTGTCTTCTTTTGTGTTTGATTCGATGACTTTAAGCAACGTTTCCACATCCCTGACGGCTTGAAATTGATTTTTGTTTTGTCCTTTTTATCTCATTCCTCAACATCACCATCCAAGTTCTTCAACCGTTTCTCATCGCAAAACTGGGTCAGCTCAAGATTAAAATTGAAAGTATGTATGTGTATGCGATTAGGGTCCATATTTAGTGCAAATTGTTATCTAGTGATACGACAATCTAATGATTTGAAGCTAGTCTTTAAGTTACAAGCATAATGAACTCTGCGATTTTTCAATTACAAATATATTCATATTACATGTTTATTTATACGTAATGGAAATTTAAAAATATAAAAATAAGGAATGAGAATCAAATCAACTATTATTATTATATGTGTAAGTAAACGCATGAGCAGTCGAAAATGGAAATCACATTCTCTTTTTTTTTATTCCCATGACTTATAAGTAAACGTGTCAATGAGAATATAAACTATAGAAAGCTCATTATTAGGATCTCAATTTCTCCTTGGTCTAGTTACCGAGACAAACTCTTATATACGTGGGACAATCATAACCAAGAGAAACTCTTATATACGTAAGGGAATCGTAACGCGGTCATCTAGTGGTATGAGACTTGGCAAATTTCTTACCACTTGTATGAGAGACTATCCCTATTCTAGTTGTTTATGAGGTGTAGAAATGTTTTGTTACTAGATGGCCCCATGCCTAGTGAAATCAAAACCACACCAAACTTAAAACTAGGGTGGGCAAACCTTGAGAGTGAGAAGGTAGAAAAGTATAGCGGATAACAACAAAAGACCCCTCATGGTTTGGGCTTATTCTCAATATAGACTTTGAGGTTTTAATTTCATCAATTTACACCCAAATGTTTTCAAATATGACCAATTTAATCCTTCCGTTAAGTTGACCGTTTGGTCAGACGTTAACTGATGACATGTCAACTATGGGACCCACCTACTAACCAAGCCCCAAAAAAAAAGATAAAATAATATAAAATTAGAAATACAAAACTTTAAAAAAAAACTCAGCCTCTTCCCTGGCCAACAACCAAGCGCCCCCATGTTCCCCACCCTATCTCGCCGACGCCTACTTCCCACCCTCTCTCCATCCACCTCTTCTTCGTCTCTCAAACCCTCCGCGATACCGTTTCACTATCCCAGAAATGCCAAACCCCCAATCTCTCCGTTGGCAAGCTCCGCACCCAAAGCAACGTCGATTCAATCCTCGCTCGCCTCCACTGCCACGTCGCTAAGATTTTGATCCAGAATGGCGTCCTCCTTGACGCCGACGTCGAGGTTCGTTCAATAATTAGCAAACCAATGGCCAGTCATGGTAATTATTTTTCTTCCAATCTTTTTAGGGTTTATAATTATATCATAATGGAAAAATTGTAGCAATGGTCCCTGGACTAAGCCCCAACTTTACTTTTCGTCCCTCACATTGCTAAATTGTTACCGTGGTATTTTAATTATGTCTCATGTTTCAGAAATAGTCCTTGTCGTCATCTCTGTCAAATTTTCCGTTTAATTTGATGACATGACATGGACGAGTCTTACTTGGCATGGGCAAAAATGTCTTTTCCACATTAAAATGATTCAGCCGAATTAGAAAGCTTACACCGTGGCATGGGCACAAATGTATTTTCACCAATGAAAAGTGTTTTGCGATTTTGAAACTGAAAGGTATCGAAGGTCCACATCAAACAGAGGAAAAAGCGAGGGAAATGGGAAGGGGAAAAGGGGAAAAGGGGTAGGTTTCTTGATTGTGATGTTTCAAAGTGCGATTTGTGGTCGAAAGTGGTCTGTTTGAAAGGGAGACAGTGTTGATTGAAGTATTAGTGCATTATTGAAGATTCAATGGTTCGGTTTTGGGACAATCGAAAGTGACAGTGTTTTAGTGTTTACAAAGTGTTTACAGAGAGACTTCACATGGGGACAATGTTTAGGTGGTCTGGAGAGCATCCAATGTATGGTAAGTTACTACAACTTTAACTTAGTGCGTTGAATATTTTATAGGTTTACGCTTTGTCTGCACATGTGTGGTCCTCTGTTATTGTCCTTATTTTGGCTATATGTGTGGTCCGGTGTTGTTGTCCTTGGTTTGAAACAGGAAAATGTGGTTTCAAAGCTTTCAAAATATTGTTTTTCTGTCATATGTTGTAACCAAAGTAATACTGTTTTTTCTGTTAGATAAACCCGAGCTATGCACTTTAAAACTTCACCATTTCGATTTGTTGAAAAATAGTGTATATAAGGGTGGGAAGGTGTGCTTTGCAGACAACTGTGTGGATGACTATTTGTCATTATTGGATTTAAAGAAAATTGGGGCAGAGCTTAGGTATAAAGTGGATATAACCCATAAGGTGATGAGCCTAAAAGTGTTTTATAAGGTGCATGGAGAAGATTTTGTTAATGAGATCTTAGATGATACGTGCATTGCAAACTTAATTGGTACCATTCCATCAAATAGAGTTGTTGTGGTGTATTTTCATGATCCAACTGACCAGAACACACTTGGCAGTATCAAAGAAGAGGTATGGCCACCAATGGATTCTGAGGAGTATGCAAATGTAGCTGAAGAGGAACATATGCAAGTTGAATTTGATGGTAATGAAGCAAACAATGAAGAGGTAAATGTGGAAGTTGAATCTACTGGTAGTGAATCTGAAAATGAAGAAAAAGATAAGGATAAAGAGTTAAAGAACAGTGATTATGAATACACTGAAGATGAGATGTCAAACATTGATCCTGGAATGACAACAAAAAAGGGAGCAAATGTTCTACCAAATGTGGGTGAAGAGGAACCAAATATTGATCCTGAAATGGTGCCTCCTAATGAAGAGAGAGGGGCTATCTCAGATGATGGTGAAGACATTGATGCACTCCCTTATAAAGGTGAAACTTCCAAGGGAGAAGATGAAAATGGAGAAAACTCAAAGAAGAGAAAATTACTAAACTTTAAATAATTTAGAAGAGAGACTGACCACAAAAATCCTCAGTTCAGGTTAGGAATGCAGTTTGTCAACAAAGAAGAAGTGAAGGAAGCTATTAAGGAGTATGCAATTGTGGAAGGCAAATCTATAAAGTTCGTGAAGAATGATAATTTTCGGGTCATAGCCAAGTGTACTGGTCACAAGTATTGCCCCTTTGTTATGTTGGCTTCAAGGATAGATAGGAATCAGTTTACTTTTGCAATCAAGACTCTTTCTTTAGAACATGAGTGTACTAGAGTTGACAGGTTGGGGTATTGCAATGCAAGATGACTATCCATTAAGTTTTCAGACAAAATTAGGTAAAATCCCAACTAGGATGTAGCAGCAATGCAGGCAGAAGTGAGAGAACAATATGCTATGAATGTAAGCAAACATCAAATATGGAGAGCTAAGAGGTTGTTAAGAGTGGTCATTGAAGGTAGCTACATAGAGAAATACACAAGGTTATGAGATTATGCAGAACAGTTGAAAGCTTTTAAAAGGGTAGCACAGTTGTAATTAAGAATGACATGGTTGGGGAGGAACCTATTTTTCAGAGAATTTATGTGTGCTTGGCAGGTTGTAAGAAAGTGTTTTTGGAGGTATGTAGGCCTTTGATTGGTGTGGATGGGTGCCATTTGAATGGACCATACACAGGACAAATATTAACAGCTGTTGGGGTTGATGGAAATAATGGAATGTTCCCCATTGCCTATACTGTAGTTGAAGCTGAAAATAAGAGTTCTTAGATGTCGTTTCTTGAGTTGTTGGTATTGGATTTAAAAATAGAGAATGGGGCTACTTTGGTGTTCATAAGTGAGGCAAAAGGGTCTGCTTCCAACCATTGAAACAGCTATGCCTATAGCTCAGCATAGAATGTGTGTGAGGCACCTTTATAGCAACTTCAGAGGGCAACATTCTGGGCTTCTTTTAAAGAACTTATTGTGGGCAGCAGCAAGGGCCACCACTGTTCCATGGTATAAAGCAGAGATGGAGAAGATGAAGGTGCAAGATAATGAAGCTTACAAGTGGCTTTAAAAAATGCCACCAAAGAATTGGAGCAGATCTCATTTCGATGAACACTGTAAGTGTGACATCTTATTGAACAATCTCTGTGAGACTTTCAACTCTTGCATACTGGACGTAAAAGACAAGGCCATCTTAACACTCCTTGGAAGAATTAGAACTTATGTGATGTTGAGGATATGTGAAAGAAGAATTGCTAGTAGGGTTTGGAGACATCCTGTTGGCCCTAAAATAGTGAAGATCATTGAGAATAACAAGAAGGGAGCACATTAATGTATTCCCAAGCTAGCAGGTGAGAAGAAATACCAAGTGTCTCATATGTATGGGGTGAGTTTGTTGTGGATCTAAGAGCAAAGACTTGCTCTTGCAGAAGATGGGATTTATGTAGGATCCCATGCTCACATGCAATTTCCTGCATTTTCCACAGACAAGAAAATGTTATAGCCAAACTACTTACCTCTCCTTATATGATCCAATGGTCCACCTTATGTCATCCATGGATCAATGGAAGAAGACAAATTTGCCTCTAATTAGACCTCCTCCTTACAAGACCCAGCCTAGAAGACCCAAGCAATCAAGAAACAAAGAGGCTTCTGAGGTTGAAGTACCTGCTTCAGTCCCTCCAAATCCTATACCACCTAATTACATTTCACCCCCTGCAAAATTGAGAAGGGTTTTTATCAAGATCAGGTGTTTTATTTGTGGCCATGAATGACACAATAAAAAAATGACACTTTAAACAAGGAGGTGCTACCAATTCTAGCAACCAAGGGGTAATTGACATACTTGAGGTAGCTTTATGTAATAGGGATACTATGCATTATGTATTGGGCCCAATAACTGACACCAACTTGTTTTCATTTTAGGACCAATCTAATGGACCAAGCAGGCCTGCAAGAGGCAGATGAATGGGTGTACATAGAGGTGCAATAAGGGGTGGTGGTAGAGGAAGGGGCAAACAACCTAGCTCTTCATTAGTAAGTGTGACATCTTATTCACTGTTTTATAAGTTCTTGTTTTGAAATTATGTTTTTAATATTGTTTTGCAATATGTTGTTGAAGGTTGGAGATGGGAATGAAAAAGGAAAACACTAGTTGCTTCACAGCCCCTCCCAAATAATGGATATTCATCATTTTCAACACCATCAAACATTATGCAATCATCATCTCAGCCAGTTTTAAGACCACCAAACACTGGCCAATCTTCACCTCAGCTAGTTACAAGCCAACATAGAAGATATAAATCTCCTGCAAAGAGGATTAGACCACCCAAAACTGGCCAACCTTCACCTCAGCTAGTTTCAAGCCACGGTATCAAATTTAAATCTCCTGCAAAGAAGGCTAGACCTTGAAGACCATGATTATGTTCCTAAATCCAAACATCATGATGTGTAATTGCTTGGGTTTTTGGTTAGGTGGGAATTTGGAAGTGATCTTTTGAACAATTTGGTGTTTTGCTGGTTAGGTTTGATGTTTGGGTTAGGTTTTGAAACCATCTTATGCTATCCAGGGTTAGCATTGGATATTGGTTGGAACTTTGTATTTTGAGGGCATATTTTGAGCATGAACTCTTATTGGAATTTGGTTATGTATTTGGAGTATGCAATTGGAACTAATGTAAACTTTGGAATCAAGTTATGCAATTGTCAAATTATATCTTCAGTTATGTTATTATACACTTACACATTACAGTGGCACAAATGGCACAATGACATAAATGTACCAAACTTTGGATTCAAGTTATGCAAATGGCACAAATGTACCCCACTTTGGATTGAAGTTAGGCAATGACACAAATGTACCAAACTCATTACACATTTCACTATTTGATCATCAAATTGTCTAGAATTTTTTCAAACAAATTCAGGATCTTAATCATCAACATTCCAACCATGAGACTAAGAACCCATGCCACAAACAGACCCACCCACATTAGTTTCCCTCTATGTCGATACACCATAATTTTCTCATCCATCTTCATTCTCTGCCTTCCCAATCTTCCAACTGTTGCAGTCAATTCCTTGTTTTCTTGCTCAATCGCTCTGAGCTTATCTTTCAGTCATTTACTATCTTCTTCTATTTGATTCAGTTCCTACTCCATACCTCTCATTCTTCTTAGCAACCCAGGAAGAACTTCCTTTCCTCCTGGGCATATCTCTTCGTCCACCCACTCCCAATATGACCTTTGCCTCTGTTCTTCTGAAGAATTTTCCATATCCAAGGTTAGATCTAAAACCTATGGACCTAAAAACACAAAATCCATACAAAAAACACAAAATTCCAGACAAAGTGACTTACCCGATTATTCTCACAAGCCTCAAATCTTCTCCGAGGATTCGAATCAGTCTAGGAAGTCCATCTTTTAATACCTCCCCCACAATCGCAAAGCTTCCATGTGTTACAGCTCCCAAAACTCTGCGACATCTCTTTTTTCTCTTTTCCCTATGTAATTTTGTTTTTGCACCAAATGCCTTAATATTAATAGAAATGGATGACATGGCATTAGGGTTCAAGTTTAGCGCCATAAATTTGAGAGGTTGTTGATATGGACATGCCTCTATTGAATCTACCACTTGAAAAGACAAATATGCCCTTAAATTAATTGAAAATTTGACAAACATGACGACAATGACTGTTTCTGAAACATGAGGCATAATTAAAGTACCACGGTAACAATTTAGCAATGTGAGGGACGAAAAGTAAAGTTGGGGCTTAGTCCAGGGACCATTGCTACAATTTTGCCTATCAGAATATTGCAAGGGTTTGGTGATTCTCCAAATTGTATCACAGGAGTTGGGTGATTCTCACGATTGTATCGCAAGGGTTGGGCCACCATGTGTGGTTCTATATTTTTGTTTGTTCTCTATGATTTTGTTGGGATGAGATTATTGCTAAGGTTGTATGATCAGGGGTGGGGTGGATCGCGTTGTGGTTTGGTGCGACTTGGTGGTTGTGGGCACTAGTTTAATCATATAAATGGAGCTTCTTGTTAGTTGTTTCCCTTTAATGATACAGGTACTTTGTTTCAGGAATTTATCAAGACCACCAAGGAGCCTGTAGTCATTTTCAATAGCCAAATTTGATGGCATACATGGAATTGGATTTCAAGATATACCAGTTGGAAATGTTGTATCTGTGTATTTCATGCGATTATTAGTTTCTGCTCTGTTTGAGTCATGTTCTATTTTCATCAATAGGAATTCAGAGATTTCATCTTCCTACATTTTGAGGTTTTAATTTCATCAATTTACATCCAAATGTTTTCAAATATGACCAATTTAATCATTCCATTAAGTTGACCGTTGGTCAGATGTTAACTGATGACATGTTAACTGTAAGACCCACCAATTAACCAATCCCAATATATACATATATATATATATATATACAGTCCCCTTCTATTAAGGAATCCCTCAAATAATTTTATTTGAGGGACGCCCTTTAGGGCACCCTACAATTTTTTTCCAATAATCCAAACCTTCTATTTTTTAGGTTTTCATTCATAGATCATCCTTACAAAAAATTAGACAAATCGGAAACTGTTTCAACATCCAATTGTGTCCTACAAATCAATGAACACGGTGCTTCAAGAAAGTACTAAAATTTCAATAACTCAATTGAATGGTCAAATGATATCGGATTCAAGTTATTTTTGTAGAGATGATCTTTGAATGTGTATCTACAATATAGACGGTTTGGATTAGTGAAATACAATCCGGAGTGGGCCCTACAAGGGGTATCCCTCAAATAAGTATTTGAGGGATCCCTCAATGGAAGCTCTCTGTATATATATATATATATATATATATATATAATTAGATATATAAAACTTAAAAAAACTCAACCTCTTCCTTGCTAAAAAAAACTTACTTATAACGAGAATAACACTGTTTTGCTATCCCCAACTAGTAACACAATGACACTGCGTTATTGGCTAGGGATAGCAAAAAGTGTTATCCTCGTTACATAAGAGTCTCTCTCCTTCCTTGCCCAACAACCTTGAGCCCCTATGTTCCCCTCCCCCCTCCCCCCCTTAACACTGTTGGGGGGTTTGTTGGGCAGGGAAGGGGTTGGGATTTTTATAGTTTTTTATTTTTTATTTTTTATAAATTCAGATTATTCTTATTTTATCATTTTATATAAATAAATAAATATTAGGTATTAGTTAGTAAGTGGGTCCTCCACAGTTGACACGTCATCAATTAACATCTCACCAAACGGTCAACTTAACAGAAGGCTTAAATTTATCAATTTGAAAACATTTAAGTGTAAATTGATAAAATTGAAACTCCATAATCCATATTGAGAATGATCTCAAACCTTCAAGAGGTGTTTTATCGCTAGCCCTACATAATATTATTCATCCTATCATTTAACACTTCGATTGGAAATGTTCTTATACTGTTATTAGATATATATAATGGTATTTATAAAAAATAAATAATAAAAATCATAGTATTTTATGATAACGTTTTCCCTTTTTATAAGAAAGAGAAATTAAGAGAAAGAAAAAGTTCCCGATCACGTACATGAAATAACAAAAAGAAACATGAAATGACAACAAACTGAATAAAAACATGCGTGCCCGCTGTCAATCAACAGATATATATAAACTCATTTATTTACGAACACATATACCACGTATATCATATTCATCCCACGCTATACGAAGGCCAAAACGATTAAAACTAAAACAAAGCAAAACTTGGATTGGACCCTCTTCTTTTTTTATCTTTCACTCACTCAATCTTGCACACATTTAAAGTGGTCTGCTACATCGCCCGAGCCATCATCAGCATTGCTGCCGACTATGTGGTCTCTCTGGCCTGGCCTGAGGAAATAATGCCATCATCTCCGTATCCATGGTTCGATTGTAAATAACCAGAGATATCTGTCTTCTAGGGCTTTGCCTCAGTCTCTTCTGCTACCTCTGCTGCCTTTGCTTCTTCTGGGCCTTGTGGTTGCTCTTTCGCTTCTTTGATGCTTGCCATGTTAGGAATATTAGTTTGGCTCCAGCCAAAAGCATAGGCCAAGTTTTTTTTATGTTATCTTTATCATTAGGGAAAATTTGATGCCAAGTGTCACAAGCCATGCATTGTGTCAGCTGTCAACCATGGGTGGCTCACAGTCAGCATCCCACGTGTCAATCTTTGTGTAGGAAATTTGAAAATTGTTTGGTGTGTGGTTGGCCCAGAATTTGGACTTGGGCATGTCCAAAATCCAAGTCTTCAAATTTTGGACTTGGGCCATCTCTAATTCTAGGCCCCCAAATTTGGATTTGGCCATGAAGCCCGGCCTGGTAATTACATAAAAAGTTGACTTCAAGGAAGGCATGGAATGGGATGGTAGGTGGGAATTGGGATGAAGGATTCTTTTTTGTTTTGGATTTGCTAGAAACATTCTATAATTTACCATTCCCTCCTTTAACTTGACCACCTCTATGGTATTGAGAAGAGATCTTGATAAAATACTAACCTAGTTTTATTGGCTCTCTAGAGAAAGGGTAAGAGAGTGGAGGAGATGCCAAGCAACACCACCTTCATACCAATGACTCAGCCAAAGATCAAACACAATCTTCCAAGTTAAGAGATCATTTCATGCCTTTGATTTTGGGACAACATGGAGGTAGCTTCCTTCAAGATGTCTGCATATGCAATGCATTGTCACTTTAATTGGGTTCCAAGAGTTGCAAACTCTTTCTCTGTGGCACATGGATTTACCCAATGGGCTTTTATGGTGTAATTATATCCCTCTCCTGAGTTAGATCCTTTGACTTATCTTAGAGAGAGTCACAAAGGTTGTTCTAGGGTTTGCACATTTGTAAATTGTAATTAGGCTCCTCTTGTTCAACCAAACACCTTTTCAAGAAAATAAAGAATACTATATAGTGTATTTATGTATTTTGTATTCCCACCAATAATTTCAAGAAGAAAAATAATTATTTATAAAAAAAAACCCATAGCTAATTGGGTGAAATTCCAATTTACATTTTTATAGTGGATCATTTATCATTTATCATTTATTATTTATTATTAGATGAATGAACCTTGGATACACTTGCAAGTTGCTGGTCTATTTTCAGGTCAACCATACATAATCCATTATCCAAACCCCCTATCACATCACATGAGAAAAATAGGAACATGAGCAATTAGAATTATTGGTGTGACATTCTAGCAGATAGAGAGAGAGAGAGAGAGAGAGAGAGAAACAAACAACTAAAGGGCAAAAAGGCAAACTAATAATCTAATTCACAAGCCAACTAAACCTATCTCTCTTGTCCGACCTTCCCCTTGGTCCTAGTCACCAAGTCACTTGTCTTGGAGGGTGACACGTCATCACATGTCACTCCCCCCCACCTTCAACATCATAATGCAAGCCCCAATCCTCTGCAGTTTTCTCCATACACTTGTTGACCAATTGCTTTAGAGCATTGTACCTTTAACCAGCTGACCCTTTCATTCAAAAGTAAAAGGGTAAAAGGATCTTTATGGTACAACAGGTGCATGCACAAAAAAAACAGGTAAGGACAAGATATTCCACGAGATACTTCCTTCCTTCTCTCTTTTTTCACAGACTGACCTGCTGATATAAAATTTGTCTCCAACAGCTTTCGAATTTTCAAACCTCCTCTCTCTAACACTGTAGACTCTCTCTAACCGTTTCTATTGTCCAAGAAAACAAAACCCATTTCTATTTCAAACCCAAAGATTGGTTCTCCTTTCCTCTTTTTTCTCTTTCAAAGTTTCTTTCTGTTTTTCTTTATTGTTCCGCGAAAACACCTTCTCTGCCGAGAAAGTTTGAATTTTTCTTGCGAATTATCGCCTGGTCCTGAGCTTTTCTTGGTGGGTTTTGGTTCTTGGGTCGGGAACTTTACAGGGTTTTGGCTTTTGAAGATGATGAAGATCGGTGAAGATGGTCACAGTTCGTCGTTATGTGCATGATCGCACTGGCGCGTTGGCTTCGAGCTCTGGTGATTTCTAGGGTTTGTGGTGCGTAGATTTGTGTGGCTTTAATTAGGGTTTCTGGGTAAGCAACTGTCACCTCTTTTCTTGATTCTTTGCCGCTTTTCAAGTTCCTCTTTTTCAGCTTTGTTTGATGGCATTATTGTTTGATTCTTCACTGAATAATTGTAAAGAAATCTAAGAGTTTTTATTTATCATTTGGTACCTTTTAAATTTGTTTTATTAGTTTCAAGGGAGCATTTTTTACTTGAATTTTGTAAGGACTATTTCATTATTAGAAATGACGAGTTGTTAAGTATCTGGGCCCATTTCATGAAGGTTTGGTTGTCATAAAAGGTATAGATGTATCATGATTAAAGTCGTTTGCCGAATATTTCTAAATTGAGTTCTAAATCATTGAACCAGTTGTGGTGAACCGTCGCCAAGGCTTGTTAGACTCTACTATGAAAAGTGAATTCTCTCTCTCTTTCTTTTCATTGGTTCCCGTTGTTTATTCATTTTCAGAACTCTGGGAAGTAGTTTTGGAAAAATGTCTAGGGCCTGTTAAATGATCGTGTCAAAATTTAATTGCCCCATTTTAATATCTATAGAATTTCGTATGTGTATCCCATGTCTGTAAACGACAACGATGGTGCGTCAATGGGAAAATTGGATTTGTGGCCTTTTTTGAGATTATAGAGAAAAAGGGTGAGTTTCACCCATAGTGTGGACTGTCTTATAACTGGTATTGGTGGGTTTTTCATGTTAACTAATTGGCTATGCCATCGTTAACCTTTTTACAACTCTTCTGAATATGACAGAACATTAATGTGGTGCTGGATGCACTTGAGACCTTATGAGATGGATTTTGTAGGATTCTTTTATTTATGAGGTGATGAGAAGTGGTGGGACTTTTGGGTGATGGAACTGGGTGTATTGTGAAGAAGAGCAGTCTCAAGTTAAGGGTTATGGGTGTGAAAGACTGACTTTTCTTCCCCTTGGTTGAGTGTGAATGTGTTGTATCGAAAGGCTTCTGTAGAATTGAGTCATATTTCATACTGGTGCCATAATGAAGGCCAAGTTTTAAATTGATATGTTGCAGCATTCCCGTTTGGTATTACATAGCTGCAAGAGGTTTGAGAAGGCCTCAGTTAATGAAACTTGAACTCTGCATGGGTTATTAGTATCAACCCCTGCCTTAGATTGAGAGTTCCTTTAAAATTTCATAGCTCCTCTTGGGAATTTGAGGCCGTTTCTTATGTTAATCTGTTTTTTGACCCTTGTAATCGTGTCTTATGAGGCCGTATGCCTTGCCTTTACTGTTTGTATGAAAACTAATGAGCATTTTGTTGAATTACATGTTAAGTTGCTGGACATGTGGGTTTGGCAGCTTTTTGTAATCCTCATTTCTCCTTCCCCTAACATCATTTTGTGAAAATATGTTTTCCATTTTCATCGAGTAGTTGAAGTAGAAAAAAACAGAGCAGTATGGTTGCAAAAGACCGCCAAAGTGCTACAAGCTCTCCTAGTCCTAAAGTGGAGGTGGGAGAGATCGACACAAGGGCACCTTTCCAATCTGTTAAAGATGCTGTTACACTATTTGGAGAAGGCGCATTCTCTGGGGAAAAACCTGCCATTAAGAAGACAAAACCTCATTCAGCAGAGGTATTTCTGATTCCTTACTCTTTAATTTAGGAAGCACACGTCTATATCTATATTTGACAATTGGAAAGTATATTTTGCTTCACTTGTTGGTTAATTTTATTTGTTTTCCACAAGTTATTGGGAAGCTGATGGTAGTGAACATACATTTTCTCTGCGTTTAAAATTCAAATAAGCTAGAGATCTTTTTTAACCAGAAAAAAAAAAGAGCTTATTGTTTGAAACGGTTAGCAAAGGTTATTCAGTAGCAATTTTTTTGGGTACATCATAGATGGTTTGCATGTTCTGTAATTTCAATGCATGTACTGAAGTTGACCTTCCAAATTGTGTGAACTCAATATTTCGACTTTCATTTATTTAGTTTAGAAGCTACTTCTAGAAGGAAGTTGTATATTTGTAGCTATGGATGTGAATGATTATCTCACTCATGTAATCTTCCATTCAATCTCTGATTAATTGGAACTCTTCATCATTGTGAGGTTAATTAACTACCACTAGAAATTATACTCATTATAATGTAAACAACTGTTGTGGTCAATGCTATCTTCTCCTCTCCTTTTTTTTTTTTTTTTTTTTTTTTTTTTTTTTTTTTTTTTTTTTTTGTTGTTTCAATGCAGAGAGTACTAGCCAACGAGACGCAGCTTCACCTGGCCCAGAAAGAATTGAACAAGTTGAAGGAACAACTGAAGAATGCTGAAACTACGAAAACCCAAGCACTTGTGGAGCTTGAAAAGGCTAAGGAAACTCTTGAGGATCTTACTAATAAGGTGACTTCCCTCAGTGAATCTAAGGAATCTGCAATAAAGGCGACAGAAGCTGCAAAAAGTCAGGCAAAGCAACTTGAAGAAGCAAACTCTGGCAACCTTGCTGGAACTGATGGTGCTTGGAAACAAGACTTGGAAACAGCAAGAGCACAGTATATGAATGTGATTACTGAACTTAATGCTGCAAAGCAGGAGTTACAGAAAATCCGTCAGGACTGTGATGCATCCTCGCAAGCAAAAGTTACTGCTTTCAATCAGGCAGCAGAAGCTGAAGATGCAGCCAAAGCAAATGCGGAGAGGGTTACTGAGCTCTCCAAGGAAATTTCAGCTGTGCAGGAATCAATTGGGCAAGTGAAGCTTGCATCTTTGGAAGCCCAGCAGGAGCAAGCGAAGATATTTGCTGAAAAGGATGTCCTGAGGCAGTCGTATAAAGCTACCTTGGAAGAGTCAACAAAAAAATTGCTTTCTCTGAAAAGAGAGTTTGATCCAGAACTCTCTAGAAATCTTGAAGCACAACTTTCTGAAACGTTGAATGAAGTTGGAGCTCTGCAAAAGCAAATGGAGAATGCAAAGGCTTCCGATTTAGATTCTGTGAGAATTGTCACTTTGGAGCTGGATGATGCTAAGGAATCACTGCATAAAGTAGCAGAAGAGGAAAGCAGTCTCAGAAGCTTAGTTGAAGCACTTAAGTTGGAACTTGAGAATGTGAAAAAAGAGCATGCTGAACTGAAGGAGAAGGAAGCGGAAACAGAATCGCTTGCTGGGAATTTACATGTGAAACTGCGGAAAACCAAGTCTGAGCTTGAAGCATGCCTAGCAGAAGAGTCTCAAGCAAGAGGTGCTTCCAATGAAATGATAGCTACACTAAACCAGCTATCCTTGGAAACTGAAAATGCAAGGCGGGAAGCAGAAGACATGAAGATTAAAGCAGAGGAGTTGAGGAAGGACGCTGAAACAACCAAAATTGCAGTAAAAGAAGCGGAGAAGAGGCTGAGACTTGCTTTGGAAGAAGCTGAAGAGGCTAAAGCAGCTGAAGAAAGAGCCCTTGAACAGATTAGAGTTTTATCGGAGAGAACTAACGCTGCTCGAGCATCAACTTCTGAGTCTGGTGCCAAGATCACTATATCAAAGGAAGAGTTTGAATCTTTGAGCCGAAAGGTTGAGGAGTCTGATACATTAGCAGAAATGAAAGTGGCTGCTGCCATGGCCCAGGTGGAAGCTGTGAAGGCTAGTGAAAATGAGGCCTTGAAGAGGTTAGAGGCAATCCAGAAGGAAATTGAGGATATGAAGGCTGCAACTGAGGAGGCCAAAAAGAGGGCAGAAATGGCTGAAGCAGCCAAGAAGGCAGTGGAAGGAGAGCTCCGAAGGTGGCGAGAACGGGAGCAAAAGAAAGCAGCTGAAGCTGCATCACGGATATTGGCAGAAACAGAGATGTCAGTGGAATCATCCCCACACCATTACAGGATTCAAAAGCAGAACCCTCAAACGAAAATTATTGAGGCCCGGAAGTTGGACAAAGAGAAGACGTCTGTTTCGAAAAAAACACTTTTGCCTAATCTGAGTGGCATGTTCAATAGAAAAAAGAGCCAGGTCGACGGCGGTTCCCCTTCTTATCTCCCTGGTGAGAACCCCCTTTGATGTTTGTATTCTGCCCAGACCTTTGTGGAACTATGAATGCTGAAGACATGAACAAGTTTGGTTGTGTCGGCATTTTGTGAAAATTCTATGATCCTAGTCTATTTGTGGAGGGAAAAAAAGAGAGGATTGTCAAATTAATGAGCTTGGATGTGACTCCAGGGAGAGTGATTTTGTATATTGGACAAACAATTCTTGGATTATCTGTTGAAGATTTGCAGTAGAAATCAAGTGTCGACTTCTTTAAGCCTTTTGCTTTCATCATATTCTTTTTGGTTGCAGCAGGTACCACCACCCCATTTATCATTTTAATCCACTCTTACATCAAAACCATGGTTCTTTCATAACTTGCTCAGGCCAAAGATTAAAGTTCAAGTTGATTGTACACCTAAACAACTACTGATTATACACTTCTGTTTAGTGTTTTATTTATTCAAATCTGAATCTGGGTTTGCAGGATTTTTGTTTTTATTGTAAAAACTTCAAAGATTTTGAATACGGACAAGATGAGCAGGCGTGGCCTCTTCTAAGCACACAAGTCTATATACATACTTGTATTTATTATATTAACCAACTTGCATATTGAGTAAGGCCAGTTGATTAGAATAGCTCGTTCTCTTGCATCTGAGATCGATTTCTCTTCTCGTTCTCTTTCATTTGACATTGATCTCTTGTATTTGAAGTTGATCTCTCTTTCATTTCATTTGTATCTGAGAATTAGATCTCTTTCACCGTAATTTAAAATAATTTAGAGTAATTTAAATTACTATGGTTAGAAATAGAAAGATATCACCAGCAAAAAAGACATACCGCACCTCAAAGAGACTCCAATAATAAATGCACGTGTCGTAATTTGCCATTCGGTGACCCAAGTCTCACTGAGAGCCCATCCCACTCGCCACTTCCCATACCACTGGAACTTTTGCAGCCCCTAAAAAATTCAAGCTCAGTACCAACAGCCATGGCCAGCGCCAGAGACAGAGACGACTCACTCACATTCACAAACCCATCAACGTCTTCCTCGCCAATCATCATCTCTGACCCATTTGACAGCTTTCTCTCCGACCCAAATTCCCACATCGGCAGCGCCTCTGGGAGCTTCCAGAACGAGGGTTTACTTGCTGATACTAGCAGCGATGCCGAGTTTGGGTTCTCACGCCCTGAGTTTCGGACGAGCCAACTCGCCGGGACTGTCGAGTTTTACCAGCGCCACGTGTTTTTGTGCTACAAGAACCCCCAGGTTTGGCCGCCCAGAATTGAGGCCGCCGAGTTTGATCGATTGCCAAGGTTGCTCTATGCCGCGGTAATGGCTAGGAGGGGTGATATGAAGAAAGAGGTGTGCTTATTTTGGTTTCTGTTTTGATGGCGGTTGGTGTTTGATTTAGTGAATCTAAGTGGGTTGCTTGCTTTTTAGGACTGAATTAGAGGAGGTGTGTTTGATATTTGGTGGTCTTTTTTTGTTTGTGGTTGATCTCAAATTCAGTCGGTTGAAATGGGTTTTATTTGCTTTGTGGATTGCTTGTTTTTAGAGGGTTATTTCCAGGTGTGTGATTTACTGTGTTGTATATACATTTTGATCAATCAAGTGGATTGCATATGTTTTTAAATTGTGTAGTTTGGTGCTTTTGTGCTTTCAGGTTTAATGCGGGTTGCTTCTGAATGTGGTGAATTAAAATGGATCTTCGCTGTTTGTTAGATTGCTTGTATTCTAAGACTGATTTGGAAGCGTGTGATTTGGTATCTATTAGCTTGAACATGAAGGGGGTACCTTTTGTATTTTTAGTGGGGTTTTGGTTTGGGTGTCCTTTTGGAGTAACTTTGGAGTCTGCTTGTGTGGAATTTTCAGAATTCTAGAGCGGGTATTGTTAGAGGTTAGATATGGATAAATTTGAGGTTGATGAATGAAGTATTTGGGTTCTTGAACAACGGTTTTTTGAGTTTCAATGATCCGTATTTTCTTTTTTACCTTTTTTAATAGTAAGGAGTGATTATTGTGAAGAATCTTTTTGGTCTTTGGTGTCTGCTTGTGGCTTTAGAATGTAGTTGAAGGAGAGGGAATAAGGTGAACAGTATCATTTTGGAAATAAGTTCAAAAGATTAAGCCCCAGGCATCTTACAAGATAATATAGGAAGTTGGTATGTAACAAAACTTTATCAGATACACACCAACAAAGTGTCTCAAACATGGTATAGAATGATCTGACCTATAACATGACAGTTTTTCATTTCTCTTCTGTGTTTACTTCTATGTGACAATCATCTTTGCATTTGATGATTATGGGATCAGTGTGGTGGGAATTGTTTTCCACTAGACTGCCATTCTCTACGAATTTTGTTTCATAATGAATGGAATGAAATGAAAACAAGTAGTAGATAAGTTGCGTAGCCAGATGAATGAATGATGTGATTTTGTTATGGTTTCATCGTATGCGGTTGTTTACTGACCATTGCTGGCAGTTGGATTTACTAGCTGCACATTCTATGCTGCTTAAAATAGCATGTCTTAACCAGTTTATTTCTTTCTCTTTTTTTCCATAATTGGATGTATAATTTTGGTTGAGGTTAACAACTCTTTTTTGTCTCTTTCATCTCTTTCCTCATCTAGACTCGCTTAACAATATGTGAAGGGCACGATGGAACTGAGACATCCAATGGTGATGTATTAATTTTCCCTGACATGATCCGATACAGGTCATGTACGAGTTCCATTGGAATTCTTTTACATACACTCTTGATCCCCTTCGAAATTTGATACTGAAATAAAATTAGGGATAAATTTGCAGGAGATTGACGCATTTTGATGTTGATACATTTGTTGAAGAAGTTCTAGTGAAGGATGGTGAATGGCTGCCTGGTACTCCTGAAACTTTGAAGGGTTCATATGTTTTTGTATGTTCTCATGGGTCTCGGGATCGCCGTTGTGGAGTCTGTGGACCTCCCCTGATCACTAGATTTAGAGAAGAGATTGAATTACATGGTCTTCAAGGTAAAGTGTCTGTTAGCCCATGTTCACACATTGGGGAGCATAAGTATGCAGGAAATGTTATTATATTTGGACCAAATTTCAACAGAAAAGTCACTGGCCACTGGTAAGGGGAATTGTGTCTGTTAATTCATTTACTTTTATTTCTCTTTTCTGTTATTATTGTCAGTAGGTATAGCTTTCACTCTATTCAAATTCTATTACTTGGTTAGTGATATTTGAGTTAGCTGATCGTTTTATTTCTGATAGGTATGGATATGTTGCTCCAGAAGATGTACCTGTATTGCTCGAGCAGCATATCGGGAAAGGAGAAATTTTGGACTGGCTATGGAGGTAATCCTTTTACATCTTCAATTCTTTCTCATAATTCATAGGCTGGCTTTTGAAGCAGTTTTCTCATGATTCTGAATCAGATTATATCTGTGCTGGTTCTATTGTTGTAACCATGTTTAGTTGTACAATTTGATCTTAGAGGAAGCTCCTCTTTGGCACCTAAATCAGAGTGGTTGGCTGTGCAAATTTATTCCGACTAACAAGAAGAAATTGAAAAATAAAGAGAAAATAGTTTGTTTAACATGTGTAAAATTAGAAGCTGCAAATCTACTGAAGTGGTCACTCTTCTTGTTTGAGTTTTTGTGTTCCTCTTGTGTGCATGCATTATGGAATTAGGTAGTGATGGAATATATGGTCTGGTTTCAGGGGTCAGATGGGTTTATCAGAAGAACAGCAGAAGAAATCTCAAGAACTAAGGCTCCAGCTTAATGGCGAGACAAATGTGGGAAAAAGCGCTACAGAGTTGACACAACCAAAGGAAAGGGAAATGAATACTAGTGTATGTAGATCTCAAGTTGAGATTGGCGGATGTTGCCAGGAAAATAGAAACTCTCCTTGCTGTCAGAATGCTGTGTTCATAGAAAAGTTAAACAGTCCTGATTTGAATGAGATGGCAGCAAAGGAGACGACTGACAAGAAAAAAAGCAGCAGGAAGCTACTTTCAGGGATCAATAGCGGAAAAGGGGCCTCCACGCACAAGGTTTGTGCTATGCCGACTTGGTTTCAGAGCTGGGAACGTGAAGATACGTATGCAGCTTTTGCTGTTGTTTGTGCTGCTGTGTCAGTTGGCATTGCTTACAGCTGCTACAAACAGTTGAGATGAAAACTTGAATCCAATCTTTGTGTTGTTTGATCATATTACAGGCTAGAGTGTCAACCCCTCTCAAGATTTTATGAGAAGTTGATTCTAGATCTAATTGGTAGGCCCCTGCGGAAAGGTCTGTAATGTGCTTATAGAAGAAGGGAATGGGTTTCGGCTACGTTTGTGGATGTGTAAGAACGCTGGTGGGGGATACTTGAGTTGTGTTTTTCTTCTTTGTTTTGGGATATAATTTGTACTTGTGCATATATATATATCAATGTGTTACCGAATTCGTGTTTTTATATTGACACAATCTTCAGTATGGCATGTTGGATATTCATCAATCAAACAGGAAGCAAGCTGTTTCAGTATTTTCTTGTAACGTAGGAATGTTATTCTGAAAACAAATTTACAAATGCCTTTTTTCATGCTGAAGTCACTGAAAAGATGCATTTGTAATAATGATAATGCAAGTATATTCGTACCACTCTATAATTTCTCCGAACCATAATAATTCAAGATGCTTACGCATATTATGTGATAATAGGAATCTTGGGATCCTCTTTGTAATTTATTTCTGTTATATAAAAAAATCATGCAAGATACCAGTGATCAATCTGATGAGCAGTAAATCTTAGCAAACCTTTAAACCGTCAAGGGGCTTCTTTCCATAAGTTTAGGCATACAATAAAATACATTCTAAGGTTTCCACTGTCTAGTCCAGTGCATTAGACAAATTAGATCCACACCAACACACCCTAGTAGTCCCCTGTAATCTTATTAGATCAATTTATAATACAATTATTATAATTATTAATATTAATTAAGTAAAATTGTTGCTTCTAATAAAATTTGTATTAAAAAAACTGTGTTAAACGAGATATAGGAAACATATATATAGGCCATTTAGGCCACGGATTAAACGAGATACAACTAAGTCACTTATTGTAGGAAACATATATGCAGGCCATTTAGTGACTTATTGTAGTCACTTCAACGATAGTGGTGATTGTTGGCCAAGTCCTGATATCTATGAAACCTCCTCTAACATGCTAAAACTCATGCTCGCTACAAAGACTCGATTCCACGGTGATATTTTTAAACGTACACCAGATTACAATGTCCTAAAAAATCTGCATCGAGTTGATGCAAGCATACACTAATACATAGAGTTAATTTGATAACAGCATTCCTGCCTGATGGCAAAGGAAGTGTTGGGTACAGTGTAATGTAGGCTATAGATGCTAATAACTACCATTAAAAATTTCAAGCACCGTTGACTCTTAGGCCATTTAGTGACTTGGTGAGCCCATTTTGATTTCCGAACTTGTGGAACTCAGTTTCTATGGTCTTTGCAATATCTGCACCTTCGTGGTCTGTCTCGGGGAAATTAACATGGAAGGATCCCTGCTTGAGTGGTGCAACAGACTCTCTAAGGACAGCTTGTTGCTTGACAAAATTGTAGAGCTCTTGATGGAAAGGATGGTCGAAGGAGAAACAATTGTTAGTATGTCCATTCTCCGAATGCCGAGATGACCCAGAGCCCTCTTTTCTACAAAAATGTGGGAGTGATGCATAATCCATGATCTGCATGCACATTTTCAGGTCAAGTTGTCACCACCAAAGAAATGGAACAAACCACAGATGAACAGATGCAGCTGGAAAAGAACAAGAAATGTTTTGGTCCTTTTGGAGCATAACCATCAGCCATGAACGAGACAGCACAAAGTTTAACCTATGGTTGAAGGGAAGTAGATAACTTTGCAAAGATGACGGACGGTAGAAGACAACACCACAAGAAGTTGAAATCTAGAAGTAGAAATAAAGGAATAGGAAGTCTATAGTGAGATTTGAATCAAAGAACATGCTTACTTTCAGTAACTCATCTCTCCCACAGCCTTGAAGAACCTGGATTTTCCTCCTTGTCCTTTCTTGCAAAAGAGGCTTGACCACCTGTCAAGAGTTTTACACAAGGACTTTGTCTCAAGATGGAATACCCAAACCAACACATCATCCTTTTCTTTATTTTTCCTATGTATTATTTCAAGGTGAGAGTTGTTAAGACGCACAAACCTTCCAACATGCTGAAAATATGTATGGGACATTGACAACATAGTATGTATCTGTCTTCTCTGGATAGTTTAAGTCATCTATTGTAGAGATAACAGTCAAAAGCTGCATCAACAGATAATACAATGTCAACCTTGTGTGCAATATGGATGATTTTTGAAAAGTGGGTAAAAGGTAAAATAAAAAAGAAAACAATAATCTAAACCCATAAGACACAACCACACTCATCAGAGTATTTTTCCTGCTATACTAAGGGATACCTTTATCTGGTTAAGTGCTGAGAGCCTTAAACCAGTCATATCCAAAACCTTCACACATGTTCCAATATATTGTCCATACTTCTTTGTTGCGGAAGGCTACAACAAAAGGAAAAAAAATCAGGCTACAGACATATGTTACCTGTTAAGACGATGAAATTAAACATTCCCAAGTACTCACCAAAACAACACGATCTCTGTATTCATTCATTTGGATGTGTGATTGGACATAGTAATTTACCTACAAAGACAGAGAATCAAACAAGTAAATATCACCGAAAGAATAATAATATTACAAAAGGACATACAAAACGCAAATAGCTTTATTTTTTAGGGAAAAGTACAAGGATGCATATAGCTCATACTTTAGAAAGTACATGTCCCTGTGTATATTCATGTTAAAAACCTATAAAAACATATATTATCAAGTGTACCAATATCCATGAATAATGTATAATAAACTTCATGTAAAGTCTCAGTACCAACAAAAAATGAACATTATGCCCATAAATTCATAAACCTGGTGTTCTTTCAAGTCAAGCATATTCTACATTTCTTATGTGTAAGAAGCACATATGTGGCCTATCTAATAGCTTAAAGCCCAAGCACAAAGTTATTTTGATGGTTTCCAGAATTGCATATCAAAACCAATGATACAAAGTTATTGATGCCTAGGAAGATTAAGGACAGAACAAACTATATTATTCTTACGGAAGCTTTGTCAAATGTGCTGAGCCCCAGACCAACAGCAATGACAGGAAGACCCTGGAATAAATTAATAGGACAATGAGATAAAATAATACGTTGGAAATTAAAGATTAAGGACCATGAGGGAGCAAAAGTTAATAAACTTTTGCAGCCAAAAGAAAAAAGATTCAAGTGGCCAGCCTTTCTTGTACAAGGTGGCTGTGGCATGATAATTCTATGTCATATGCAGGACTACCTCTTTTGAGTAACCTGACAACCCCATAAGCTGAGAATCTCGCACTGCTCTGTACAAATCAGTAGGGATGATTGGTTTCTGCACACAGCAAATAAATGCTTCGTCACCACATTAAGAATAGTCACTTTTCCAGCATGGTTCAAGTATCAATGTCTCGATAAATTAAGCCAGAAATGCATGAATCTTAAGAAGGAAAATGGAAATTAAAAAACTTCCATAATTTATACATCTCAACTTTAATGCACTTTCCCTACCAGCGAATGATAGATTTCTTTGTAATGAATAATTTCCGTTCTGCCTTGTTACTCAATCAGTTTGGTCTAATACAAATACACTGACCATTTAATGAATAATCATTGATCATGAATATGCGCTCTTTGAATGCAACTGACAGCAGCATAATTGTCCAAGAAATAATTAATTCATCAAGGCTTTAATAGTTTTAGGTTTTTAAATGAAACAATTTTAAATGCAACGTTTCACAAAACATATCAGACAGACGGGCATCAAACAGAGAAATCACGTCATTGGTCAGAAGATACCATGTTTATCTGGTAATTTCTTATTGATAAAACTCACCGCCAATATATTGTCAATTTCACTTTGGATCCTCCATTGTAAACAGTCAATCAGCTGGAACAGTTTAGGCATTGTTAGCGAAACATACTAAGCCAAAGATAAACAACAGCTTGAGATTAAAACCTGAAACAATATAACCATTATTAAGTAAGCTTGATGAATCTAACCATTTTATGGGCTTTTCCAACATTCAAGTCCCTAGCTTTAAGAAATCGCATGAATGTCTCATCTGGATATCCCTGGTGCACATTCTGAAAATAAAAAGGCACTTTTTGAATTTTGAGTTGCATTTCATTTATGTAAATCATCAGAAGAAAAAGGAACACAATTATCCTATTCAATTCGAGAATTCCAAGAAAAACAAAAATAATCCTAAAAACCATGCTATATTTTCTCATAACTTTAGCTTGGCCAACGCCATCTCTCTGATTTTCCTTTTGCTTTCTTTTTCTCTACCCGTTTTTTCTTTTTTCGGTTAGGATCCTTTGCCTCTCTAGTGGATGCAATAAAAGACATTCTTTAGCTGATTAGTTGAAAAAACTTAGAAAGTACAAGCCCCTCCCCCTTCCTTCCCCAATACGCAAAGAAAGGACTTCGTAATGCATTGTCAAGAATAGAAACAAGTGCATCATTTCCCAATTATATGCAGTACAGTTCAGTTAAATTAACTTGTCAATCACCCTTATAAAATAAAATAGGTTCGTCAATTCAGAGCATTAACCTGATATTATATGTGCACAAAGATTTTAACTTTACTATCCAATACCAAGATCACAGAAAACACTAATACTTTCCTCTCACTAAAGGCAAGATATGACGTTTCCTCCCCCCAAAATGCAAACAAGATCAAGTTGATTACATAATAATCAACAAGATCAAGTATTTCCTTCCCTTCTCACAGCAGATGAACTTCCTTGGTAATTAATCTAATTTCACAACCGGATTTACCCAGCTCAAAAAAGAAGAAATAACAAAAATGCATGACATCAGAGACTCAGATCAAATCCACAAAACTGATATATAATCTAAATAGGACTTTTTTTCTAGAAAAAACTTGAGGTTTCCAAAAGTAAGCTAAATAATTTAACTGTCGTCAGTTGAGTAAAGGATTTTGTGTTCTAATGTTGCAGATCATTAAAGTAACAAAATTTCAGAACTCCAAAGTCTTCGTTGTTCAATCTTTTTCTTAGCATTCAAACACAAAACAGATCGAGAAAACTTAAAGAGACACTGTCTAACCTCAAATGTATTCTTCAATGGCTCATCAACTGTAAATTCAAAGAAAACAAAAGGAAACGATAAAATATAAGCAAATATAGATCAAATAAGAGGATCAGACATATTGCAAGTGGATTTAAACCTCACCTTCTTCCATTAACAACTGAAACTGCTTGATCGCCTCCATATTGGCAATACCCATTTTCTCTTCCTGTTCCTTTACAGTGATCGAAACAATAAGACCGCAAATTTAGCTGAACAATATGAAAAAATACAAAACTGGGTTTGCACCAACTTTCACTCTGATCCTCTCTCTCTCTCTCTCCCTCCCTCCTCGCTTTTCAGTGCTCTAGATTACAAGACTTGAACTGATTCACCAAAATCTAGGGAGAAAGAAAGAGAGAAGTTTAAAGGTAGAGAAAACTTTGGAGAGATATAGAGAGAGGGGTGGGGTGTCCCTTTCAAAACTCTGGTGCTTTTCTGAGCACCTTAACTATGATTGAAGCTTTTTTTTAAGGCATTTGTTAAATATTTATATTATTTTCTGTCATAAAATGAGTGGTTAAAAATAGAAAGAATGTGAAAAAGAAGCATATCTAAACCAACGAGAGCGGTTTCGTCCAAAAAAAAACCAGCGAGAGCGGTTTGTTGGTATCTTCATTTCAAACCTTTGTTTTTTTTTAGACTTTTTTGTTTCTTTTGATGGCATATGAAATCTGTCGATTTGATCGAATGGTCAAGTTCAGGTTGGTTTGGAACTCACATTTTTATCAATAAAGTGAATTCATAATAATCTGTGTGTTTAAACAAAAATGTGACTTTTGACCAAAATAAAAATAAAAATGTGATTGTTGGTACCAAATTTCATAATTTTTATCGATAACTGGCTACATAGAATAATTCATAATACGGTGGAGATTTGCAAATAAGATGTCTCAAGTTTAAAACCCAATGACATTTTGGTTGTGTGTGTGAGAAATCATCATTCTTTATAGTTTTTGGACTATCGCTTATATATATTTTTTTAAATATATTATATTTAAAAAGATAGGATTAAACCAAAAATGGGTTGATAAAATAAATCATCAAGCAACTACTTCCTTTTTGTCATAAATTTCATTGATGAATTAAGGCATAACAAAGTGCCAAGTAGTTGGTGCTGGTAGTAGGTTGATAAAGCCAAAAGGTTTTAGACAGATTGTGTATCTACTAACATCATGCTAACAGCTTAACTCGTTGACCGTCCTAACAAACAAAGATCATCTTCTTTCCCTTCATAAAATCTTACTATTTGTAAAAATTAGAGGATTTAAATTCGTAAATATAAATAAGATGTAAGATAATTTATAATGTCGTAGAATTTTATACATATGTGTGTTATCTTTTAAAGATATTTTTCCATAATTTCCCCATGAAATGGTAAAATCGGAAACGTAATTGATGGAGGGACGTGCGGCGACAATTCAAGACAGAGAAAAAGTCATAATAAAGACTCAAATTTGACAAAATTTGATTTGAATTGAATGAAGATTTGAATCCAAGAAACTTCTCACCCATTCTTTGCCTCTCAAAATATTTTCATGCATGTGTGTTTTTGGGGTGAATATATTTTCGTGCTCCAATAATTAATCCATAATAATTGGGTTATGGTGGTGGACCATGTGCATCACATCTTTGAGAAGGAAAAAAAAACCCTAATTCATTGATCTTAGGCGCAATAAGAAAAAAAAACATACTATGAGTAGACGTGAATTATATCAGTTGATCAGTATAAATGTGCTCATTTATACTTAAATTTGAACCCTTCTTATCGTATACCGGATAAATATATAGTAATTTAAAGTATTATTTATATTTATGAATAATTTTAAATTCAGATACATGTGTGATAAGTGGTTGACTCTTTTAGTCATCTCTTAATCTCTCAATATATGAAATCCAAAATAGTGGTCATCTGATAATTAACATATTGTTGCATACTTAGTTATCTAATTATTGAAATCCAACATGTGCACACATGCAAAGCTGGTAAGATACTTTAGTCTCTTTGACCAAGTAGCCATGTGAGAGAGAGAGAGAGAGTAGCAGTACATGAAAGAGGACTGGGACTCTGTTGTTGCCTCTCTTGGTGGATTGGTCGGTAAGTAAGTATTTTATTAAATTAAATTAACATCAAGGTTGAAAATGCTGCTATTTTTTGACCAATCCCTCTAAATCCATTTATTTGTAAAGATTTCAACATTTTAAACCATTAGCTGGAGAGCTCAAATTTTTTTTTTCTTTTTTGGTATTTGTATTTTTTTGTTTCATTTTTAAATCTCTTTTACATTTATTTAAAAATAATAATTATTGGCGACATGTTTAATTAAATAATAATTAAATCTCTTTTTAAATCTCAACCAAACGAGACAAACATGGTGAGCCATGATTCAACACGGAATAGATGCTGAATTTTGTAGCTTATCCCAATAAATTATTTTATAGATATCCCAATTTTTCTGCTTGTCAATTTTCAGACAAATTCCCATGGGTCCCAAACTTTTTTTTTTTTTTTTTTTTTTTTTTTTCTTTTTTTTTTTTTTTTTAAATGTAATATTGGTCCCCATGACTTTGAAATATCATTATTTGTTGTTTTTATAAATTATTGGTAAAGCTTTCTAGGCATAAATGTTGCATAGATCTTGTTCGTGTCAACAATGTATAATGTATAGCTTTATACAAATACGTGCATTTTAGTTTAGTTTACCAAAAACAAATGTGAATTTGCTACAAAATTCTCTTCATGAAATTATAGCTACAATGGAAACACCTTCCAATTTATTTGGATTTTCTTATAGACGGACACTAGATAGCTTGGACAACCGAGTGAGACCTCATGAAGCCCAACATTTTACCATCATAACTAGAGAGGCCCAACAAGCACTAGGATTTCCTTTGTATATCCATCAAAATTCAGTTTCACAAAATCAATATTAGTGTGTGTGTGCGCGCGCGCGCGGGGTGTTTGGAGGAGGAACAGGTCCGCAGCTGGTTTCCATTTTCCTCTCTCCCTGCCTCATTTTATGGCTCGGGCTCGGCTTGGACTGGAATGGAGTTGAGTTTAAGCGAGTTCTTCTGAGTTGACTTTTTGATAAATGTACAACCTATACATAATTTGGGCAGATAATCACAAACTTTCAATAGCTAGTTTGTTACAATACTATGCATGGTCACATGAAATATGAAATACCAAATAGGTTTTAGTTGTTTTACCACAACATTATAACTGTAAATATACTATTATTATCATATCAAAGATAGAAACTGGATCCACATTTTGGAAACAGCATCAACATATGACCTGCAATACAAATTTGTGTTTCATAACACCAAACATATGATCATTATCAACATTAAAAGAAAACCCTAAATTCCACATAAATCAGCATTTCAGAAGCTCTACATCTTTCTCAACAAAATGGAAACGGCATTTCAGTTCAGGAAGTAATTAAAAGAAATCAAATTCCAGATAATTGTTTTGGTCCGGATGAGAAGCAGCAACAGTAGCTTTATCACTAGTTGAGACTGTGGGGGCTGAAATCCGGTCAAACTCGACTGGTTTTGGAATATCAGGCGGGCTTGCACATCGAATCAATGCCCAGTTAACACCTTCAAAGAAGGGATGCTGTTTAATCTCTGTTGCTCCTCGCTTATATGCCAGCCTTTGCTGTGGTTCTTTCACTAGTAGGCCCCTTATCAGATCCTTTGCTGAAAAGCTAACCACTGGTGTCTCTGGAAATCTCAATGGCTGACCCACCACGTTGAACAGGGTGGCTCGATTCCCTGATCCCTTGAAAGGAGTCTTACCAAACAACAGCTCATACAGAAAGATCCCAAAAGTCCACCAATCAACGGCACTGCCATGCCCTTCACCTTTGATAATTTCTGGTGCCAAATACTCATGGGTCCCAACAAATGACATCGAGCGAGCATTGGTTGGCTCAGCCATAAGTTCTGGTAATGGTCTGACTTGGTTTCCGATTTCATTCTTGGGTTTCCGGTCTTTCTTGGATTTGCTTGAAAAGAAACGCGGGGAGAAACATGTTGTAGGCACCACACAAGATGGCTGAATACAAGAGGGCTCAATGCAGGCGGGTTGCACACAATAAGCTGAGTTCCTTCGAAAAGGTTCAGACTCAGGAGCTGAAGATTTGACAAGGGTTGGGCTGACAGCACAGCGCAGGGAAAGGTCAAAGTCGGAAAGCATTATGTGCCCATCATCTCTCACAAGGACATTTTCTGGCTTGAGGTCACGATAAACAATCCCGAGCATGTGAAGATATTCCAGCGCAAGGAGAACTTCTGCTACATAGAACCTGCATATTTGAGGACAAATATAATACTAACGACCATCAAAGTCAAATAACAGCACAAGAGAGCAAGATTGTTTCTTTGTATGAAATGATACAGGATTGAATGTTGTAACTGAGAAAAAAAATAAACATGCTTGGGATTTTGTATTCATTCTACAACTACTAAAAGGCAAAACTGGTGGTTTTACGTTAAAGAAGGTCTACATCACAATAGCAGGAAGCAAACCATGATCGAACTGACTGTAGTAGATCCCAGCAAAAACTTCTTCACATTATAGCGATTTTGTTTGAGTTACAATTATAGGTATTAAATGTGTGTATGCATAATTTAGCAAAAACCATATGATTGAGTACAGATCATTCAATAGCAAGAGAATAAACACCATTTATGACACATCATGAATCTTATTGGTTTCCACCTAACAATGACATAGCAATAAACCAATGAAGCAGGGTGACAAAAGAAAGTCAAAACAAAAATAAAGAAATATATAAACCACGCATGCTTAAACTGACAATAGCAAACAAAATCATTTGAATATGGACAGCATACATACTTCACTGCTTGTTCAGTAAAATGCTTTCCTGGTTGCCTCTGCCTAAGTGTGTGCAAGTCGCCTCCAGGGCAGAACTCCATCACCAGACAAGAATACTTCTCTGTCTCAAAGTGGGTATATAAGGTTGGAAGGAAGGGATGGTCTAAACATTGAAGTATTTCTCTCTCAGTCTGAGCCCGAAGAAGTTTTTTACGGTTAGCTAAAGATGCTTTGTCCATGACCTTCATTGCAAAATAACATTTTGTCCCACTCAACTCTGAAAGATAAACACTTCCAATATCCCCACAGCCCAACTTCTTCAAAAGTCTGAAATGGACCAAACCAAAAACACCATCCCTTGCTCGGACTGCCTGTATGGCTTCCCAATGTATGTCATTCGCCTTGTGAGGTTTGTTGATAGCACTACTTAAGCTGCTACAAGTACTCTCGTCACTCACGTCACTGCTTGTGCTACCTCTACAAATACTGCTCTTCCCACTCTCAACAAAATCAGCTCGATCACTAATTTTGGCACTTCCACTGGTCTTGGCAAGACTGCTGGTCCCATCACTGACTTTCGCTGGAGCTGGGCTAACTCCATTTTCTGATATTTTCTTTTCTTGATCACCACCTTCCAGCAAATTCCTGGTGTCACTCACCGCAGGACACACATCAGCTGGCACCTGTTTTGCATCACCAAGTGATAAAGTTGAACCTAACTGATCAGCTAAAGATTTGGTAGACTCCTTCAAATAAGGGATCTTGCAGTTCTTCTCTTCGGTGGTTTGTGCAGAAACCTCCTTAGATGCAGTTTGTTGCACATGCCTAGGCAGTTTTTTTGGAGTAACTGGCTCTGATTTGCTTGTCTTCGTGATCTGTAAAGGTGAAGGTCTACGAAAATTTCCTTCTGTTGTCTGACTTCCAATTAATTTCCTCTGACTTTCTGGGGAAGTTCTGGCACCAGATTTTGAGGCCATCGACATAAATTACACTTGCTAAAACAGATCAAATTGAACAAACCCATCACTCACCAAATGTTCCCCTCCGTTGACACTCCCACTTATGTTCATCTTCACGTCCATCAATTGCAGGACAATTTCTACAAACAAACAAAGAGTTCACCACTATGCAACAGAGAAATAATACAGTAGAAGGAACATTTTCCAGTCAAACTATAAAATTATACACATCTAGCGACAAAATTTCAGCCAAAAATAAAGAGAGACATCAGCATCAACATGATCCATATGTGAGCTACAAAACCCACAAAATGCAAGCATCATATAAATGAACTAAAATCAAAAACATAAAGAAGCAAAATTTTTGTTCCAGTAGATCACCGTTTAATATTTCACATACAATTATCAGAAACAATAACAACCCGCATAGAGAAAATCAAGAAATGGGCATAAAAGCACAGAGTTGCAAGCAACCCAGAAGTATCTAACTATGAGATAATCTAAAAGACTCAACAAGGGATACGTCAAAAGTAAATCCAAGTATAAGAGTCACAGTAATCTACCTCAAAATGCCAATCCTTTTCCCATGCAAGCACAAACTTTCTACAGAAAAATCCCATGGATCAAAGAGGCATGGGAACTAAGAAAAAATCAACTGAATGTAGTTTTTGTGCGCCTCTCAATACATACAATAGCATATAGCAAAAGATAAGAACCAAAGTAAAGAGATTCATACAGATCTCAAACAGGGACCCAACACTTTGGATCCAAAAGAAAAGACCCACAGAGACGCAGATGCTAAAAAACAAGATAGAGTGCATAGAGAAGCAAAAAACCACCAAGCAAATCACAGGACCAGTTAAAAGTGAATAGAAAAGGAAGCCCAAAAAAGGTACCTGGGCTTGAGAGAGAGAGAGAGAGAGAGAGAGAGAGAGAGAGAGCGCGTCCTCACAAAAATCAGACCTTTGATAGGCTTTGCTTTGGTTTGCTTTAGCAGAGTGGAAAAGAAAGAAAAGAGAGCACTCACTACAACTGTTGAGAGAGATAAAGAGGGAGAGCAATGTGTTGTGCGAGAGCTCCCTTTCCTAAAATGTGTGGAGAGAGAGAGAGAGATAGAGAGAGAAAAAGAAAGAAAAAGCTTTCAGTGAGTTTTAGATTAGAAAGACTGAGAAAGAGTTGGGTGTCTCTCATGTCCCTGTGGGCTACTACCATGTAGCATAACCATCCATGTATTCAGACTTTGAGTCTTTGACAGAGAGAGAATTGGGTCAAAGCCAAACTGCAAAAGTTAGCCTTTTTTTTGTTAATTATTATTTTCTTCTTCTTTTTTCTTTGGGTTCAATTATTTCAATGTATTTTGTCCCAAATACAAGTGTCTGAATCAATATGTATAATGGGCCAAGGCTCCACCCTGTCCCTCATGCTTTGGGAGTTTTTTTTTTGGAGACAATATGGGATATTCATTGATGAACATGGCAATTACAGAAAATTGCTGATAAGCAAACCCTATTGCCTTCATGCTTTGGGAGTTTTGAGCATCATATTTCTTTAGTTTTTTAAGGCTTTGAAACTTTGGGAAATGACCAATTAACCAGGCATGTCCCCTCTCCCTTCCCTTCGGCCACTTTATAAAATAAGTGTAGTTTTGGTTGTTGAGACAGGAAAATGGTTAATAGTCCATGAGAATGCCAGTTGATGATGAGGTCATGATCCAATCGGATGGTCAGGGATTGATTATTGTCATGTTGGAAATTTGGAGAGGTGGGCTATCAATTGACCAAATTCTATGGACAGTGCTTCTCTATGCGCATAAACAATACTTTTTATTGGCAGTTTTTCTTCTAAAAACATTACAACTTTTTATAAGTTAGATCATGAAACAAGGGTCTAGATTTAAAAATCTCAATCACAAAACTAACGATCCACTTAAAAACTTGTTGAAGGTACAAGGAAAAAAAAAAAAAAAAAAACAAACTCTCTCGAAAGTTACTTTCTTTCTCATTCTTGCTAAACAAAAATTTGATAATGAGATAGCGATATATTATATCTCATCTTCCATACATATCATTATTGATTAGGTGATAAGGTGATTGTGAGAGCATGTTGTGCATGGTACATACCTTACTAAATGCTTTCTCCTTAAGAAGAGAGGAATGAGTCAAGAACAACATTTGACATCTCTTAAAAAAAAAGAAAAAAGAAAAAAGAAAAAAGAAAATCCAAAAAAAACCTCAACCCATCAAAAGCATAAATTAAAAAAATCACGCATGGTGGTGAAAAAAAACCTTTATTGTTGACGAATGAAACATCAAATCACCTCTTTGGAGCCTCCAAATGATCAATGGTTTGATCATTTTTCATCTTCCATTAATTATTTTGATTTGAGATTTAACAATATCCCTGCGTATTTCCAACTTGGGATCCCGGACCATATTTTGATCAACGTTGTAAGATTGCATTTAGAATTTTCAAATGCTGACCTCAAACTCTCTATTTTCTTACCAAAGTTTGGTTAATTGGAAGTCATATTTTATATCGAGTTTTTGTAAGCAAAGTTTTAAATTTATCAAACTAAAAAATCCGGTTTAAAATGGCGGCTCTTCTAACTCCTTCACCAAGGCATTTTTAAATAAGTATTTAAGTTAATGAATAGTTATATACTTCTAATCTCGAACGTTGGATTGCATTTAAGAGACTATCAACACATCTAATGAATGCAATCCAACGCCAAAATTAAAAGCATGTAACTAATTATTAAGATAAAATACTTATTCAAAAATCACTCCTCCTCCACCTATTTCAAAACTAGAGTAAGAACAACTAAATCCGAGTGAAGAGTATAACATTCCAGCAAAACAAACGGACCCCTTCTTTATAAACCTCACACACATTTGTCAGTTTTTAGGGTTAGGGTTAGGGTTTTACCACACACAGGCTGAAAATGGAGGCTGAGAGAAAGCTATCGGCAGAGGCTGGGTCCATACTCCAGGAAGGCATAGGATTGGTTCTGTCTCGGTGGTCAGCGCTCCAATTGGCTGTTGAGAACGAGTGGGGTGGCCGTGACTCGCGCCTGAAAGCGGAGCAACTCATCACCGATATCTTCTCCTGGTTCAATCACTCCAAAGGTACATAATTCACTCAGCTCCACTCCTTCGACGCATCAAAATATTCGTTTTTCTGGAAAAAGAGCTTGAAATTTGATATGCTGCTTCTTTTTTAGGGGATTCTTATCCCAAAATTTGTATTTTAAAATTTGTTCGAATTTAATCGAGGTCTTTCAGTGTAATGAATTTTGTGATGCTTGTGCTTCTGAGAATGGAATTAGGATTCTATTGGGAATTTATCTGTGAAAGTAAGAACCTTTATCACCATAATTGCCAATTTTATGCTGGTTCTTCTTTTTCCTCATAGTTTTGAGTGTTTAATTCAATTTGGTGAGGTTTGTTTCTCTTATAGAAAAGCTCCTATTTTTGGACTGTTTCTGTGTGGAAATGTGGTGGTCTATTATCACTAGGAACATGATACGATTATACTCAGTAAAATTAGTAGCAGTTTTTCAATATGAAAATTATAAACGGAACTGTTAATTTTCTTTGATGTTAAAATGAGAATTTCTGTTGTTCTAACCGAGCAAAATCATTAACTAATGTTGTGAATTTTGCACCTGTGGGTTTTCTCCTAACTGTGTGTTCGTTCTCCCCAGAGCCTCTTTACATAGATGATTTAGAAGATATGCTGAATGAAGCTATGCTTTCTCTCAACACTATGACAGAGGATGGCAGCATTGAGGAGGTAAGCATTTCAACACTTAATAATATCTTAATAGATTATACGAGAGACTTAATATGCTATGCTTGTGGTGGGAAACTCAAAATTTATTGCTTGCTCCATAGATTGTGTGACTCAAAGTGGGCAACCATTGCAAATGTTTGTGATGTGTGTCTCAGACCACCTGGCCAACTATTTGACTTTTAGAAATAAGATCTTTTAGCATCAAGTACATTTCAGTTGGCAGCTGATTCTCAGCCGCATCTCCAGTCATTAGAGACACTGCTCACTTTTTTCATTAGATAGACTATTCATGGATCATTTCATGTGTTCATTATTGTTTTTATAAACTAGTTGATATTACGGATGCGGATTTTACTTATGGCTTCTATCTTTATGATGTTTGCACAGGTTGCTGAAAAGTTAATGATTATGCATGAAGAATGTTTAGACTGTAATTTCAAGTCTATTGAAAGCCTAAGGGAAGCCAATCATCGAAGAGTTGCTGTTCCTCATGTTAGAGAGGTAAGTTCAATCCCTCAACCTAAAAGTTTTTACTAATTATTAACATAAGTTTCTCATATGCCCTGTTAACACTTTTGTCATGTGTTGGAAAGAACTCCTTGTGGATGTTCTTGTGAGAGATCTTTTTGACTGCGCAAGAATGGTGGAGAACCTTTCTTGCTCATATGGGTTCTTTAAAGCCATGAGTGGCTGAGGGAGGATGATAAGTTGAAATGATATGCCTTACTGCTATCTCTTCATTCTGTTTGTTACTCATGCCAGGTTGCAAATGATGACGACGATAGTGATGAAGAAAATTATGATAGAGATCATTGCATGGGAAATGATGATTCCTCAAACATGATGATGGTGGACACACCAGAGTCTCATTCAAATGTAAATGTTGTAAGCATGTCAGACAGTGAGCCAAAGCCCAAGCTGGCTGCCGAAGCAGAAGATGGATGGGAAGTAGTTGGACCAAGACGACATAAGGGTAGAAGGAATTAGGTTGAACCCTAAGTATATGCAATTCCCCCTTCCCTCAACATTTGTCATTTTTTTATCCCCTCTCAAACGGAATGGTATATGTATACCATGTTTTTGTACCATGTTTTGCCAAGTTCCTTGACAGAGTTTGAAGTCAACTCACCTAAATAAGAAAAGAAAAAAAGGGATTAATATTACAAGAAAAGGGTAGATGCATTTTCAATATTCGAGCATAGTACTAAAATGGAAATCTCTCCCCCAAGGCAAGAAAAGAAGCATGCAAATGCAGACATTTTATGATTTGATAATGTATCACTGTCGCTCGTGGCTGCGTTTCTCTGTTGCACAGATGATGGTGTGGTGGGAGTGAAGGAAGTGTAGGAAGTTTGAACTTCACTCAAAAGAAACATTCATAATTGAAAGGGCTTTGGTCATTGAAATTTTGTGTTTTAGTGTGCTTAGTTAAAAAGTGAAGAGCAAAGAAACATGTCATTAATGCAAACAGTTGGAAGATGGAACAAATTGGCAGCTAATCGTGCTCTCCAAACAGGAAACTGTCTGGGAATGTTTTACAAAACATACCCATCAAATAAATTTGATGGTTCACCTCTTTCTCAGACATGTACACTGCAGCTCACTTATTGCTATAATCATCCTTTTCACAAACTTCAGAAAGCATGTTTTATTATTAATTTTTTTGTCATACATAAAGCATGGCTATGAGGATGTCTGCTCGATAGTATTCTCAAGCCTCCTTAAAAAAGAAAATAATCTGAATCAATTATAAATTGCGTTAAAAAAATAGACTCAATTTCTTTTTCAGAGGTTTTAAAAAAAAAATTACAAGGCCATAAAACCAAGTAGATTAGTGTAATTTTCTCTATTGATTTCCCTGTTTAGCAGAACACTATCAAGATCATATGTGGTAACATATGAATGACTAACAGAGACCTCGTATGATTCATGAGGGCTAGGCTAGCAGTGCAGCCCTGCTGTTGCATTGCACCATGTCCTTCCATAGTTGGTAAATTCATTCTTTGTTTCAAACCAAAAAAGCAACCACCTGAAATAAACTCAACAGAGAAGATTGAAAAAAAAAACTGACCATCTTACTAAAAATTATCAATTTTGCATCTCATTGGGATGTGGACTCACGATCTCTCAATAAACATACATCGTATAATTAATCAGGTGTTCTACTGTTCTCTCTTGCTTTCATTTCCTTCTACAAAAAAAAAAAAAAAAAAAAAAAAAAAAAAAAAAAAACAACAAGATCAAGATCGGAAATAACACGATCGCACTTCTCTTCCAATATCTTCACAGCTTCGGTAACTAACACTTCGGGAGGAAATACCCCACTTGATTCAATAGTAACTGTGTGCATGAGAGAGAGAAAAAGAGTTAGAACTCTTGAAAACATTCATACGAACAAATAATGCTGTATTGAAACTTATTTTTCCTATATAAACTCTACAAGAGACTCCAATTATATCATCAACCATTGATAACGAAGAAGACACCGTAAGGTCGTAACTGACAATGGTCCAAAATTCCAACTTCTAGAGGCTCGTACACCACCATGTGTAGGTAATATCCAACTCATATATAACCCAGTGGGGTTAACCTATCCCATTTTAGTCTAATGTACAAATCAAAGAGCAGCTCAGAGTTATCTAATTCATGTGGTATTGACCATCAGATATCTCAAGTCTCCGAGACCAGCTTTAACTGGAAAAAAAAAATTCAGGCAGTCTAGTTTCTATGTTTTGACTCATGAGCAAGTGATTTTTACAAATAAAAGAATTGAAACAGAAATTTCATACATTTGTGATGAAGACTAAAGCTCCATTTCTGGGACACTTACAATAACGAGAAACTACAAGAAAATCATAATTCCAACTTTGATTACAGAGGAAATTACTTACAAATGAAATGATCCTTCTTACGCCGTAACGATATTGCATTCTCCCATCCCTTCCCTTCTCTGATGCATTCCCTGCACAATGTGCAAGCTCGTGGTCTGGCTACAGTAGCCCTCTTTTTACCTGCTAACCAGTCAAATCATCAATCAAGCCACTCCAGAAAATGAAAAACAAGGCAAACAATTTGTGCAAGTGCAAATATAACAATAGTTTTTGAAACTCATATATTGGGACAAACCTATAGCATTGCATCCTTTTAAAACTAATTCTTTGTTGTCAGTCTAGTATCTAAAGCAGAGGGAGAATAAATGCCATTAAAGAAAAATCCTTTACCTTTGCCAATATCTTCAATATCAAATACTTTAACTGGGCATATTGCCACAAGTTTCTCAGCCAGCTGATCTTCAATATCTTCCAATAGTACAATCTAACAAGAAATCAAAAAAATATCGGATTACTTCTAAATAATATTCAGGGTGTTAGAAGCAATCACCCAAAACCACATCCCCTTACCTCAGGAAGCATCTTATACCAAACAGGGGTAACTGGGGACCATTTTGAATGTGTTTTACCAATGCCCTTCACAGCATGTGCTTCCAGTTCAATTTCCTAAGAAGTGGTAAAATTAATGTCATTTAAAACAAATGCAAAAGAACAGTAAGCATTACTGACTACTATAAAGAATAACTATGGAAATTGATAAGATAGTAGTTGGCAATAATGCAAAATACTGGACTAGCAATCTCCACTTATGCTAAGGACTAAGAAACAACTCCATCTTATTATTTTCATGGTGAATTTCCAGCAATAAGTTATTACCCAAACACCATTTACTTGAAAAGAGCTTACAGTTACATTTTATTGAAATAATATTTGGAGTCAGTTGATCCAGCTATCAATATCTGAGACTCTGCTTACATTGCAAAGACAAAAGTGTAACACCATGAATTTGAGGAATGACCACAATCATACAAAACAAATAAAAGGTTTACCTGACCAGGGCCCAGTCTAGCAATAAGAATATCTCCAAGTGCGGGGGCGATTGGATTGCCGGAAAATTCTGGCAAGGAATCCTGGCTGCAAGTAAATGATGTATATGTTTTTGGTTTTGAGGATGAACCTGTCTTTGAATCTTGTGATTCCAAAGGAAACTCACTCCCATTTGGCAACCATATCAATTCTTTTGACTTTACTGCATAAAATGTTGTAAAATCATCATCACAAGAAAAAAAATTCCTTCCAATAGTTTTGTAGAAAGAGAGGTTTTAAACTTGTTGATATTCTTCACAACAACTAAAAAATCACAAGAGAAAATAATACCTGAAAGACGTTGCCCACTTCGTTCACAGCGAACATGGAGCTTAAAAACAATGGTGTTCTTTTCACTTGCCGTATTATTTTCTAAAAAGTAAAATATGTCACAGGAAAAAACTCAATAACTCAAAGCTGTAGAGGAAATAAACAAAGAGAAACCTAAATTATATAATAAAAATGCAAATACCAAACCATAGTACCTGCATATTCAAATAATCTAGGGTCGGCTTTGATCGGAATGAGACCCAACCTGTGGGCAAGTACTTCATCTTGGATTACTGATGTGTTGTTTGCAATAAGAACTTTTTCAATAGCCATTGTGGGAACCTACACTTGTATAGTAAAAAAAGTTTGGGATCATCATTGATAAGCAAAACTGCCAACTGAATAGTGATTCCCATAAACACATGATCCAAGAGATAGTACAAACTAAGGGAAGCAGATACAAAACTTCCATCTATGGTCAAAATGGTGTATATATATATTATAAAGGGAAAGAAATGAATAGCATACGACTTCTAAATTTCTTTCACAACTAAAATAATTAGTCAGTGAAATGAAGAGATATTATATATGTATGTGTGTGTGTGTGTGTATTTATAGATATATATTTCAGAAGATTAACTCATGACAATAGAAGGACCTCATTGACATAATTTTTTCCCCTGGAAACAGTGACATCAACTCGTTAAACCTGAGAAATTAACCATGCAGTCACTCAACCTTCACAGAACTAAAAGGTTGACTACAAAAAAGCTGAAGTACAGAGACAAATTCCTTTTGCTTGATATCCAATGCATGATGATACTTAAACAATGATCACTAAATCACAGAGCGTGAGAAAGCAAGTACATAAGAACTCCATATAACTAGAAGACGATACTTAAGCCATGAAGAAGGTATATTTTAGTAGAACTAGTATATGAACTCCAATAAATATTAATCATTGCAAGCATATTTTTATCACCCATACTCAAGTATTCATGAATTTTAATATTTCAAACCTCAGATATGAGGATTCTCCGGAATGCATTGGCAAGTGCTGGATCAATGCCGATCATATCAAACTCCATTTCATCCTCTGTAAGACGAATAACTTCAACTCTAAAGTTGTCACAGAAGTTATCCAAAAAACTATTTTCAACTCTCATTGATGAATAAGCACCAGAATACTGAAAGGTATCAGTCTGCAAACACCAAAATTTAAGACATGTAAGAAATATACGAAGAGATGAAACTGCATGAATGCATTTCCTAAATATTGAGAAAAATGAAAGAGAGTGATAACTAATATTGCTGTATGCAGGGCTATGCCACTTAGGCAGATTTCTGTCTTTGGTGCTCCATTCCCACGTAATTTTTCCGAAGAAAAAACCTTAATCCACAAAACTATATTTTATTCATTTTAAAATTTACACTTTGAAGCATGAATAATAGTACCCAGCAACAAATACATGCATACACATCTATGCATAAACATGAATCGAGCTTATGTTTTCTGGTAACTCAATTAGATAACAACTCCGAAGGACAAAAAAAAACCTTGACTTTCCTACCTTTCCTTAGCAACCAAGCATGACCATCAACAAAACTAACCAACCACAGAACCCAAATTTTGACTCAACGGTTAAAAAAACCTAAGAGAACCCAAAAGCACCTAATAGAACACAAAAGCAGCCATAAACCAATAATGGATATCTTTAAATTTTGAAAAAGCAAAAAAACATGAGCATCAATCAACCCAACCAACCAAAAAAATAAACAGTTCTTCTCAAGACTATAAACGAATTCCAAAACAAAAAAAAGAAAGAAAATAAGGAGAAAAGTGAAAAAAGGGGTAGAAAAACTGTACATGAATGGGAGCATCAGCCTTGCAATCGACGCGCGTCCTCTGGAATTCAATGTTTGAAGGTAGTCGCCCCATCGGCACATCTGAGAGATTCTCTATAAATTCCAATGTAGCGTTCTCTTCTACAGAGTCTGCTCTTTCAGACTCTGAACTCGACGTTGTATCTTCGTTATCGGACGACATGGTTCCTTCTTTCACTTCTTCAGCAGCCGTCTTCGTCACCGCCAATCTCTCTCTCTCTCTCTCTCTCTCTCTGTTATTGATATTAAAGTTAGGGTTTTGAGGGTTTAGTGGAAGAGAGTAGCAAAATTTGGGTTCAGGGTTTTACGGACAAGAAGAGGCAGATGGGCCTCCGATTGTATTTAATTTTGTCCAACAAAAGAAGAAAAAAAACTAAACTTGTAATTCTCTCTTTTCCAAATGCTCACTCTTGGTGGTTGCTAAATATTCTACAATGTTCATTTATGTAATGAATGCTTAACTCAAAACACTCATTATATTGTATGTGACTTGTAACTTAAGTTGTTAAGAACATCCACATGAGGTAGGATAGAAGAGAATGATAAATTTTGAAAAGAAAATATTTGACTTAAATTTTCCTTCCCAACGAAGAGAGTTTTATTAAAGACGAATAGAAATGTTTACATCACTAACCAAAATATCAAAAATCCATTTGGGCCACACTTGGTCCCAGACGTGGTTACCTCATACTCTAGACACAAAGACCACAACCTCATGCACTGCCTTATTATACTGACAGGGAGTAGCTATAAAAATGACATGTTAGAGCTTACTAGCAAGCATCTTAATATAAAAAATAATAGCTTCCACAACATCTACGTGACGTTCACTTCTGAGCATCTGAATCATTTGCACCAATTCAAATTCAACTTCCACACACAACAGTCGACACTTGATGCAAGCAAGCAAAGCTTATCTTATAGCCTCAGCCTCTATCAGTAAGGCCAAGGCCAAGGCCAAGCAGCCATATAATCCCCCTACACCCCCTCCCTACACTAGCCAGCCATAAGCATCTCTAAGAGCACCTTCGGCGCAGCCCAGTTGCCATGGCAACAGGCCCCCTCCAGCAAGATTTGGACCTCCAGCACGCAAAAGGCAGCCCGGGCAAGGCATAGGACTCACCAGCTCGGGATAGCCCACATGCAAAAATGGACTGCGTTGTTGCCCCCAGGCTGCTAACTTCAGCGTCACATCATGCTGACGTCAGTGTGACATCATGCTAGCGTTAGCACCTAATTTTCAAAAAAAATTTAATTGTTGGCACCAGGAATACACGCGCCAACAGTAAAAAAAATTTGAAAATCAGTCGCTGACGTCAGTTCTAACCCACCAGCCCACATAGCCCAACGACTATAAGCCACGTAGCTTTTCTTGGAGCCTCCGATCAAAAAATCTTGCCCAATCCAACGGCTATCCAATTTTTGCCTAAAAAAATTGAAAAAAAATTATCAAAAAATTCTGAAATTTTTTTTCTATAAATACGTACCAATATTATTCACTTTCCACACCAAATCTTCATACAAATTCATCTCCTTCCAATATTTCTTACTTTCCACACCAAATTTTCTACTACAAAATTTCATTTGTGCAAAAATACAAATAGCCTCTTCCATCAAAGCCGGAGGGTCGTTGACAAACGTTCGAAGAGGTCAAAATCTTGGCAACGAGGTAAAAAAAATTAAATTAATTGCTTTTATATATATTTCTTGCATTTCCAATTTCATTTTTTTAATAGATTATTCAAGGGAAAATAAAAAAGAGGAAAACCATTACACATGACTCCTCAAGTGAGCAATGCCCGCAGTCGGTTCCAGTGTGCGTTCCGCGTAAAAAATAATGGCACTATTATGTCATCTGAAGGAAAATACTCTCCTATGTCATGATTTGGTGGAAACGTCTCCGCCAATGATTGAGTCGTCCTTATACTCCATTGTGTCAGATTATGAGGACCGAGAGTATTTTAATTGTATGATGAGTGAGTAGATATTTCAATTGTATGATGAATGAGATGTGAATTTTATAATAAATATGGACACGTGGCAACCGAAAATCTTATCCGAAAATGTTATCTTAAATTTTAGGTGAGAATTTTATAATAAATATTGACATGTGGCAACCGAAAATCTTATCCGAAAAGCTTATCAAAATTAATGGTTTAAGTATAAAAAAATAGAAAATAAAGTAAAGTGAATAGTATTTGCCCTTGCCCTTACCCTTTGGAGTGGAACAAAAAAAAGCAAAGCTGCCACTATTTACATGAATAGTGTCAAACCTTGTCTTGCCTTACCTTTATCTTCACGCATGTGCCAAGGAAGCTAATATATATATGTGCGTGTAGGACATTAACACAACCGCCTATTTAGCTACACCAACTTATTCTATTAATTGATGCATAAACTTTATTTTATTAATAAATACATAAATGTCAATAAAGGAGGCTAGTCCTCCAAACGCAAATGGGTGGGGCTAGGTGGGTCATTAGAGCACCTTCACCCTAAAGGCAATGGCAAGCTCACGCATGTGCCAATTGGTTTTTTTTATTTTTTTTAAAAAGAATTTTAGAATAGGGAAAAGATAAAATGGGTATTTAGTTATGTTCCATAAAAATAGGACCATTATCTATTTTAGTTTTTTTAATATAAAAAAATATAAATTGATCGTATTATCTTCATTTGGTTAATCATTTTTAATTTTTAATTTTAATTTTTAAACATGGTATTTCCTGGTATTTTGAATGTTTCATAATTGAATAATGCTACTCTTACCATATTTGTGTACCACATTTCCATACGACCTTATGTGTCAAATGAGGTGAACATTCATATCAATTAGAAGTAGCTTTAGGCCCCGTTTGGGATTGCTTTTTTTGGCCAAAAACCTGCTTAACTTTAAAGTTAAGCAGTTTAAGATGTTTGGTAAAAATAAAATATCCCGATTATTTTAAAAGCAGTGGCCTTTTGACAGCAGCTTTTAAAAGCAGACTCTGGGTTGCTTTTCAAAGTTGCTTTCAAAAGAAACAGAGATGAACTTTTAATGAATTTTTTTCATTCCTAAAATACCATCATTCATTTTAAAAAATGACACCACCCCCACTTCCACATCCAACTCCACTACTTGCACCACCACATTCACTACCTTCACCACCACCACCACATCCTTCTCCTCCTCATCCTCTGCCACCACCACCACAACCACCACCTCCACCACCTCCTCCACCTCCTCCACCTCCACCACCACCACCACCACCACCACCACCACTACCACCACCACCACAACCACCTCCTCCTCCAAAACCTCCACATCCACTACCACCTCCACAACCAACACCACAACCACCACCATGCTGCCACTACCACCACCACCACCACTACCACAACCACCAACTCCACCTTCATCACCACCACTACCTCCACTCCATCACTACCACTACCACCACATGATTAGTACATAACACTTTTAACATCATGTCTATTTTAGTCATTATTCACAGTTACAACAATTTTATATTAAAATTTACCAAACGGTTTTGACACAGTTTTTGTACTAACAGCACTTTAAAAATATTGTTTACCAAACATGGAGCTGCTTTACTTTACACCTAATTATTTTCAAAGCACAGCAGAAGCAACTTCTTTTAAAAGTGACAGCAATCCCAAACTGGGCCTTACTCTTCACTGCCTTTTTCTCCAATATGGTAAGCGTAGCACTCTTTACTGCGTTTTGCTCTATATATCTATATATATAAAGTAAAAGGCAGAGAACGGTAAAACATTCAAAATACTAAAAAATGTCATTTGTTAATGTAAACATTAAGAATTGAAATTATTAATTAAATGAGGATAATATGGTAAATTCACACTTTTCATATATATAAAAATTAAAATTAAAAGAAAAATCAGATAATAGATCCTATTTTTATGAAACACAACTACCCATTATCTTTTTTAATTCTAAAATAATTTTAAATTTTTTTTAAAAAATAGGATCCATTATCTGATTTTAAAAAAATAGTATATAGATAAATAGATAATTAAGCTCAAATATCACAAAGCAAGCACGCTTATTTTTGTTTGCTTTTTGCCATTGCTTACTGTATCACCATTAGATAATCATAAACCTAGGCTAAGCGTGAAGAAGCGGAAAACTTAGGCAGTCCATGTAAAGAATGTTTGGTTTGGAAGGTTTTGTCGTATTGACAATAATAGAGTACAACAAACCAATATTACAAAGTCACCGTAGCGTGATCTTCAAGCTAAATAGAGTAATTACTGTGAAAAGGGTTTACATGATAGAGCATGGGACTGGTTCTGGATATTCATGAACCAGTTCATAGCACACTGGAGGACAATATTGAACACAGGCTGGAGGACCGGTTTCCTTAACCTCTTTCTTATCAGCTTTAGCTTCTTTCACTTCTTCAACTTTGACAATGGTGGCGAAGCCAAGCTTCTTCCTTAACAAACTGGCCAAGCAAACAGAGTCAACCCCATCTCCAATCACCTCAATATGATCTTTGTCTGCTCCTTGGATCGACACTTTGCTCACACCTGCTTTACATGTAATCATCCATTAATACTTATCAACTGACCTAATTATTAGTGATGAAATACTTGAATTTCTTTTCTCTTCTTTTTTTGATAAATTGATCTGTATGTATCGATTGATCGATGCGTACCGTGTGCAGCTGCAGCGATCTTCAAGGCCTTGGTTCGGCATTTTTCACAGCGCATTGGCACACTCACTACTATCTTTTGCTGCACATAAAAATTTGTACAAAAGTATGTGCGAACAATGATCATCTTATATATTCAATTTCACTTGCATAAAAAAGGAAAGTATGTGCCTATGTACAATAAAATCCAGAGAATTCAAGTATGAAGTGGAAGAGTAAGTTTTAGAGGCTTACCTTCATGTTGGAGAGAAGGGTATGAAATGAAGCTTTTAAACTATGGAAAACTCTATGAAATCTATGAGTGAATAAATCTATGAAAGTAGAACTTATCGATCACTATGCTGTGTCAAGGCATATATTATCTACTTAGAGCCAGCTTCGTCCTACAATATTATTAGCTCATGCGGACTTGTAATTTTAAGTCCACGGACATCCACCTACATGGTTTGGTAGACTTTGTAATGACAATGGTACATATTCATTTATTATCATTATTGTAAACCAATTATTGAGGGTCAAGGTTTTTTTTTCTTCTTTCCGTTGTATGGCATGGATTAGGTCAGTTGGTTAGGGTAGCGAACTCATCTCCTTGCACCCAAATTTGAATCTCTATTTTCAATTTACAATAGTTTAGATTATTGATTATGTAAACATGAAATTCCCTAGAATGGCCAACTGATCTGTTTCTTAATACTCAAACACCACGACAGGATTGAAATACTATAACAATCATGTAAGCAAAAATTCCAGAATACGCAGCAGAATAAATTCAAATAAAAACGCAAACAATTGCACAAGGGACACACGATATGTTGACGCAATAAAAAACCTCAAGATGAGGGAAAACAACTGCGGGCACTATGCCGGAGAACAAATCACTATGAGAAAGAATACAAAAAGGTCTTACAAGTCTCAACTCACAAGACTAACGCTCACAAGGCAGACTTGCTTACAAACGACAGACGCTCGTTCTCGGGTCAGAATGCCGGAGCTCAGGGACAAGCAAGTCCCCAACCAAGAAGTCCCTCCTCGATCGGAAACTTGGGGGACTACTGTTTGTACCATATCAGACCGCCCACTCACGTCGTGACACGTGGAACACCCTCAAAGCCGAGACCAGCTCAACCGGGCCATACTGAATGTTCGTTCGGCATGCTGTACCGATTCAGGGGGTCAATTATACATCATCAGTCCCTTCACTAACCTTCGGCATGGTATGCCGAGCAACCAACCATCACGTCAATCCAATTCTATCAGATTACCTCAGAACTTCTGCTGTAACCTGTCAGAGCACGTGTCGATCTCCGAAGACACTCCCACGAGTCCCACATCGAAACTAAGTGCCAAGAGCATCACAAATGCTCTCTATAAATAGAGCCCCTTGGCCCACCCAAGTGGTAAGACTTTCTAACTTGACTAGTGCTTCCACTGTCAATAGAATCGCTCTTAGTTATTAACTTTGGCATCGGAGTACCTTCGGCAAGTACCACACCGGTATCCTCTCCTCAGTTCGGATCCAGCCCCCACTCGAACCTTCGGACATCACGGAAGAAGGTCACTCCAATACTCAACCATCAGCACACTTGTAAGTTAGCCTAAACTCTTATCTGTTTAGATTTAGCGCGAACAACTAGCAAAGGAGTCTACCCAGAGATGAACTGGTTCTTCCTCATTGGCTTGCTTGCACCGGTTCCCATTTGGTTTCTGTCTAAGAAATTTCCCAACCAAAAATGGATCAGGCTCATAAACATGCCCATCATACTTGGATCAACAAGTAGTATGCCCCCAGCTAAAGCAGTACACTACATAACATGGTTTGCAGTTGGAATTTTCTTCAGCTTCTATGTTTACAAAAGGCACAAGGGGTGGTGGGCTAGGCATAACTATATCCTATCTGCTGCTTTGGATGCTGGACTTGCCTTTATGGGAGTTCTCCTATATTTCACTCTTCAATCCAATAATATAAATGGCCCAGAATGGTGGGGTCTGGGAGGTGACCATTGTCCGTTGGCCATATGTCCCACGGCGCCAGGGGTAGTTGCCAAAGGCTGTCCAGTTCAGTGACATGCTTCAAGCACTCCTACGTTGTATTCCCATTTCATTTGTTTTGTGAAAAACCAGAGCTCAGTTCTTGTAGTGTTGTTGTATGATGATGATGATCACCATTTCATGGCAGGCTGTATAGTTCATTAGTTTGAGTTGCTTTGCAGACTTAAGATTTTAGTCTTCTGTAGTTAAATAATTATTTCCTAGTCTTCCATGATTTGGGGATGGTGAATGCGAACCTGCTTTGAAATTGAAATTCAACCATCTTTTCTATGACTCTGTTACATGAGGATAATATGGTAAATTCACACTTTTTCGTATTAAAAAAATTAAAATTAAAAGAAAAATCAGATAATAGATCCTATTTTTATGGAACACAACTACCCATTATCTTTTTTAATTCTAAAATAAATTTAAATTTAAAAAAAAAGAAAAAAAAAGAAAAGAGAGGATCCATTATCTGATTTATAAAAAAATAGTATATAGATAAATAGATAATTAAGCTCAAGTATCACAAAGCAAGCACGCTTATTGTATCGCCATTAGATAATCACAAAGCAAGCACGCTAAGCGTGAAGAAGCGAAAAACCTAGGCATTGACAATAATAGAGTACAACAAAATGTATACTACCAATATTATAAAGTCACCGTAGCGTGATCTTCAATCTAAATAGAGTAATTGCTGTGAATAGGAGGGTTTACATGATAGAGCATTGGACTGGTTCTGGATATTCATGAACCAGTTCATAGTACACTGGAGGACAATAGTGAACACAGCCTGGAGGACAATATTGAACACAGCATGGAGGACCGGTTGGCTTTTCCTCTTTCTTATCAGCTTTAGCTTCTTTCACTTCCTCAACTTTGACAATGGTGGCGAAGCCAAGCTTCTTCCTTAACAAACTGGTCAAGCAAACAGAGTCAACCCCATCTCCAATCACCTCAATATGATCTTTGTCTGCTCCTTGGATCGACACTTTGCTCACACCTGCTTTACATGTAATCATCCATTAATACTTATCAACTGACCTAATTATTAGTGATGAAATACTTGAATTTCTTTTCTCTTCTTTTTTTGATAAATTGATCTGTATGTATCGATTGATCGATGCGTACCGTGTGCAGCTGCAGCGATCTTCAAGGCCTTGGTTCGGCATTTTTCACAGCGCATTGGCACACTCACTACTATCTTTTGCTGCACATAAAAATTTGTACAAAAGTATGTGCGAACAATGATCATCTTATATATTCAATTTCACTTGCATAAAAAAGGAAAGTATGTGCCTATGTACAATAAAATCCAGAGAAATTTAAGTATGAAGTGGAAGTGTAAGTTTTAGAGGCTTACCTTCATGTTGGAGAGAAGGGTATGAAAGTAGAACTCTATGAAATCTATGAGTGAATAAATCTATGAAAGTAGAACTTATCGATCACTATGCTGTGTCATCTGCTTAGAGCCAGCTTCGTCCTACAATATTATTAGCTCATGCGGACTTGTAATTTTAAGTCCACGGACATCCACCTACATGGTTTGGTAGACTTTGTAATGACAATGGTACATATTCATTTATTATCATTTTTGTAAACCAATTATTGAGGGTCAAGGTTTTTTTTTCTTCTTTCCGTTGTATGGCATGGATTAGGTCAGTTGGTTAGGGTAGCGAACTCATCTCCTTGCACCCAAATTTGAATCTCTATTTTCAATTTACAATAGTTTAGATTATTGATTATATAAGCATAATTACCAAATTAATGTATATTTATTGTTAGCGAGTTCTTATCTAGTTAGGATTTTCTTTAAAATTATCCACTCATTTCTATTCCCCCTCCTTTTTTTTTCTTTTTTTTTGCGATCTTCAGTTAGTTGGAACAATAGTTGCTTCAAGTGTCTACTTTGGAACATCTTGGTGGCTTCTCACAACCATTGAGCACATCTGTGATCCATCAAAGCTGCCAGAGGGAAGTCCATGGACATGTCCTGGTGATGATGTGTTCTACAATGCATCAATCATTGGGGGGGTCATTGGCCCCCTCAGAATGTTCACTGACAAAGGAGTCTACCCAGAGCTCAATTGGTTCTTCCTCATTGGCTTATTGGCAACCTGTTCCTGTTTGGCTGCTCTCTAAACAATTTCCCAACCAAAGGTGGATCGAGCTCATAAACATGCCCATTATACTTGGAGCCACAGGTTCCATGCCTCCTGCTAGGGCTGTGAACTATTTGACATGGCTTTCTTCAGCTTTTATGTGTATAGAAAGTACAAGGGCTGGTGGGCTAGGCACAACTATATCCTCTCTGCTGCTTTGGATGCTGGTGTGGCCTTCACAGCAGTTCTGCTATATTTCACCTTCCAATCCGAGGATATCATGGGTCCAAACTGGTGGGGCCAGGAAGGTGATGACCATTGCCCACTGGCCACGTGTCCCACGGCATCGGGTATAGTTGCCAAAGGCTGTCCAGTTCTCTGAGATTAATGTAATTCACATGTGCTTGTGCAAATCATATATAGTTAGCCCAGTTCTGGCTGATTGGTGGTATAGATATGAAGCTGTACAGTTGATTAATTAGTTTGTATTACCTTGAAGCTGCAGACTCAGATTTTAGTCTTCTGCAAATTAAATAAGTTACTTAGTACTTTGCATAATTTGAAACTGGTCAATGGAAAACATGCTTTAATACTGAAATAAGTGGCATATAATCTTTAAGAAATAACATTATCACATATCAAGCCACCAAGGCATTTATACATAGTGCAGCTAATATTCTTAGTCTAAGGAGCTAGAGAGGAAGATTACAGGCTACTTGGAGGATGGGGTCCCTCAAGCCAACTTGTCGGAGAGGTTTCAGTCATCCATTGGCTTGCATTGTGATCTACATGCATCCACAATCAAAAATCATCAACATCCGCATAGATGTTGGGTTCATTTTTATACATGATTTATCATTCACATAATATTTTAAGTTCGTTCTTGACATTTAATAGCATTTTACTTCCTTTTTGTGTTTTTATAGAATTTTAATTAACTTGGTTAGAATGAAAGTAAGCTAAAAATGCATTATTGAATATAAAATCTGCTTTTGCTCATTTTCGTAGGTCAACTTCTTGGCCTTAGATCAGCGTGTTATGTTGCTCGGATGCCGGGAAGATCTTCATGAAACTTGTTCCAATGGATGTTGACTACAACATATCCGAATTTGAGCTCCATTGAGAAAGTATAGCTCAGCCAATCAATCCAACATTGGACCTAACTCTGGAAGTCTGTTTTGGGTCAACTTTTATCCTTACTTGGTGTCATCTCCCTTCTAATTGTTACCACACCTCTTGGTGACATTGTAGAGATTTAATTTCAGATTGGTAATAGATTAGAATCTCTCTTTATGTCTTAAAACCAAAATGAAATGATGAAAGTGGAGACAAGTGGAGCACGTGCCAATGACTTTGGGTAAAAGGTGGACTTTAATATTGAAGAATGAGTTGGCAAGAGAGAGAAGGAGCAAAAAGGAAAGGGCATAAGCCCATTGAAGAGGGATTCGACATTTTTGGAGAACAAAGCTAGAGGAGAGCAAAAGAGGAGCCAAGCAAGAAGGAGAAGAAGATTTCCACCATTGAAGACCTTGAGCTTCCATCACCTTCACAAAATCTATAAACTCTTTCTAATTTTATTTCAAGTTGTAATTACTATTAACATGAGTAACTAAACTCCATAGCTAGAGCTTAGGTTGAAGTCCTAAACTTGATTACCCTATTGTTTTGATGCTTGAGTTTATGAATTTCTAGATGTTGTTGATGAATTCCTATTCACCAAAATAATATGTCCTTGATGTATGTTTTTCTTTGATTGATCACCTTTGAAATCATGCTTCTTGAGATTGTTGGGATTATATGTACCTTTATGTTTTCCTAAGCAACAAATGGATGAAGTAAGAATCATCCATGTGAATTGGTTTCTTGAATGTCTAATGTAAACACCCTACTATTAGGGTTCTTGTGATGTTCATATTCTCTTTGAACTTAATGGGTTTTCCATATAATTAATTTGAAGTACTAAGCATACCTAGATTGATTATGTGGAAAGCACAAGTATTATAGCACTAGCCCTGCACTCTACTTATATTGGAGAGAATCAATGCCTCTTGAGCCACTAGACCCGGTCTTGATTGTGAACATCTTCATCAACATATTTAAAGTTCATAACTTGAGTGTCCATGGACATGAGTAGGATTGTTTAGGGCGGATTCCGAAAACCCTAGTTTACTCCCTCTATGGGTTGTGCCTTGTTGTTGAAAGTGGTGTAACATTAAAAGGATGATCAGAATTATCTAAATCAATTAGATTCTTCTCAGCTGTTAAACTGAAGCTTTTTGTTGCTCTTCTTCTTGCAATAAGAGTCTCCAACCATTGGTTCCTCTCAAGCTCCAAATTCTTCAAATCCATGACATTCTTTTGGTCATCCTCTGTCCACTTGATTGCAGATTTGCTTTCATCATCCTTGCCACCCTGTGCTTCTTCACTCCCCCCCCCCCCCCCCCCCCTCAAAAAAAAAATAATTGTATGTGTGTTTGAAATCTTGAGTGTTCTTTCTACTGAATTCTGCTCACTTCCTTTTTTCTTTTTCTTTTTTTTTAACATTTGGTCCACACTGGGTTCTTCATTTTTATGTGCTGAATTCAACCATATAAAGAACGTGAAATTTGGACAAACGGTTGGAAAGTTATAGGTTAAAAACTAGACAAAGGTCGAAGCTGAAAACAGGGCACACACTGGCACACTGCCTAAAAACGACAGGTCGCGCACTGTTCACTGGGTGATAAACATGTGATACATAGGTGATACAGTGATGATAAAGTAGTGATAGAAAGGTGATAAAGGAGTGATAGAAATTCATGATTGTGTTTATCTTTGGTTTCTTGTTTTGTTTCATTTCTTTTACTTTTCTTTACTCATTCCTAGTTTCCTATTTGTATCTTACCTTTGTGTCGTGTTACATAAGTGTTCTTTACGTACTCAAACTAGAACTTTGTATAGGCCGACAGTTCCTCGTGGGATCGACCTCGTACTTACAAATCTATACCCCAATAGATTCGTGCACTTGCGGATATTTTTAATTGGATGATTAGCACATTAATTTGTGCCAATTATTAATACAGCAATAGACGACTGACTTGAACATATTCCTTTACTTAATTGTTGCAAAGGATAGTGTCAAAGGACATAATATTGTATGTAGTAGAGCAGTTACAAGACAGGCTGCGGTCTGATGTTGTTGCAGTTGGTCTTGCAACTCGTTCATGGACTATGCTTTGTTGGGCTGCTTTGTGCAACATTTATTCATTGTCCACTTGCCCAAGTTTTGCATGTTGGTTGTTGTTGATGAGCAAGCTTTGTCCGGCTTTTTCCTCCATATGGGGGGGTTTTTCAAGGTAATGTTTTAATAAGGCCACTATTGCTCCAGCACTAGACTCCACTAGGGGTCCTTTTTGTCCCTCATATAATGTTTTGGGCAAGAGTCTTCTTTTTTCTTTTTATTTGTTTCCTCGTGATTGTTTCAGGCCGCAAATCTTTTTAAGATCACACTCTTGTTCGTGGCTTTCACATTGGGTCATCCTCTCCGTTATATCCTCTTATGGTGTTATAATAAAAGCATCTCTTCCACACACAAAAAAGTCCTTAGCGTTTGAATGGCCGCGATGTCCCACATTAGCTCCAACTTCCACAAAGATTTGATTACATGACTGCAACATCATTTGTTTTTTTTATGAGAAAAAGTTTAGGGAGATGGAACCATTTTGTCCCTCATGTATTGATGCATTGGGAATGCCGACAATCAAAAATCATCAACATCAGCATAGACGACTAACTTGACTGAACACATACATTTAACTTAATTGTTGCAAAGGATAGTGCCAAAGGACATAATATTGTATGCCCGCGTTAAAATATTGTCCAGTTGATGGTGATGGGGGTGACCATGCCTCATCCGAGCAGATTTAGGTTTTGAGTTTTATAGTCTTTGTGAAAGAAAAAAATGCATTTGTTTTTACATAATTTTGGAAGCTATTGAATTGGATTATCACACCCCTTCAATTCTCATATCTCATTGTCAAGAATCGTCCACGATTGAATAGTCACAAACTCAGATCCCATCCAATGCCATCTTCCAAAAACTTAAAATTAGAAAAGACAAATAAATAAATAAATAAAAACTTGACTAGATGATTTCAATATCACTTGACTTGTAAGTTAGTAACAGCTCTCAATTAGTCCCATAAATTAATTTGTCCAACTACCACTGATTTTAATTCACATAGCTGTCATCCCCCCAAATTTGGAGGTCCAGTCCAGATCACTCATTGTCAACACACAAGTCAAGTCTCCACTGTTTCATATTTTTCATATATTATTTTCTGGAAAACAAAATCATATTTTTCATATTTCCATATTTTCAGGCAAGTGATTTTAATTGAATTAGCTGTCACCCCCCCCAAAATTGGAGCCCATTCAATTTTTTTTCTTTTTTTGGGTAAAAAGTTTCAAATCTTTTCACACGTGAAGGATCCGGATTTTGATTCCTGTTTCCCTGTTTGGGTTACAACTTACAAGCAGTTTAGGAGGCCAAAAATCAGTCTCGATTCATTTTTTACTCTTATTTTTTTACTTTCTTAACCTCTTATTGTGCAAAATTAAGTCTAGGTTCCTAGTGACAAGTACAAAGAACATGAATTAGAATCCGTGCAGTAATCACGTAACCAACTATTTGTTCTTATAATTATTTTTGGTTAATTTGAATTTTTCAAATTTAGATATATATTTTGACTAATATGCATTAAACCAGAGTCCAGGGGGCAGGCCACGCAACCTGTTTCTTGAAAAAGAAACTTCCCAGCATTGAAAAAAAAAAAAAAAAAAAAGAAAAACAGTCATGTCATCATTATACCACAGAACCAGAGAGAAAAAAAAAAAAGAAGAACCCACCCACCCAAAAAAAAAAAAAAAAAAAAAAAAAAACAAAAGCCATTTGTTTATATAAGCAGTGCCATATGCTTGTGGCCATTGAGGGGTTTGAAATTCTTTTGTCAAGGGAGGGAGGGAGAGAGAGAGAGAGAGAGTAGGGAGGAGGGAGAGAAATGACAAGCGGCTTCGTCGTCGACGATGGAGTGCCTGAAGCAAAGTTGCCTGGGAGGCTTCAGTCAGACATTGATGTAACTGGTTAGTCCCCCTATAGCTTTAGTACTTGTTTTATCATTCTGTATTTCTATGTTATATTATCAACATTGATGTAATTTGTCCACTATATATATATAAATAATTGTATTTCTACGTTTTATTCGTATTTTTCCCGTCCCATATTTTACTAACTATGATGCATATACAAACATATATAGTACGTGTATATGCATTGTGTATGTGAAGATCTATATGCACTTGTCCATATATGTTCATGACAAAGATGGTCAAGGGCCATGAGGAATGAAATGAAATGCGCTGTTAGTTTCCTCAAAACAAATCAGAACACAAAAAAAGTTTGAAGAACAGAAATTTGTTTTGTTTTTAGCAAAGCTTGAATTCATATGGGGTGTAATGAACCACATTTTAATCCGGCAATGCTGTCAATTTGCTTATGCAGGAGATGATGAAGTGAACGACTGCCCCATTGAGGAAGTTAGGCTAACTGTTCCAATCACTGATGACCCATCACAACCAACCTTGACATTTCGTACATGGGTTCTTGGGATTTTATCGTGCGCAGTTCTTGCCTTCGTTAACAAGTTTTTTGGGTACCGCACGAATCAGCTGTCTGTTTCTTCAGTCTCGGCGCAGATTGTTGTCCTCCCTCTAGGGAAGTTGATGGCTGCAACCCTGCCAACAAGAAAATTCCGAGTGCCATTTACAAAATTGTCGTTTTCAATGAATCCGGGGCCTTTCAATTTGAAGGAACATGTGTTGATCACCATTTTCGCCAACTCCGGAGCAGGCGGTGTTTATGCAGTTCACATTATCACAATTGTTAAGGCTTTCTACAAAAGGGGTCAGCATCCGGCGGCCGCCTTCTTGTTAGCACAAACCACTCAGGTAAATTTATGGCAAAGTGTTTCTTTGGTGTGTGTTCTTGCTTTCTTGGTAATTGTTTGTGTTGTGGAAGTTCATGTTTTTGTATGAAATTTTCAGTTGCTTGGGTATGGATGGGCTGGCATTTTCAGAAAATACCTTGTTGACTCCCCTTACATGTGGTGGCCTTCAAATCTGGTTCAGGTCTCTCTTTTCAGGTATTTTTTCAAAAGTTTTTTAAGTTGTTTTTGAACATATTTCTTTAGGTATTTATAGTTGTGAACAAATTAATTTATGATTTGAAATGCAGGGCATTGCATGAAAAGGAAAAGAGACCAAAGGGAGGCCTTACTAGGCTGCAGTTCTTCCTTGTAGTTTTCATAAGCAGCTTTGCTTACTACATAATTCCTGGTTATCTCTTCCCCACCATATCTGCTTTCTCCATTGTTTGTTTCATATGGAAAAACTCCATCACAGCCCAACAGATTGGCTCTGGAATGAATGGCCTTGGCATTGGCTCCTTTGGCTTGGATTGGTCCACCATTGCTGGCTTCTTAGGCAGCCCTCTAGCCACACCTGGATTTGCCATCATAAACATGTTGATTGGTTTTGTCTTGATTCTCTACATTCTTACCCCCATTTCTTATTGGTCCAATGCATATGATGCTAAGAAGTTCCCAATCTTTACCTCCCACACTTTCGCCTCCACGGGCAAGACCTACGAAATCTCCCGAATTCTGAATGCAACGACTTTCAACATTGATCTGAACGCCTATAACAGTTACAGTAAACTCTATCTGAGTACCTTCTTTGCCTTCAATTATGGGTTGAGCTTTGCCACTCTAACAGCCACTATTTCACATGTTGCACTCTTCCATGGAAAGTAAGTCTTTTCGACATTGCTTTTCAACTTATAACTCTGCCAATATTTCTCCAGAGCTAATAGCTTGTTCATTGTTTAATTCCTTCCTGTATGTGATACATGAACAGATCAATCTGGGATATGTGGAAGAAGACGACTAGTGCCGTGAAAGACCAGATTGGAGATATCCACACAAGGCTAATGAAGAAGAACTATGAAGCAGTGCCCCAATGGTGGTTTCACATCATCCTTGTTTTAATGGTTGCTCTTTCAGTCTTTACTTGTGAAGGTTTTGGCAAACAGCTCCAACTTCCATGGTGGGGAGTTTTAATGGCTTGTGGAATTGCACTATTTTTCACCTTACCCATCGGCATTATTCAAGCCACAACGAACCAGGTATGTTCATCCTCAGATACCATGATCAGTGTTCTGCAACTTTACAATCAGTTTTCTGCATAACCTGCTGCAAATTTCGTCCGAACAGGCTCATAATAAGATTCAATTTTCTCATTCAATTGTGTTCATTGTGCAGCAACCAGGGCTTAATGTGATTACAGAGTTAGTTATTGGGTATATTTACCCAGGGAGGCCTCTGGCTAATGTGTCTTTCAAGACCTACGGATACATCAGCATGTCACAAGCACTCACATTTCTTGGTGACTTCAAATTAGGTCACTATATGAAGATCCCTCCTAAATCAATGTTTATGGCGCAGGTAACGGTATCGATTAATAATTGCCGCATTTGTTTTAAATTGTTCGTATTTCTGATATAACCCCACTTGTATGAAGTATCTTACTCTTTTCCTATTATGTATGTTCAGTTAGTTGGAACAGTAGTGGCCTCAAGTGTGTACTTTGGCACAGCTTGGTGGCTTCTTACTTCTGTTGACCACATCTGCGATGTGTCAAATTTGCCGGAGGGAAGTCCATGGACATGTCCTGGTGATGATGTGTTCTACAATGCCTCAATCATATGGGGGGTCATAGGCCCCTTAAGAATGTTCACTAGCAAAGGAGTCTACCCAGAGATGAACTGGTTCTTCCTCATTGGCTTGCTTGCACCGGTTCCCGGTTGGTTTCTCTCTAAGAAATTTCCCAACCAAAAATGGATCAGGCTCATAAACATGCCCATCATACTTGGATCAACAAGTAGTATGCCCCCAGCTAAAGCAGTACACTACATAACATGGTTTGCAGTTGGAATTTTCTTCAGCTTCTATGTTTACAAAAGGCACAAGGGGTGGTGGGCTAGGCATAACTATATCCTATCTGCTGCTTTGGATGCTGGACTTGCCTTTATGGGAGTTCTCCTATATTTCACTCTTCAATCCAATAATATAAATGGCCCAGAATGGTGGGGTCTGGGAGGTGACCATTGTCCGTTGGCCATATGTCCCACGGCGCCAGGGGTAGTTGCCAAAGGCTGTCCAGTTCAGTGACATGCTTCAAGCACTCCTACGTTGTATTCCCATTTCATTTGTTTTGTGAAAAACCAGAGCTCAGTTCTTGTAGTGTTGTTGTATGATGATGATGATGATCACCATTTCATGGCAGGCTGTGTAGTTCATTAGTTTGAGTTGCTTTGCAGACTTAAGATTTTAGTCTTCTGTAGTTAAACAATTATTTCCTAGTCTTCCATGATTTGGGGATGGTGAATGCAAACCTGCTTTGAAATTGAAATTCAACCATCTTTTCTATGGCTCTGTTACATGTACACCTATCTCTTTATTAATAGTTTAAGGCATTCAAATATAAAATTCAGATGCAAAAATGAATTGACATTTTGTTTCTGCAATCTATAACTTGAAATACAATTTCTCTGAAGTCTTAAGCAGACAACATTTGAAACTTATCAGTTTCAAACCTTAAAGTACGAGGAGATAACTCGTATGCTTAAGGTTAGTCAATCTGGTTTCTCTGATCAGTCATTTGCTTGCCCTCTTAAACCAGCTTGGCAAATTGAGAGAAAGTGCAAGGTTGTAACTTTGCATTGGTCTGGCAAATCTGATGTTTTGGTATCAAATCACTCTCATGGTGACCTCACTTTCTAAACATCTGATGTTTTCTTTTTCTAAAATCTAAAGAAACTGAACCATGTTTATGTTGAGAGTTCCCAAAAACTGAGGGTCTGTTTGGTATTCAACTTGAATCCAACTTTTTAAATTCAAAAATAAAATTTGAGTCGAAAACAAAGAAAACATGTTTGGTAGCTCTATTTTTAAAAACTCAAACTCAAGAACAACTAAAAAAAAACACCCGAATTATTAAAAACAAAAAATATATGTTTTTTCAGTTTTTTTCTAACAACTCATAAGTTCTCAAATTTTTAAGATTTAAAAACAGTTTTCAAGTTGCATAACAAACAAGTTTTTGAATCATAAAAATATATTTAAGAACTCCTTCTTTTTAAGAAAAATAAAAACTATTGAGTTCTGTATTTAAATAAGATATCAAACATCCCCTCACTCTCCATACTCCATATGATATGCTGGAGGCAGAAAGGTAAACAAGAATATGATAACCCTTTGAACTTTCAAAGGGACATATCAAAGCATCATAGAATCGTCAGAAAAGTAGGGCCTAGTCAGACAATGATTGTCATCATTTGACACAGTATCTAAAACCACTCATCAATTCCACACCAATACCTTTCCAAGAGGAGAGTGATTGGCATTCATGGGTTAAAATTAAAAAACATATCATCTTCTCTATCCCTTCAACGACTTTGTCTTTGCCACAAAGGATAAGGTTTTGACAGATCAGCTGTTAGTGACCCAGTACTCTTAGCGGTAGCAATCAACCCAATTAGCCAAATCAAAAACCTTGGGCCATGCTCAGATGTCCATCGAATTAGAGAAACCACTTGAAGGTAGGTTTGTATCAAAGCAGTTGTGGCTTCAGAAAGAGACTTTCATAAAATGGGGATAATATTTTTTACTATCTTGATCAATAGCGCAATGATATATATGATAATTTTTTCACGTGTCATTGCGTTATTCGTCGGAGATAACAAAACAGTACCATCCTTGTTAGAAGAAGTTTTTCCTGCATCCATTGACCCACCAAAATAGCAAAAGTCAGTGGCAGTTCATTAATGCATTTCACACTAGAAAGAATAATGGGTACAATGAACCGATATTTAATATGCAGTGGCAGTTCATTAATGCATTTCACACTTGAAAGAATAATGGGTACGATGAACCCATATTTAATATGTAGCGATCCTCTCTTTGCACGAGAGTGATTATCGTTGGTGATTGTTAGCAGTTGATAGTTATAAATATTATTTTAGTGTTGACGCTGACTTAAGTGGTGACAATCACATCTGTACCTAAGTGATTGTTCTTAGCTTTCCTCTTGCCTTCAATATTCAAGACCATGCTCATTTATTTGTTTAGTATTTTTATCGACAACTTGGCACCACTAGCAAAGTTGGGACACATATAATGTTAAAGGTGAGAACTGAAATCAATGATCCTAGATTTTAGGTGGGTGGGAATGCTTGACTTTGATTTTATCTTTCGCTCTTTTTACGAAAACTTTGATTCTTCTTTGGTAGTGGAATCTGGCATGTGGACAACTAGTCCAATCATGCATAACCGACTCATAAATAAATAAAGTGTGGACCCTCAATTCGTATTCATAGAAGAATTACAAACAAGGAGATTATGAACATAAACAAACACTCACCTCACCCATTCTCCACCACTAAAACTCTAAAATATAAATATACCACTCAATAAAATGATTGTTTGTCAATGGAATCTAATCCAGTTGAAAAGGACCTTAACTTATAAATTAATGATTTTATATTCAAATCCTCATAACACCTTTATCGTATACTCACTGAAAATTAGTAGAATTTATTAGAATTAGCGTATGAATTTGTAAATTATCATGAACTCGTATATAAACCTAAAAAGAGGACAATAATTTGAGAATTATAATATAAAAATGTACAGAATGTATTCCACTTCATTACAATTTCAAGAAAAGGGTGAACAACTCCAGAGGTTGACTATAAAGTATTCAAATTAGCGGATTAATGTTTACATGTAGATATCTTGAATGAGAAGAATAGATCATTTCCGAAGGTGGGTTGTTTCAAAACTTAAAGTGTACGTGATGTAGGGCTCTTGCAAAGTCTCCTGCACTGCATATAAATGATTCAAGTGTGGACATGTTTGAACACTTTTCTTTTTCTCTTTTTAATGGGAACAAATTGGTTTAGAAAGTTCAAAAACCATCTAATTTGTAAAACAAAATAAAAATGGAAAAACTAAAACGACATAGGTTTAGTTTAGACATAAACATCATGTTAGCTAGCATGCATCTCATTTTCCACAATATCAATCAATCCACTTCATATGAATGTTACATACATTTATATCCAAAATCACTCCAAATCATGGACTCAACGTTTAAATGGCCACGATGTCCCACACTAGTGGAATGCCAACTTCCACAAAGATTTGACTACATCGATGGCAATATCAATTTTTGTTTCACTTCTAAAAAGTATCAGATTCTTCGTTTAAGTTAGACTAATGTCCTAATTAATGTTTGATGAACTTATAAATATTAGAAACAGAGGGCTCGTTTGTGACTTTTAGGAAGAATCATCTCCCACGTGCTTCTCCATATAATCACAAAAACCATCTAATTTGTAAAACAAAATAAAAATGAAAAAACTAAAACGACATAGGTTTAGTCTAGACATAAACATCATGTTAGCTAGCATGCATCTCATTTTCCACAATATCAATCAATCCACTTCACTTCATATGAATGTTACATACATCTATATCCAAAATCACTCCAAATCATGGGCAAGAAATCCTCAACGTTTAAATGGCCACGGTGTCCCACACTAGTGGAATGCCGACTTCCACAAAGATTTGATTATACATCGATCGCAATATCAATTTTTGTTTCACTTTAAGAAAGTATCACATTCTTCATTTAAATTAGACTAATGTCCTAATTAATGTTTGATGAACTTATAAATATTGGAAATATAAGGCTCGTTTGTGACTTTTGGGGAGAAGCATCTCACATGTGCTTCTCCATATAATCACTTTAAGTGATTTTAAGTGATTATGGGGAGAAGCACCTCCCATGTGATTCTCCATAAAATCACTTAAAATCAATTAAAGTGATTATATAAAAAAATGATTCTCCATAAAAGTGATTACTGACCTATTCATAATCACTCCCAAACAAACCCTTATTAAATTGGACAATAATCCAATATATTGTGTTTTATAAGTCTCATCTCAAGGAGTGGGACTCATAAAAATTGGTTTGAACTCAAACCTACCAAACGAGCTCATAAAAGACCCAGATTTCCATTATTTATCGCATCCTTTTTAGGGTTACAAGAGCACTTCCACCCATTTATCATGGCAAAAGGTAAGAGGAGGTAAGGGCAGTTACTATTCACATGAATAGTATCTGCCCTAGCAATTTTATTTGTGCTTTTCCACCCATTGTCATAGCAATCCAAATGCAATTACTATTCACATGGGATTAATTTTATTTATATGTATGAGATTAATAAATAAAATATTGCTAGGTATATATGAAAAAAATTCTGAATTTTTTGGTAATTTTTCAGAATTGTTTTCTATTTTTTTCTTTGCGTCAGCGCCCGCAGTCCGGGCTGATCTTTCCTTGGAGCTTGCCCAGTATTGATGGAGCACACATCCTGCGCAGGCTAGAATGCATTGGTGGAAATGCTCTATCAGTTCGGTTGATTTTTCATCTCTTTGGCCGCATTTTAAAGACTTCTAACCATTTTTGTTTAGAGTCTTAAAAATATGGACCACTTTTGTGTAGGGCTCGAAAATAAAATAGCTAGAAGTAGTCGTTAATGAGTGAAATAAAATTAAGTTTTCAAACCTTTACCCCTTGTTTTTTACTCTTCTTGATGTCTCACGTTAGCTAAGCCAAATTCATAATGTTTTTATTTTTTCTTCTTATAGCCAAACTTACATGATTGTGTACCGTAGACGAAAGAGTTCAGGCCAAAACCATCTGATTTCTCCAGAAAATAAACTACGTGCCGGCATGGCTTTATTTGTATGCATTGTCCACACCATAACAAAGTTTGTGTACTGCAAAAACTAAACAAAATATAATATACACATTAAATAATGCAGCCAATATTGTTAGTCTAAGAGCATTTCCAGCAAGGGGTCCAAGGGAAGGGCTAGGGGGGGCCAAACCCAAAATGGTGTTTCCAGCAACAAAATTCTGCCAGGGCAAGGAGTGGGGCCCAGCGAACTGGGTTGGCCCGAGCTCCAGCCCTCGTTTTGGCTGACGTCAGAGCGCTGACGTCACGATGACATCAACGCTGGAGTTTAAATTTTTGTAACGTTGCACGCGCCAACGTTAAAAAAAATTTGACGCACCCACTACAGTGCCCCCCCAATGGCTCTCTTCCACGTGGCTGGCTTTGGACTCTTTGATCCCCTTTTTTCCAGCAATCCAACGGTAGCCAATTTTTTCCCAATAAAAAAAAAGAAAACAAATTTAAACAAATTAAAAAAAAATACCCAAAATATACAGAAATTTTTTTTCTATAAATACCAACCAATACTTTTCACTTTTAACACCAACTCCTCATACATTTTCTTCTCTTACTAATATTATTCACTTTCTACTCAATATTTTTTCACTTTCAAGTTGTTTTTTTCTTTATCATATTATGAGTTCTTCTAGTGAAACCGAAGGGGCATGGAGCATGATGGAAGATGTTAGAGGGTGAAAATCTTATCTGAAATTTGAAATTTGAATTTCGAAATGTATATGAAATTTGACATTTTGAATTTATCTGAATTTTGAATTTTGAAATGTATCTGAAATTTGAAACCGAAAATCTTATCCGATATGAATAGTATTGACACGTAGAAACCCAAAAATCTTATCCGAAAATATTATCCAAATTAATTGTTTAAGTAAACAAAGTTGTGAAAAAAAACAAAAAAAATGAATAGTATTTGCCATGGCAAGCCTAAACTGCTGGAAACACACTTTGCTGAGGGGGGCTAGGGCATCCACTATTCACATAAATAGTAGCTGCCCTAGGACTCCCTTTGCCATGACAAGGGGCTAACTGGTGAAAATGCTCTAAGGATCTAGAGAGGAAAATTTCAGGCTACTTGGAGGATGAGGTCTCTCAAGCCAACTTGCCAAGGAGGCTTCAGTCACCCATTGAATTAAGTATTTTGCTAACGTGGTCGGTCGACTATGCATGCATGAGTGAAATTTAATTATTGATGTATTGTTAAATCCACATGTACCGATCAAAAATTACTCACGCCCGAGTAAACGACTTGACTTTTAACACATACCTTGACTCAATTGTTACAAAGGACAGAATATTCTTTTAACACATACCTTGACTCAATTGTTACAAAGGACAGAATATTATATGCCCATGTAATTGTTTAAAGCTTCAATTAAACAATAGCCTGGTTGATGGTGATGGTGAGCATGCATCATGCAACAGATTGAGGTTTTTAGTTTTATAGGTTTTTTTTTAAAAAAATACAAGCGATAATCTAATTTAATTTAATTTAATCTAATCTAAAAACAAAAAGAGATATTCGAATTCGAGTGCAAAGTGAGAAGCACGTTAAATAGAAACTATTGAATGTGAAGTAAAATGTCCTTTTAGATTGGATTGGATTGGATTATCACTCCACTTCAATCCTCATATCTCGTGGACAAGAATCGTCCACATTTGATAGTCACAAACGCACATCTCATCCAGTGCTATATCTTCCACTAAATTTAAAAATATATAGACCTCAACATCACTTGACTTGTAAGTTATTAACAGCTCTCAATTACTCCCATAATTTCATTTTGGCAACTACCACTGATATTAATTCGCATAGCTGTCATCCCCCAAAAATTGGAGGTCCAGATCACTCATTGTCAACACACTAGTCAAGTCTCCACTGTTTCATATTTTTCATATATTATTTTCTGGTAAACAAAATCATATTTTTGATATAAAGAAAAGAAGACCCAGAAGAATCCCATCTATCAATTTTTTTTTTCACTTGCCTTTTTCTTTGGGAAATAAATTAGAAGTAGCTGGGGTTCATTTTTCCTTTAGGTGGGGGCCAAGAAGGAGTCTGCATTCATTTTCCTTTTCATTTTGTGCACATGAATATTTTGTCTTTTATACAAGAACATGCTCGTTCCAAAATTCACATATGCACAAGTTCCTTTCAGAAGTCCAATTGCTCATGCTATAAATGCACGATAAGATTACAACCCACAGGATACAGCTAAAAAGGCTGTGTCTTTGACCCTTTTGTGCATCATCACACCAGAGCTGAGGCCGAAAAACTGGTTCTTGAAAAAGAAACTACTAGCATTGCTTTATTTCTAAAAGCACCCAGCCTGGATCTCATTCCAAGCTTGTGCACCTCAAAACTTAAGTAAACAACGAACCAAGTAGCGTGTGTATAAAATTAGTGATGTGTGCTTGCAGTCATTGAGCGGTTGGCTGGCCTTATTTCTACCAGGAGAGAGAGAGAAAGAGAGTAGAGGAGAGAGAAAGTGAGAGATGGCAGCTTATGTTGAGGATGGAGTTCCTGAAGAAAAGTTGCCTGGGAAGCTTCAGTCAGATGTTGATGTAATTGGTAAGTCCCTCTAAGCTAGTTCTACTCCTTGTATCTCTCTGGAATTCCTCTGTTTTACTCTCAGCATGTTTATGCAGAATTGGTTATGTCAAGACTGGATTGGATCCCATTTCAGTTATGAAATTTTCCTGGTGTTTCTTGTATATATGATGAAATGTGTTTGAATGTTCTTGAATGACATCAAGAATGGGTTGACAGAGCCATGATAATTGATTTGAATGAGATATACTACTTTGCTTAAAAAGTTTCTCCTTTTGAAGAGTTGCAATTTGTTGTTAGAAATTCACTCTGCAATGTTGCCAATTTGCTCATGCTGCAGATGATGAAGTGAATGACAACCCAATTGAGCAAGTTAGGCTAACTGTTTCAACCACCGATGACCCTTCACAGCCAACCTTGACATTTCGTACATGGGTTCTTGGGATAATTTCATGCTCCGTTCTTGCTTTTATGAACCAATTTTTCGGGTACCGCCAGAATCAGCTGTATGTTTCTTCGGTCTCGGCACAAATTCTTGTCCTCCCTGTTGGGAAGTTGATGGCTGCTACCCTTCCAGAGAAGCCAATCCGATTCCCATTCACAAAGTGGTCGTTTTCATTGAATCCGGGGCCTTTCAACTTGAAAGAACATGTGCTGATCACCATTTTCGCCAACTCGGGATCAAACAGCGTTTATGCTGTTAACATTATCACAATTGTTTTGGCTTTCTACCACAGGAAAATGCATCCTGCAGCAGCCTTCTTGTTAGCTCAAACCACTCAGGTGAATTTATGTCAAAGTGTTTCTTTGGTGTGTTTTCTTGCTTTCTTGGTAATTGTTTGCGTGGTGGAAATTCATGTTTTTTGTATGAAATTTTGCAGATGCTTGGGTATGGATGGGCTGGCATTTTCAGAAAATATCTTGTTGACTCTCCTTACATGTGGTGGCCTTCAAATCTGGTTCAGGTCTCTCTTTTCAGGTATTTTATTTCCACCCTCTTTCCTATCTGTCATATTGAATGAATTTAGCAGCCACTTCAAATTGAAAATCATTTCTTCATTTTTTTCTCTATAATTGCTGAGCAAATTTATAATTTTAATGGCAGGGCATTGCACGAAAAGGAAAAGAGACCGAAGGGAGGCCGCACTAGGCTGCAGTTCTTCTTCATGGTTTTCATATGCAGCTTTTCTTACTACATTGTTCCAAGTTTTCTTTTCCCCTCCATTTCTGCTTTCTCCTTTGTTTGCTGGATATGGAAGGACTCCATCACTGCCCAACAGATTGGTTCCGGCATGCATGGCCTTGGCATAGGCTCCTGGGGCATTGATTGGTCCACTGTTGCTGGCTTCTTAGGCAGCCCATTAGCCACACCCGGATTTGCTGCCATTAACATCTTAATTGGTTTTGTCTTGATTGTTTACGTTGTCACCCCCATTGCTTATTGGAACAACGCCTATGATGCTAGGAAGTTTCCAATATTTTCGTCACACACTTTCGACTCCACTGGCCAGATCTATAACATTTCCTCGGTTCTGGATCAGAAAAATTTCGATATTAATATGGTTAGGTACAACGGTTACAGCAAGCTCTATCTCAGTACCTTCTTTGCCTTCACTTATGGGTTGAGCTTTGCCACTTTGACAGCTACTATTTCCCATGTTGCTCTCTTCCATGGAAGGTAAGCCTTTTCGACATCAGTTTTAACTGTAAACTGAGCAATATTTCCTTAGAGCTAATAAATTCTCCATTGTCTTTCTTGCTTATTGTGACATACATGAGCAGAACAATCTGGCAGATGTGGAAAAAGACAACTAGTGCAGTGAGAGATCAGGTTGGAGATATCCACACCAGGCTGATGAAGAAGAACTATGAAGCAGTGCCCCAATGGTGGTTTCACATCATCCTTGTTTTAATGGTTGCTCTTGCTATCTTTTGCTGTGAAGGTTTTGGCAAACAGCTCCAACTTCCATGGTGGGGAGTTTTAATGGCTTGTGGAATTGCACTTTTTTTCACCTTACCCATCGGCATCATTCAAGCCACAACAAACCAGGTATATATGGTCAAGAAAACATTAAATCTAAACAATTGATGAGTGCTCTGAATAATTTGTTACACATTTCCTTCAAAGTGGTCACATTAAGTTGCAATTTCTCATTTAATTATACAAACTCTGCAGCAACCAGGGCTTAACGTGATCACAGAGTTAGTTATTGGATACATTTACCCAGGAAAGCCTCTTGCTAATGTGGCTTTCAAGACCTATGGATATATCAGCATGTCACAAGGACTTATGTTTCTTCAGGACTTCAAATTGGGACACTACATGAAGATCCCTCCTAAGTCCATGTTTGTTGTGCAGGTAATGAATTACATAACCTCATATCAGTTTCTGTTCATATTTCTGATAAAATAATCCACTCATTTCTATTCGCCCTTTTTTTTTCTTTTTTTTTCTTTTGCAATAATCTTCAGTTAGTTGGAACAATAGTTGCTTCAAGTGTCTACTTTGGCACATCTTGGTGGCTTCTCACAACCGTTGAGAACATCTGTGATCCATCAAAGCTGCCAGAGGGAAGTCCATGGACATGTCCTGGTGATGATGTGTTCTACAATGCATCAATCATTTGGGGTGTCATTGGCCCCCTCAGAATGTTCACTGACAAAGGAGTCTACCCAGAGCTCAACTGGTTCTTCCTCATTGGCTTATTGGCACCTGTCCCTGTTTGGCTGCTCTCTAAACAATTTCCCAACCAAAGGTGGATCAAGCTCATAAACATGCCCATTATACTGGGAGCCACAGGTTCCATGCCTCCTGCTAGGGCTGTGAACTATTTGACATGGCTTGCAGTTGGGATTTTCTTCAACTTTTATGTGTTTAGAAAGTACAAGGGCTGGTGGGCTAGGCACAACTATATCCTCTCTGCTGCTTTGGATGCTGGTGTGGCCTTCACAGCAGTTCTGCTGTATTTCACCCTCCAATCCAAGGATATCACGGGTCCAAACTGGTGGGGCCTGGAAGCTGATGACCATTGCCCGCTCGCCACGTGTCCCACGGCACGGGGTATAGTTGCCAAAGGCTGTCCAGTTCTCTGAGATTAATGTAATTCACATGTGCTTGTGCAAATCATATATAGTTAGCCCAGTTCTGGCTGATTGGTGGTATAGCTATGAAGCTGTACAGTTGATTAATTAGTTTGTATTACCTTGAAGCTGCAGACTCAGATTTTAGTCCAAATGTAATAAGTTATTTAGTGCTTTGCATAATGTGAAAACTAGTGTATGAAAACATGCTCTAATACTGAAATAAGTGGCATATAATCTTTAATAAATAACATTATCATATATCAAGCCACCAAGCCATTCACATTCGCTATAATGTTCCATACAGAGAAAACAAATTTAGATGCAAATATATGTATGCTGACGTCACTAATGCCAATTGTACTTCATGTCAAAACTCGCCAACTAGATGCATATTAAGGATTTCCCACATCAACATAAATATTTCCAAATTTAGATTTTTGTGTCTTTGACCTGTACTCCATTGCACTAGAGATTAGGCCCTAAAAACTGGTTTCTTGAAAGAGTGTTGGTATTTGGACCACATTCTTTCCTTTTTGTTTGAAATCTCCATTAAAAGTGGGACTTGAATCACAAAAATGACTCTTAGTTTTGTATAAAAAGTGGTCAGTAAGATGGTCAGTAAATATGTTTCGAATAAACTCTGTTCTTCTTGAGAAAAGAAAAGTTCTGAGTATTGCGTGTTTGCTTTATTTGTAGAGCGTAGTCTATATCATTGCAAGCTTGTTCTTTGCAGAAGCCTAGAGTGCACATAAATGGTATTTTTTGAGAGAGAGTAAAAGGAGGCAAAGAAAGATGACGGTCTACGAAGATGGCGACGGTGAAGCCAAGTCTCATTCCAAGATCCATGTCAATGGTAAGTACCCCTAGCAAACGTTTATGCAGAAAAGCACTAAAAGCAAACATTTGTGTGAAATGTAACACTAGGTGACAGTGTTATTGTCACACGCCCCAAACAATTACTTAGAAAATGTTTTTATTTTCATTCTATATATCATCGTAATGATAAGATATATAGGCTAAATATCGTTGATTGTTGAAAAATGTAAAAATACCATATTAAAAACTTGACAAAAGTAAATTGGGGTGAATCCACTGAAAATAACACCGAAACATCTTGTGATCAAACGTCACACAGCTATGTTGGTGACTAAGTTAAGAACACTATCTAGTAGTCCATTGATTTGTCTCTCTGAAATCTTACGCTATCATTTTAGCTTTCTATTTTCCAGAAATTCAACACTTTATCAATCAAATCTACAATTGATTAACTGATGTTGTCAAACATTTGTTGATGCAAAAACAGATGATGAAGTGGACGACAACCCAATTGAGCAAGTTAGGCTAACAGTTCCAATCACAGATGACCCATCAGAGCCAACCATAACATTTCGAACATGGGTGCTTGGCCTAATATCATGCACCACTCTTGCTTTTATCAACCAGTTTTTTGGGTACCGCCAAAATCAGCTCTTCGTTTCCTCAGTGTCTGCCCAAATTGTGGTCCTCCCTCTTGGCAAGTTGATGGCTGCGGTCCTTCCAACAACACAATTTTCAGTCCCCTTCACAAAATGGTCTTTCTCATTCAATCCGGGGCCTTTCAGTATGAAGGAGCACGTTTTGATCACCATATTTGCAAACTCTGGATCCAACAGTGTTTATGCAGTTAACATCATCACAATTGTCAAGGCTTACTACCACAGAAGTATTCATGTTATGGCAGCCTTCTTGTTAGCTCACACCACTCAGGTAAAAAATTTACAAGTTGATGCAAGTTGGTTCACAATGCATTAACGGTTGATAGTCATCTACTGCGCGATAGTACTGACACTGCAGTTAAAAAGATTACATGCATTTACATTACCAGTCTTTATTTCTTCGAAACCTGCAATCTTTTATTTGGTTTATTTTGTGGCTCAACATTATTACGTTTGTGACAAAAACAGTCAGTCTCACATAAATTTTTCTGTGTATGAAATCTTTTCAGATGCTTGGATATGGATGGGCTGGATTATTCAGAAGATACCTTGTTGACTCCCCTTACATGTGGTGGCCCAGTAATTTGGTTCAAGTCTCTCTATTCAGGTACTTTAATTTAATTTGTCAAATTGAAACAATTTTAGCTAATTGGGTCCGTAATACCGTACTACATTATAATTACTCAACCCGCACTTAAAGTCCTGTGTTTCCAATTTCCTCTCCACCAATATCGCTTATATTAAAAAGAATAATTCATCAACATTTTCTTTTCTTCATGTTTATTTCTCTTTCTTGTCTTGTCTATAACTGTGAACCACCCAAATTAATTAATTAATTAGTTAATTTATAATGTGCATTAATGGCAGGGCATTGCATGAAAAGGAAAAGAGACCCAGAGGAGGCCGTACAAAGATGCAGTTCTTCATCATTATTTTCATAAGCAGCTTTGCTTACTACATTATCCCAAGTTTCTTCTTCCCCTCCATAACAGCTCTCTCCTTAGTCTGCTGGATTTGGAAGGACTCAATCACAGCCCAGCAGATTGGTTCAGGGCTCAAGGGCCTTGGAATTGGCTCTTTTGCCATTGATTGGTCCACCGTTGCTTCCTTCTTGGGCAGCCCCTTGGCCTATCCTGATGTTGCAGTCATTAACATGTTGATTGGCTTTACTGTGATCTTTTACATTGTTACCCCCATCATCTATTGGACCAATACATATGATGCTAAGAGGTTCCCGCTATTTTCCTCTCACACTTTTGACTATGATGGCCAAACCTACAACGTCAGTCGAGTTTTGGATGAGAAAACTTTCGATATGAATTTGAAGGAGTATAGCGGTTATAGTAAACTCTACCTCAGTGCCTACTTTGCCTATGGCTATGGATGGGGCTTTGCCACTCTCACAGCTACTATTTCACATGTTGCACTCTTTTATGGAAGGTAAGTTTTTCCGGTACTGGCCTGCTACATTCATTCCCGAATCCTGAATCTCGAGTCCCAAGTCCTATGTTAAACGTATGTACATTAGTATCAAGTGTCCGAAATCAAAACCTAATCCAACACCGGACTTGATACATAATAGAATGAATCTTATTTCTAATTTCCTAAACTCTGCGATGTTTTCTTCCTCTTTGTGTGACATCATGCATCATGAACAGAGAAATATGGCAACTGTGGAAGAAGACGACTGGTGCAATGAAGAATCAGCTTGGAGACATCCACACGAGAATAATGAAGAGGAACTATGAATCAGTCCCTGAATGGTGGTTCCAAATCATCCTTGTTTTAATGGTTGCTCTTGCCATCTTTACTTGTGAAGGTTTCGGCAAACAGCTCCAACTTCCATGGTGGGGAGTTTTACTAGCTTGTGCCATTGCACTATCTTTCACCTTACCCATCGGGGTTATTGCTGCCACAACAAACATGGTATGATTTTGGTCGTTTCATTTATATACAATCGTATCGTACGTACTCTTTTGTTAGATTGAAAACATATACGTACATACATGAATACGCCTACGAATATCTACTATATGTTCAGTATTCGGCATAATTCTGTTTTAAAGACTCGTAGTAATTTTTCATTTTTCATTTCAACATTTATTGTGCAGCAACCAGGCCTCAACATAATTACAGAGCTAATTATCGGGTATATGTACCCAGGGAAGCCTCTTGCTAATGTGGCTTTCAAGACCTATGGATATATCAGCATGTCACAAGCACTCATGTTTCTTGGTGACTTTAAATTAGGTCACTATATGAAGATCCCTCCTAAGGACATGTTTTTGGTGCAGGTAATTATCAAGAAAACTCCATTTGTCACCATTTGTTTCAGTTGTTTTTCTTATGTCCGATATAATGGAACATACACATGCAATTTCCCTTTTTGTATGTTCAGTTAGCTGGAACACTGGCAGCGACAAGTGCCTACTTTGCCACATCTTGGTGGCTTCTGACAACTGTCGAGAACATCTGCAATCCGGCAAAGTTGCCAGAGGGGAGTCCATGGACATGTCCTGGTGATGATGTGTTCTACAATGCTTCAATCATATGGGGAGTCATAGGGCCACTCAGAATGTTCACTAGCAAAGGAAACTACCCAGAGTTGAACTGGTTCTTCCTCATCGGCCTTTTGTCACCCATTCCCGGTTGGCTGCTCCATAAAAAATTCCCCAACAAAAAGTGGATTAGGCACATAAATATGCCTGTAATCCTTGGAGCAACAAGTTTAATGCCACCAGCAAAAGCCGTAAATTTTTCGTCATGGTTTGCAGTTGGAATTTTCTTCAACTTCTTTGTTTACAGAAGGTACAAGGAGTGGTGGGCTAGGCATAACTATATCCTATCAGCTGCTTTGGATGCTGGAGTGGCCTTTACTGCTGTTATCCTATATTTCGCCCTCCAATCCAAGGATATTATGGGACCAAAGTGGTGGGGTCTGGACCAAGATGATCATTGTCCATTGGCTAAGTGCCCCACAGCACCAGGGGTAGTGGCCAAAGGGTGTCCAGTTTTTTGAGATTCGTCAAAATCCTCTTTGAATGTATGCCCATTTAATTTTGCATATCTTAGCTGAGTTTTCTAGTTTCGATGATGATGAAGAAGATGTAGCAGCATAGTTATTTAGTTTGAATAAATTAAAATTCAGATTTTAGTCTTGTGCAATTAAATAGTTTGTTTATTTTCATAATTTGGAACCAGATATGCAAGCATGCTTTGAAACTGAAATATGTTGCATATAATCTAAAATTCAATGTCTTTGAAAATGATGTTAGTTGAACTATATAATGTTCTTCACTAGGAGTCTAGATTCTCCTACCAGTAATCCCTGCAGGAACAAGAACCATCTTTGAAACAATGGAAGCGGTTCCGGTCACGCACGACTATCTCTCTATTAACAATTGCTGATATAAGTTTGAAAGCAGCATGGCAGTCCTCACAAACACGAAGATTCTTCAAAATGCGAATTGGTGTTCCAGGTCCCGTGTTCATCAACCCAAAAACCAGCGCTAATTTCTCGCTATGGCGATAGAGAAATTTTTCCTTCTGATCCTCTTCCATGTCTAGCAGAACAACTGAGGTGTTAGGCACATAACCCTTCAGCTTCATTTTTTCAACTAGTTTCTCCCACATTTGGAAGATCTCCTGAGCTTGAGGATGGGCTTCATCCCCAGCAACAAACTCATGAATCACCCCATCTACTGTGATTGAACTCCACCCAGGTGTCTTCTTCACCCCTCGATCCCTCATTAGCTTTCTCACTCGCGCTGTGTCTTCCCACCTTTGTGCTTCTGCATAAATGTTTGACAAAACCACATAGTATCCATCATTAAGTGGATCTAATTCAGAAAGGTGCTTTGTTGCTTCTTCAGCCAGTTCAATGTTTCTGTGAACTTTGCATCCACCAAGCAGAGCTCCCCATACAATGCTATTCGGCTTGATAGGCATGTTAGTAATAAACTCATAAGCCTCTTGAAGGAGCCCTGCCCTACTCAAAAGATCAACCATACAACCATAATGCTCAATTCGAGGAACTATACCATAATCATTAGTCATGCTGGTGAAGAATTCACGACCTTGATCCACAAACCCAATGTGGCTACAAGCATGCAAGAGTCCAACAAAGGTTACATCATTCGGATCCATGCCTATCTGAATCATTCTAGAGAAAAGTCTCAAAGCTTCCTCAGCCTGTCCATGCATGGCAAGCCCTGCAATCATAGCTGACCATGACACAACCGTTCGTTCTTTCATCCCATCGAAAACTGTACAGGCATCCTCCAAGCATCCACATTTGACATACATCTCAATCAAAGTGTTGGAAATACGAGCATTTCTGCTAAACCCACTTTGGTTTGAGTACTCATGAATTCTCCTACCCAAACCCAAGTCACCCAAATCAGCACAAGCCGCAAGAACAGCCACTACAGTCACCTCATTTGGCCTCACCCCAGCCTCTTCCATCTCCAAAAATAGACTAATAGCCTCCTTAGGCTTCCCGCATTGGACAAACCCTGAAATCATCAAAGTCCATGACCTCACACTTCTTTCGGGCATCCGTGAAAACAAATCATAGGCGTCCTTAATATCACCCCTCTTTACCAACTGGGTCATCATTATATTCCATGTCACGACATCTCGTTGCGACATTTTATCAAACAACAACCGAGCGTCCCGCACTTCACCACACAAAGCATACAAATTCAAGATCATATTCATCAAAAACAAATTTGACTGAAACCCAAGTTTCTCCACATAACCATGCAAAACTCTACCATTGGAAACATCCAACAAACGCGTACACGCCTTTAGAACAAAAGACAGAGTGAAACTATCAGGCAAAACATGAAAACTCTGCAACTGATAAAAAAGCATAACTGCATCAATGGGATCTTTGCCTTCGGCGAAGGCTTTCAAGCACGAATTCCACGCCAAAATCTCAGGGTTTTCGAGGTGTTTGAAGATTTTCTGAGCGTAAGAGAAACTGGGATTGAGAGAGCAGACGAAGGCGATTCGAGTGAGAGGGAGGGAAGTGAGAGGAGTGTTGGTTTTGATGAGGTGGGCATGGAGTTGTTTGAGCTCTAATGGGGAGCTGAAGTTGTGGAGAAGATGGGTTGTGAGGTTTTGTGAATTGGGTCTGTGAGCATGAGAGTCTGTGTGGTTCAGAGGAGGAAGATGGAGGGAAGTCACAGTTGAAAGCATTTCAACTGTTGAAGGTCGTTGAACTCAACGGTCAAGTTCTTTTCACTTTTAAAGCTTCGACCTTTGTGTATGTTTGTGTGGGAGCATATATATTTCGGCGAATAATGAGCGCCACATGTGGAAAAGAGAAATTTCTTAGGTGAATTACTCTAATTAAATTCTATTGAATATCTCCCTAAATTAAGGATCCGATTTCCAACAAATCTCTTTGATCAATTCTTATCATCTTTTTGAGAAAAAAAATAATCCTAATTAAATAAAGAAAATTCTCCAAGCAACACACCTTCATGTATGGGGTTTGAACACAAGGACAACCTCTTGATGAAAAACGGAATACATGAAAAATTATGTATATAAAAACATAAGATCTCATTTGCTTAGATTATGTATATAAAAAAAGTATTGGTTTTCTACCTTCCTAACAAAATCCCTTTCACATTATGGTTTTCATGTAGATTTAATTGGCCATAAAACCCAGGTATAATCGCGTTCAGATTGTTGAACGACAAGCAACTTAACATTGTGCCAACAACACAGCATGGCATTGGCATCAAATACCACGCCTTTCACTAGCTGTTCAGTCAATCACAAATTTGATACAAAGAAAACATAACATTAGGCTCAAAAATGACATTTTGTTCCGATTCTACAAACATAAACTCCATTTTAAGTGATCAAGAAAAGAACATACTGAAACTCTTTAGTATCAAACATTACAGTATACGAGAAGATAACTGATATCCGGTTGTTTAAATCTCGAAAGTTTCTTACAAACAATAAACCAAGATTACGGTCAATCTGTCTGATTTCTCTGATAAGTCATCCCTTGTCATCTGAAACCCAGCATGAGAAACTGAGTTGAGCATGAAGCCATTTGTAATATTTGAAGAGTAGCACATATGCTGACAGCAATGCGAAGTTTACTTGAACAGTTCTGGGTTCAGCCAATCCCTGTACATTACATTTCCAGTCAACTACAATTTACTTATCGATATGAAAATTGGTTTAAAATAAAAGTATAATGATGTATCGCACTCACTTGCTAATGTCATCAAGGTGATCATCAAAATCTACAACATCCTGCCATTTTTCAGTTGAGATATAATCCAGTAGAACAACATTTGCTGATGGCTCCTTGATGGTTAACTGATTTCCATCAGAGCCGATTAACTTCCAAATCCTAGATGCATCCTTCGTGTAAAGCTGAATGTTTTTTTAAACGTTGAGAAAGATTAGGAAGGTGAATTTCCAGGACAAATTACACTGAAATAAACAACCACATAATACGAGATTACACCAGGGGAGAAAGACTACCTATCCAAGCCCATTTGAACTTTATAAATTAGCTGAAAAAATAATGATTTCAAACTTGATGTTTTTGTTTGCCGAATAACATTAATTAGGTATTAACCAATTCCTTCAACAACTCTATTGAAATCCTTTCCGAACATTGTAAGGATACTGTAAGATGTTGAAAAGAAGCTCTTCAAGATACACTGAACTGAAATTCTATTCAAATTTCTGACAGCTTTTAGGGAAAGGAAAAACCATGGAAAACATTAGTTTCCCACAAATAATGTAGAGCATAGATTAGCAATTATAAAAGTTTGATGTTTGTGCATATCCGCAGAAAGTAGGTGGATTCTGGCATTGCCAATTTCGACAAATAGCTCATGAAGCGGAAGAAACGCATGTATTGTTAATCCACACCAATAACTCCAATCTCCCCAAAGCAGTATTGTTAATTTATAGTTACTAGAAAAGCGAAGAAACACGTACCACAAACAAATCCTCTCTCATTTTGTTTAACTAATTACCATACTACAAGCAGTTCATACACTAAAGATACTCATACACCCATCATATAATATAATTAATATAATTAGACAAAGAAAACGATCAATGCATCTTTCATTAAGAAAAAGATCAATGCTTCTTCATACCAGAAAAAAAGAAAAAGAAAAAAAAGAACATATTAACCCCAAGAAAAGAAAAAAAGAGTTAAAGGTACGCACCTGCATTACGGGGCTCCGGTCCTTAGTTCTTGTCAAAGCTTCAAGCTTCCTGTTGTCTAACTGAAAATGGATGAAAATACATACAATAAAATTCCATATCAAACAAGCAGCAAACAAACTACAAAAACAGAGGTTCATGGACGAACGAATCACACACCAAAAGAATTGCGGCTTGAGGAAGGTAGCGATAGATGTGATCGCCGATGTTCTTGGCAATGCCGCCGAGCTCGTGATCGTCAAACCTCTCGTTGGCATGAAAATAGCCCACAATGCTCACTCCTTTAGCAGCATAGTGCTCCTCTATCTGACCCAATTCAATCACAACAAAAATTAAATCTCTTTTCAAGAAATTCGAACTCTGTTTGTTTCGTGGGAAAATTCAATTTAAGATTTTGAAACCCTAGAGGGAGAAGTGTGATAAGAGAGAAAGGAGGAGGGTATGTGGGAATCACCAGGATGAGGGAGATCTCGAGCTGGGGAAGGAGGCCGATTTGGGAGTGGAAGAGAGGGACGGAGTCCGTTATCTCGACGGCGTCGTTTTGGGAGGAGACGCGGCCGAGGAGGACGGCGTTGACGGCGGAGCTCTTGTGCTTGAGAGCGTGCATAACCAGCTTTATGTAGGCATTCTGTGCGATCTCGTATCGTAACTCGCCACCCATCACTCACTGAGTTGGACTTCAGTTGCTGAATCGCCGGCTCAACAGAAAGTGAGAGAGAGACTGAGAAAGCAGAGCAGAGAGTCCAATTTTTCAGTGGATTTTTTTGAAGTTTGGGGATCCAGACGATGTTCCACGAATATTATTATGTAATGCTTCTAATATATCTCTCTCTTACGCGGTGTCTTCCTTTTGGGTGGTTTCATTTTTGCTTTTCATTAATTTTAGTTATAGGGATGTTTTCTGTATCATATTAATTATATGGTCATAAAACAAAATATCAAGATCAATAACTAATGCATCAACCAGTTAATTATTGGTATTTCTCTTCCAAACGGTTTAAGTGACCTCAAATTCGAATTCCTATAAATAATAAATAAATAAAAAGTAATGAAAATATTACGTTATTTTATGATCACGTGATATATACTATAGAAAGAGAGATGTATGCACTCGGAATAAGCAACTCAACACACCCACCACAAAAAAAAAAAAAAAAAAAAAAAAAAAAATATGCTAATCATTTGAGTTACAATCCTCTACACTTTTTAAAGAAAGTTTAATTCAGATTCCTTAATTCAATTTCCTCTCCCAAACAATTGCACATTACCCTCTCACGGCATATTAGTGAATCACAAATGGTTGCTATGCTTTGTTATTAAAAATTTAAAATCACAAATCACATGCAACGAGAAACAACTCGAGCAATTCGCATTGCCCAAATTTGCTCAAAAATTCTCTAAATTGCTTGTTTGAGAAAAGAGACAAAGGCTATCAACTTGCTTGGAGACGTAGCTTAAAGCATCAAAGTTTATATTGGCAGACGGAAATTATTCAACGAAGGGAAAGACGGCCCAATTCACGCAAATTCAGCTGCATTTAATCCTCTTTTTCTTGTCTTTTTTGAATTTCGTCCTCAAGTTGTGCGACACTTTTCACGTACAAAATTGAGCATGCCGAGCATTCATCACAACAATTTTTGCCACATTTAGGCCAAAAAGATGGGGGGAAATGATATAACAAGGGGCATTGCTGCAAAACCACCGAAATGTGTGCCAGAATCATTTGGGAGGAGGGAGCCTTCGCTTCTCCAAAGTTGAAAACTTTTAGAAAAAAACAGGAGGTACATAAGCAATTTCTAAAATACAATCACGGCCAGTGTGTCAACTTGAACACAGAAGGCCTCAATCACCCAAAAGACACCAAAAAAACCTAGGAAAATATGTCAAAGTCGTATTTGCACTTCACAAGATTGCCGTCAACAGCCAAACTGGAAAAATAGCCTTAAAGGGTACATCTTATATAATTTATATATCGTTTATAGATTCACTGATGAAAGAATATACGGGGATAAGAAACTGGTAAACATGATTTCAACAGAAAGCAGCACATGAATTAAAACAGTTATATAATGACTGACTGACAACGAAATTCAAGGATAGAGATTGTTTCCACTTTGTGCCATGCTATTTTGCAGAGCGTTTAATTTATCAATAAAAACCACCTGTATTCCCAGAGTCCCATCCAAATTAAACTTGGTTAAGAGCAAGCATCCGGGTAATTTATCTATTCTTCACAACTAATAGAAGAACCTTAACAGAAACACAAGTAAAAGTGCCAATGCCACAATGGTCATTGCTAGACCTCTCAATTTATATCAATTCCTTTTTATCTTTTTAACTAATATTTCAAACTAAAAGACATTTCACTATGAACTCCATCATTTCGGACTAACTAGCAAAAGAAGACATTCCAACATGCACCAACATAAAACTATAACACGACCAACTGCTAATGTAAACATCACAGGCTAGGCTAAGCAGATAATTAAATCATTAGAACATCTATCTAGATCACTAAGTAGATTGTAATAAACACCATAATAAGATGCTACAGTCTACAACATACTAAATTGAAATGAAACTACAAGACATCCATAGCAGACACCAAGTGCTTCAATCTTCAAAGTTTTTCTAAACCATACAACAGAGAAGTAGTCTAATAAACTCTTCGGACCTTAAAAGCTTCCCATACTGCAATCATAGGAAATCTCTAGTAGTTCCAAGAAGTGCCTAAATGAGTGCCAGAAACAAATCTAAGCAACCTGTGCCAGACTTCTATGGCAAAGCTTAAGCAACTGCATCGAAAATCCTTCATTACTATCTTGCATAGGGAATGTACTGACTAGCGCCTTCTATATCTACCTTGCATAGGGATGGTACCGACTACTGCTACTATAGCCCCCCCTTCCATACGGTCCACCTGCTCCGCCATAAGTAGCACCAGGACCAGAGTCATATCCACCACCATAGTTTGAACCCCCGTAACTTCCATAGCCTTCACCACCTCGGCCATAACCACCTAAACCACTTGCACCATAACCCCCACCAAAGCCACCACCATAGGGTCCAAAGCGACTACTATAACCAAGGGAAGATTCACCTCGATAGCCACCTAAGCTACTGCTGCCAAAAGCCCCATAACCACCGCCAAATTCTCCACTATCGCTACCATAACCATAACCATAACCACCACCATATCTACCACCAAGACCACCTGGTGTCCTATAAGGGCCAGGGGCAAACCCTCCATCAAAACCACCATAAGAACTGCCATATGCACCAAAGCCATCATTGAAAGAACGAGCCCTAGAATTGCTACCATATGCAGGAGCAGGTGATGGATTTGAGGCTTTCTTTGGTTCAGCTTTCTTGATCTCCACCTACAACAAAGCAACTTAGTTAACCTAGTTTATTTCGAAATGGAGCTACTGGGATCACCCTTTCCCGAGAAGATCTATACCTGTAACAACCTCCACCTAAAATTAGTTCCAAATCACTAAAGTGAATTATTAGAATAACTAATGAAAATGAAAGATAACAACCCTTTAATGCATAGATTTAACAAAACAGGAGAATGCAACAATTGATGCTCCATGTCAAAAAGGAATCTGTGTACATGCTGGTTACCCAGAGACCATCTAAACAAGCTCACCTGGGTACCCGCCATATCAATCATGTTTCCTTTAGATAACAACTCATCTACAACTTCCTCACTGTCAAAAATTACAAATCCAAAGCCTCGAGAACGATTGGTCTCATGGTCTCGTATGATCTGGTGTTCTACCACTTTCCCATACTTTGAGAAGAAGCTTTTCATCTCCTCTGCACAAATTCACCAAGCCAAGTAAAAAGAAAATAACATTATACTGTAAACATGCTTTATTAAGAGTTGGAAAACATTTCAGTGTAAAACTAAAAGTTTAACATAAAATGAGAATAAGATATTAGAGCATACCCTCAATGACTGATGATGGGATTCCACCAACAAATATCTTCTTTGTCTTAAAATCCTTTGATTGCCCTTGTCCTTTTGGAATTGTTCTCTTGATCTCAACCTGCTCAAATTTCATTCAGTATATAGTAATACCGCTAAAAGAAATACTAAGTTGCCTTTGACTAAGCATGTAGTTTCTGACATCACTATCAATTGGGTAAACATCTTATATAAAATATAAAGCCCCAAAACGAGTAATAGCATCTATCTATATTGAGCAATTTCGTTCATAATAAACCACAGAAAGACAGTCATAAAGAGCTGCTTTACCTGCTTGCCATTGATAACATGAGTTTCCTCAATAACTGTGTCAACAACTGATGGATCGGCATAGGTAATAAAACCGAAACCCCTTGGCGTACCCGTGAAGCGATCTTTCATTATCACTGAGTCCACTATCTCTCCATATTTCCCGAAGTGCTTAGTAAATGTAGCTATTGATTTGATTTGCACAAGCAATTAAAACAAAATAGAACGCAATACATCAGTAACAAAACCATACCCACCAACCAAAATCCCATATCTCAGAAGATATGGCAAATAATAATTTCAATCCCATCTAAAGTCCAATAGAAAGACAAAAAGTAGCCATAAGTAGTCCATATAACTCACTAGTTTTCATGCTACACATTTTCACCATATGACTAGAATTTAAATTTCTTTCTTTCCCCATAGCTAAATAACTTTTCTGAACGCAATGGAAATGAAATAAAAAATGTAGAATTTTCTACTTCAGAAAAAGAGCACTCACCATATGTAGTGTCTTTTGCCAATCCACCAATGAAGATCTTTCTGCACATTTCAAATCAAATATCACAACCAATTAGAAGAAGAAAAAAAGTGAGGAAACGCAGAGAGGATCTTACAAAGGATGCATCCATGCTTGAATAACGAGAAAATGAAGGAAACAAAAGGAAACCGAGCTAGAAAAGATAAAGATACAAAATTTTCGCTTCTATTTTCTCAGATATATCCAATTTTCTCGAGAACCAAAAAGAAAACAGCTAATTTTGGTGTGTTAGAAGAGAGGAAGACAGAAAGAGAGAGAGGTAGAAAGAGATAGAGAGAGAGGAGACAAACCCAGGGCTGGCGCCATCGCCTGTGTGAGGATGACCGGCATTCGACTTCGAACCCATTGCGTTTAATATCGGATTTTCTCGGGAAAATTTGAGAAACGGAAAGTAATGAGCCTGGGAGATGCGAGCGAGCGAGAGAATACAGATTAGGGTTTTGAACTTTTGAGTGGAGAATATTATTACATCATATATATAATATATATGTACAAATATTGTATACATCAGAAATTTCAAATTTGCCCCTCATGAAAAGTAAAAATACTACGTACACCCACCACCACGCGGATATGGCTTTCCGTTTCTGTCCATCGCCTTTTCTGTTCATGGTGAAAATACCAAATATATGGTCACACACCGCTCTAGACTATACTGTATACAAGTATGGTTTTGGGACTCCGTTTCTAGGAAGCACTCATGGTTACGAGCATTTTTATTAGAAGTTGCACATAAAAGCGATACTAAAAATGCTTCTTAAAAAGTCATTCCATGATTCAAAACTATCTTTAAGTCTGTTTTTTTTGTCAAACACTGTCATGAACACTTTTAACGGTTCTAGAAGTAGTTTTGAAGGATTATCATAGGCCATTGAAACATTTTCCCTTTTTAGCTTTGTCCCTACAACGTTAAAGACTTTTTAACTTTTTTTTCTACAATATTTCAACTTATCATGGAAGTCTGTTTTGTTGTAATGATAATGAATTCTTTTTTTTTTTTTTTTTTTTTTTTGTAATTAGAGAAAAGTTTATGTCATTATGTATTCAAATTGTCTTTAATACTGAGAGGAAAGTGGTGTGGTCTTGGTACATTGAGTAGTCAAGGCTTAATTGCTTTAATTGTCGTGTATTGAATAAACAAAGTCGCATTTTATGAAAACATGCGATCTTGTGAGATTTGATCCAAACAAATATTGTATGAAACTGTCTAAACATATGCTCGAGAGTTGTACCTTACTTGTGTGTTAAGTTTGCTTGGAAAACCTTTCCTTTATTGAATTTTGGCAATTACACATTATCTCCAGATTTAATATGATAAAGCATGTAATTTCTTCATAGCCAAAACAAACAAAGATTAATGTCTCCCTCTAATCTAGAGTTGTACCTTGTGTCTTAAGTCAATCTATTTGTTTATCTACCAATTTGGTAGGTTATTAATCTAGGGTGAATTAGTCAAGATCCATCCTATATGTACTTAGCAAAAAGAAACATACCAACTTTTATATGGAGTTCTGTGACAGATAGAAAACAAATTTCAATCATGTATCCCATTGTAAATGATGGGCACACGCGCTCATGATAAAACTTAGTTAAGCGTTTGGTTTGCGGAAATGAATTCATGAGACATCAATCCCCATTTATTTTTTAAAAGAATGAGAAATGTCATTTATAATGTTTACTAATATTAAGAACATAAGTTGAGGACAATATCGATGTTGCTAGTAGTGGGATATGAGTATGTCCCTCTAAAATCATAACATGGTATCATAGCGGGCCAGTTGACTAGGGCCGAATCGAATCTGAATCCTCGAATGAACCTTGAATTGAAATCCCGAATGGAAAAAAAAGAAGTGCCTGCTTGATAGTCGAAATTACAAAATGGAAAAAATTGAAGATTGTTTCATCTGATAGTGTTCGGCAACCAATTCTCAAATAGGTTTGGTGTTGTGTGATAGAGTGTATTGGGGTGTATCAGGTGCATTTTTGGTAGTTAAATATGGTGTACTTAGCCAATTTTACATTTTGATTTAAATATTAGGATGTACTTAGATCATAGAGTGTACCTAATTAATTTTAAGGTTCGTTTAACAACATCCTTAGGAAGTATCATTTTACATCATTTGCGATATTTGTATGTGCAATAATAGGAAACAAAATTCGTTTGGTTTTTCAATTATATTCTTATTATAAATATGCAAGTAACGTTTGCATTGATATCCATAAAATATTATTGTAATTTGTATTTGTTAGTGGGGGCAAATAAGTCATAACGTAATTAACGCTAGCCTTTTCATAGGAAACAAAGCGAAATCTAAACTGGATGGAGGCTTCATTTCCAATCATTTTCCCACACATCACAAAACCGTAACATGAAAAATGAAATAATTTTTCATTTGCACAAATATTTTTGAGCGAACCAAACAACTCCTTAAAGCAAAGTGAAAAAATGTGGATAATAATGTGGTGCACTAGATCAACATTTCCGATGAAAATGTCATGTGAGGGAGACTATCGACCAACTTGTGTATTATCTCTCTAGTAAAGGTGGAGTACTGCCCACAAATACAATGGGTCCCACTTCTATTAGAAAAATGATATACAAATTGGTCTTCCAAACATTTTTCATAAAAAATATTTCAATTCTATTTGCTCTTGAAAAACCTTATTGCAAACTTTTTTTCATTGAAAAAAAACCCTAAAGCCTATGAATCCATAAACGGAAACAAATTACCTATTTAACAAATAAAATTACAAAATTATTCTTTTATTTTTGGAATTACAAAATTATTCTAAAGTTAGTTTAATCTCCAATAAAATATGAAAATTACCTATTTGTGCTGCTTTCTTTTCTGTAAGTTTCTCCGCTCTAATTGATTCTATTTTATTCTACAACATGATGTTCTTGGGAAATAAAAGTGATGATTTATTTTTTATTTTAATTTTTAGAAATAATAAGATTGAAAGCTAGAATTTAATCTATCCCACTTGAGTTAGAGGTAATTGTTAGAACTAGATTTGTAGGAAAGAAAAAAAAAACTATTTAACCAAAACCAAATGCAGTATTTGAGTGGACATGCTAAACATTTGAGTTGTTTATAGGTGTAATAGCAACTGTAAACTATATTAGCCATTCATTACGCAATTCATATTAATCAACGGTCGTGAATTCTTATATACATTGTGACGCGTAAATATAAGCCGTTAGGAAAATTCAACTAATTAATTAATAGTCATTTATATGATATCAAATGTAGAAGTCACAACAGAAAGTATCCTTTCATGTAATTACCCCTTCATCGAACGTGGTCTATTTTCCTCACTAGCCTTTTCGGACCTCCCCAAAAATTTCCAATTACATCTAAAACCTTAAGAAAAAAGTAAACACAAATCTCTCTCTCTCTCTCCCTCTCTCTGAAGTCGCTCTCTGCTATCACTGTCTTTCTCTCTCTATTTTCTTACCTTTTTGCCCTTTTTGCCCTTCAATCCCAGAAACAAACACAAATCCAAATCCCGTATCTCCCAAGGTTCCATGTAGGCTTGCCCACAGCCCAGCCCCATCATAAAATTTCCAAGTCCTTCACACACCAATATATGCTCACCAATATAAATAGGGGGCCCCTTTATTATTGAGCTGCCTCTCTCTCTCTCTCTCTCCCAAAGTCTCTCAATACACAAGACACAAAAAACACTCTCTTTTCTCTCTTTCTCTGTCTCAAACATAACATGAGCGGCGGTGGGGAGACTAGGGTTTCAATCCCAAGCAATGTAAAGGAGACGATCCAGGACATCAGAGAGATCACCAAGAAGCAACACAGCGACGATGAAATCTACGCTGTGCTCAAGGAGTGCTCTATGGATCCCAACGAAACCGCTCAAAAGCTCTTGTATTTAGGTAAACGGATATATTTTCTGCATGTCAGTATGTGTTTGCATTAGGGTTTCGATTGATGGGTGTTTGTGTTGTGTGTTCTTGGTGGGGAGTTTTGTGGGGTTTGTTTTATTTTGGCCATGTGATCGGTGGTTTCTTCTGGGTTTTGATTTTTCTTTTATGGGCTGCGTCTGCTTCTTGAGAAAAGTGAAGATATGAAAGAAAATTGAAACATTTTTAATCAATTTAAGAAGAGCACGTGCGTTTGCGTAGTTGAGAAGAAGCTTCTTTGGTTGTGTTTCTTATTTGCTTTCGGTTTGGTGACTTTGTAATTGGGTGGGAGTCGGACTGTGTTTAAAGTTTGCGTTTTATGCTGATTTCTTTACTGCAAGATTTAAAATTCCGGCCCACAAAAGCTAAAAACTGAAATTTGGTATCCCGTCAACAAATATTGGTAAAAGTTAATGAGAATGGTAATACATATGTTATTTTCTTCGCAGCAGTCGATATCGAAGCTTTGCAATTTAATTTGTCACGGTTCTTTAATCAGATTTGAAAGCCTACTCTGCCGAAGCTAAATTGTTGAAAGTGAAAGATCACTTGGTCTATTTTTCTGCATTGATCATTAAAATGTTTCAATGATGCTGGTGCTTACATTTATATGCTCGTGTGCGCTTCCAAATTTTGGTTTTTATGGGCTTTAATTCATTAGTTAGTTTCTTTTTAATCTTAATGTTGCAAAGTAGTTGTGAAGTCTACATTTTAGAATAGGATATGATATTATTTGTCATACAGTGCACCTTGGTTTTGATAGGACATTCTTATCAGTGGACTCGTATCTCTGATAATAAATTGGTTTATTTGTCAACTACTATCTATGCTTCCTGAAACAATTTTATGGTGACAAATTACTACATAACTAGGACCTCTGTTATATGCATGCGACTTTGCCATTTAATTTATTCTGGTGTTTGGTTTTAAGTGATTGAAATATCTGGGATTCACAATTATCTTCGGCCGCATATAAACTTATGACCTACATGCCTGAATCAGATTGCTTTTTCAGTTGTCTTACTGCAATTATCTTGTCTGTCTTTGCTTGTGTCCCCTCATCATTGTTTTGTAGAAGTTGTCATGCATATTACTCATGCAGCATGCAGGGATCACATACCATATCATGTAAGATTTGTGTAGTCTGAACTACTGAAGATAATGATCTTATTGTTTGGGTTGGCAGATACATTTCATGAAGTCAAAAGGAGAAAAGATCGGAGAAAGGAGGTAATATCTTGTGTTCTTCTATAATCTGAAGGAGGCTTTATCATCTGAATGTTGATTACGGTTTTAAATAATTGAAAGATGTCTTTGGAGTAAACCGGTGAACTTGGCTTTACAAGCTTGGTGAGACTGTGAAACAAAATTATTTCTTCTCCATCATCCATGTTTTATATATAGTTGGAAATGGAATACTTCTCAATTGGGTTGTATGGATATATTCAGGCCAGTTATGATTATTAATTTTCCATTTCTTTTGATTTAAGAGTTTCATCAAATGACATTTTGAGTCCTGCTTGCTGTTCAAGTATAATAATGATTAATTTTGTCTATATCTTATTTACATTTGCATTCCCATCTGAAGTTAGCTAGGCTACTTTATAATTCAATGTTGTTACTGTTCCAGCTCTTGAAAGGTAGAGCATCTGAAGATTCTAGAATGCCACCAGGCACACAGAGGCGAGTGTCTAGGGGTGGTGGCCAAGGGAATTATTCTTCCAGTATCTCTTCTGGTAAACTTTCAATCTGTTTATTACATATATTTGCACACTTAAGATTCAGCTAGGTCTAGATATTTTTGTATGTTTATCTTTTAGTTATTGTTTAAACTCAAAGCATTATAATCCTCCACATGTCCTCCATATTGGCCAGTTAAGATGTTCGTTTGACCCTGTTCCTTTGCTTAAAGGAATAACTCAAATATCTCTAACCCCTCCTGGTTAATGATAGCTGTAGTGGTATTAAGCGTGCTGAGAGAAACTGAGCTTAAGAGAACCTCTGCAGACTAATTTTTTAAAATAATTTTTATTCTGTCAGTGACTGCTGTGGTGCCACTATGTGACCTGGAAATAGAAAGGTGGGTTTTGCGTGAAGTTTTTCAACCCCTTGAAAGAAGGAATAGATCACTAGAATGCTGATGGTTATTGGATGAAATCTGACCGTTAATCAAAATATGTAATTACTGATGAGATTACTTGCTCTCCCCCCCTTCTTTCTCCCTTTTTTTCCGTGTAATCCATTAAATGGTTAGTGCCTATAATAAATACTTTGCTTGAAAGTATTTATTTGATTTGAACAGTGTCAGCAGATTTCAAAACCAAGTTTGTGCTGCAATTGTGAGGGTTACTAATTTTTATTGGTCTATGGGTTTCTGCTTTATGTTGATGTAAAGTTGCTTCCTTTTGATATAAATTACCTTCTTGTTTTCCAATTAACTTTCAGATGCTGGTGGTGGGAGGAATGCTTCTGCTCGGAGGGAAAATGGGGTCAATCACGTTGCAGATAGAGGTTCTATGCCCTCTTCTGTTAAGCCAGTTATACAGAAAACAAAAAACATTGCTGCAACTTCAATGCCAATGTAAATTTTTAGCAAATTTTTAATTTATGCCTTTTGTATCTATGAAGAACTGTTTTGTGTCCTAACTCTACTGCATGCTTGAGAAGAACATTGGGTTTTATTTTTCCTCTTAATTTATGATATATATTTTATCTCCAGAGCTTCAACTGGCACACCAAATGGGGTCACAAACCTATCAAATGGGAGTTCTATTCACAGTTCTGCCCCAAAATCCCCTATGGGTGTTGATAACAATGTTCGTGAAGGAGGTTCAGCTATAGATGTAAAGAAGTTGGGAGCTGCAGCATCTCGCCCTGCCTCTGTGACATCTACACCTACCTTTGGCTCACTGGATCATGAAAAGCCCGTGTCAATACCTGAACAGCTCCCAATTTCTGCCCCACCAGCATCTGCTTCCTCTGCTTCAGATCCTGCTGTATCAAATCATGTTCAAGAAAACAAAAAAGGCTCTGTAGATGCTATTGGCTTGGAGTCGTCCAAGAGTGTAAAAAGGGCCTCCAGATCTGCTAATTCTGTGGCAGTGGCTGAAAAGAATTGGAATATTAAGCCTTCACAACCCCATTTTTCCTCAAATGATGATGGTTCCTTGGCCAAGCTGCCTTCTAAAAGTGTTAAACAGTCACAGTTAGAGTCTGCTGTTCCTCTGAAAGGTATTTTAACATGTTACACACTGGGAGTTGCCTTTTATTTTCATGCTCTCAGATGTGTGCATGTGTCGAAAGTTAAACTTAATTCATGAATGGAGTTTTCCTGCTTTCCTTTTCAATTATGTTATGTATCTGCCATTACTTTTATCAGCAGGTATTTAGTATCTGTTATTGTTATCCTTGTGTGTGCTCAGTAAATGTTATCAATTTTATTACTTTTGTTAGTAGGTGTTTTCAATTTGCTTATGTTTCTTAAACAGTGGTCACACTGGAGGTTGCAACCAACACTGTTGAAGCTACTTCTCAAGTGTCTCGTGACTCGAGTCTCTCAGTTGCAAAACATGTTACTTTTCCAAATCATATCCAAGTCCCTGAAGCTTTGAAAAATGTATTGACCTTTGGAAGTATTGATGCTACTTTTGGACCGAGAGTAGACTCTGTTAATGGTACTGGTGGTGATAACTTCTCTATTGGTGCTGTTGAATCTTCTCAGGATACTGATGAAACAACTAAAGAACCTTCTCCTAGGTTGGTGAATGCTGTTTTCTGTGTATATCTACTTGGGTTAGTTTAGTATATGAATTGTGCTTTTCTCTAATGCTTAATGATAAAAAAACATTAGTTTGAGTAAGATATTTATCCAGATTTATAGTTACAGTCTCTCTTCCATAGCATAAGTTATTTATATTGCCTACTACAGGACCTTTGTATACTATGATTTTATTCTTTTGAGAAGTTTTAGTCACATTTATTTTATTTTATGCAGCAATGATATTTTATCCTCACGTGTGCAAGGAGATTTTTCTGAGAATCCACCATCAATACCTAATGTGCTTGAAAAGTCACCGCCTACAGAGGGTAATGTCTCTTCAAGTACAGACTCAAAAAGTGAACTTCCAAAGCAGGAGTCGCAGTTGCCACCAGAAGGTCCACAGAACCAAACTGCTCTACATGCCCCTAGCTATAATCTTGGGTTCTTTCCTCCCATGCTAGGGAGCCAGCTTTTACAGGTGGAAGGGCATGATAATCAGGCACATGAAACACCCCGCCTTCCGAACTTTGTCGTAAGCTCTTTAATTATGTCTTATTAGTTATTTATCTATTAAGGTTGTCATTTTGTTTTCTTTGGCATATCAATGATCGGTTCTTGATTTGTTTAGACTTTGTGGGGACTATATCTTCATATGTTAGTTGTTGACCTTTTCCATGGTAAATATAAGTGGTTTAACTTTCACTGAATGGACTTATTTAATAATTTGAAAAGTTTTCTAGTATTGATATATTCATTCAGTTGCCATATATTTCTCTTAATATCTGAAAATAAAGGCACCATGTACTTTGTTGATTGTTGACGACGTGTATTGACATTGCTATTGTATTGCACATATTACTCTACAGGAAATACATTTAGTTAACCGATGTTGAGTAAATTTATGGTATCCATCAATAATTTCATATCCAAATATGGAGAGGACTAACATAGTTCAACTGTACTCTGTCAGTTACCAAGAGTAAATTTGTATGTGCTTTGCAACTTTCTAGAGCAAATTCGTTTGTAGTTGTATTTTGTGAGTTCCTTAAGCATTAGATCAATATCCATTTTACTATTTTATGCTTCTGATCCGTGTATTTCGTATTGCAGGGTGGAAATTCTGCTGCTGTGCCTAGCCCAAACTCAACTCCACCACTGCCAAGCTCCATGCCAAGCTCCATACCTGTCTCTCAGCAGTCAGTTCCGCTTTACAGGCAGTATCCCCCTAATTTCTACCCATATGGCCACTATCTCTCTCCATATTATATGCCACCAATACACCAGTTTTTAGGTCACAACGGCTTTCCTCCACAACCTTCAGCTGGGAACGTATTTCTTCCACCACCACCTGCAGCAGCTGCTGCTGGGGTTAAATTCCCTCTTCCACATTTCAAGGCTGGGGTGAATGCTGGAAATCCAACTCAATATAGTATTCAATCTGGTGGTTCATTTATCAACACCCCTGGTGGTTATGCTCCTGGTTCAGCAGTTACATCTGGAAGCTCCGTTGGTAATGAAGATCTTGGAGCATCTCAATTGAAGGAAAATCATATCTACACAACTGGACAACTGGTTGGTCTTCATTCTGTATCTTTAATTGAAGTTTTAATTCCCTTGCATGCTAACAAAGCTTCATCATATTAGTTGTTCTTCCCCTCTTGTTTTTCTTATAAAGTTCTTTGTCTGCACTAGCTAATAGAATTCCTTTCCGGTGATTTTTTTCTGCAGACTGAAGGTTCAACTGTTTGGATACATGCTCCGGGACAAGATATGTCTAGCTTGCAAGTGAGCTCTATGTACAACCTTCCTCAGGGGCCGCGTCTCACCTTCTCGCCCATGCAGGCTGGGCATGGTGGCATGGCTGGAATTTATCCACCTGGGCAAACGATTGCATCTCCAACATTTCTGCAACAGTCCCAGGCTGTGGCTGGAGCTGCTGAAACTATAGGACCACAGTCTGCTGCTTATCAGCAGCCTCAACATACACAGATGACTTGGAATTAGAACTTTTGATTTGGCAGAACTTTGCTGAGTGACGACACAGAAACACATCTTCTGAGGATCGAGTTAAACTGGGAATCTGATATCTGGCATGTTTTGAGTGTAAATATGAAATGCTGCCCAGACATTTTTGGAATATCATCTTGACCATCTGAAGTTGAAAGAAGATAGGTTTGGGTTTTTCCATGGTTCATCTTTTATTGTCTTTTGCTTTCCTCATCTGTTCTGTAGCGCCTAGCCTCTTAGTAATATTTTTTTTTTCAAAAAGAAAAATCTCTTGGTTGGAAATGAGTATTTAGCATTGAAACTTAGTAATTCCTTTAAGATGTTATAGGAGAAGTAAGAGAAGAGGATGATAGAGTAGGGGTGGGATTTTCCAATTTTTCCTTTCTGATGTCTCACCTGTATATTAATGATAGCAAAGAATGTCATATTATACGGTTGTAATTGGTCTATGAGAATTGGCTTCTCTGTTTGGTTTCATTTGACAATTGTTTTTCGCTACCAAAAATTGCAAGAAAGTACCGAAAAAAAAATTCGAAGAGTACTCGTTTCTTAATGGCTATCATTTTAAAACTAAAATTTACCAGAAAATGAAAAAAATTAGATGGCATCATATACTTTTCGCAGTATGAGGATGAGTCGTATAAGTTAAGAATTCAACACCAACCAACTTAGCTTTAAGCGATTGGTGTTTTTCTTCCCCCAAAAGACGGAAAAACACTCAAGATTAAACAAGTCCATCATAAATAAAGCAATAAGGGTCAAGGGGAGGATAAAATTTTTGTGAAGACAAGTTCTTAGGCTCAAGGGAGGCTTCCATCTGATATTCACATTTTATTGATTAATATTATAATTGTGAACAGGATGATAGAATAAAGGTGGACCTCACCAATTTTTGCTTTCTGATGTCTCACCTGTTTAGTATGACAGAGAATGTTGAATCATAGTTGTATCTGGTATGCAAGGAGCTTGTAACTCAAGTGGTTAAAGACCATTTCATGTGTTCGATTTCCACCTCATGATATCGCTTGCATAAAGAAAAAAAGTTGTAATTGGTGTAAGAGAATTTCCTTTTCTATTTTGTTTCATTTGACAACTGCACGAGGAAAAATGGTTTGTAAGCCTGCTTGGTTCACACGGCAGTTGTGGGGTTGGTGGTATCCTCTACATCTGACTCTACACTTTCTTCGTTGGTGGCTTTTGGTTTTAACGTCGGTAAGCTTTGCTTTGGGAGCTGCATGCTCACATTGTCTTGTGACTTTTGCAGGTTTAGTGATGTGTAAACAGACATTCCACAGAGGGCTGCAAGAGCCCCGCAAATGCTCACAAAACCCGGATCCGAATTAAATATAAGATAGCCCCCTAGTAGTATCACACAAGTCTTGAATTGTCCAAGAACAACATGTGAAGTCGCTGAGGTTGCCCTGCATAAACAGAACAAGAACTAGCCACTTCAAGCCTGTTCCAGTGAGGTAAAATGAGGTACAAAAGTGGTCTTTATGACAAGAGACTCACCCAAGTGCCAAAGCTCCAGACCATTGGAGGAGAAAACCAAGGAGTGCTGATATAAGAATGGCTGTTGTGTTGTTGAAATCCCATTGGAAAAGTAGAACTCCTGGTGGATCCAACCATGGCATCAGAGCTAGTAGGAAGAATATTGTGACTGGGGTTGTCTTCCACATCAGCCTACACTTCCACATCAGAAACTGTCATTCTTTCTTTCTTATAGGGTATATTATTTGACCGATTTGCTTCACTAAACATCTTTAAGGAGGAAGTATTTAAAGAAAGAACTCTAATTCTTACGTGAGCGCCGTCCAATTGGCTTGCTGTTGCAGATTAGACCATAAGATTTTGTTTATGGCACTTGGGACTATCCATGCAATTGCAATTAAAGCACCAAACACATTGAACTCTACGTCTGTTACGGTTGCTATTGCCACACCTGCTGAGACAACAGCTAGAGCCAAAACCTGCATAACCATGACTTCCGATGATTATCTGCACAGAAATAGGAAATCGAAACGAGAACAGAAGTATGGTTCTTTGAACCCGAAAAAAGGTACAAAGGTTAGCAAAAGAAATGGGGCAAAATTATTTTGACTCACCTTGTTAAAAGAAATGGTTTTCCTGAAGAGAATGAACTCAGCAGAAACAATGGTAGGAGTGACAGCAATTTTAGCCATCTGGTAGAAGCCAACACTGCAACAAGCAGAAAGGTGAGGAAGCCGAACAATGTACGTTTGTAACAAGTTAACATACAAGATGAAAGAAAGCTAGCAAGGAAGGACCTGTTATGCTTTAGGCTTGTATTGGCAAGACCTGAGGCAAAAGCCATGACAGCACCTAAGGAGAAGATAGAAGAGAAAGGAGTAGTTCTAGACGGAGGAGCAACTGGAAGAATTGAAAGTGTCTTGAAAATGGCAAGAAGCAACCATGATGTCACATAATGAATCAATGTGAGAAAGATTGGGAACTTAAATCCAACTCTCCCCATTACCTGGAAGCAGAAATGCAACTTAAGCATAAGATCGTTAAACAAAATGACTAAAATCAAATGGAAAATATTCCCAACAAAAAATCTTATGGACCCTGTAAAATTGCTAAAGCATACTAACTGAAAAAAAAGAAGGTAAGAAGAAGGACAAGGCTCTGACTAGTTTGTTTGCCAGGATAATCCCCACAGAGACAATGAAATTGAAGGTCATGGCCACCACCGGCCCACAAATCCGTTGCTGTTGGCGCTTGGCGCCTTCTGACGTTCGAATTTCATTGTAGATAGAACCTCTGAGTTCTTCCAGTGCTCGACCTGATAATTAGGAATATCAGAACTACAAGAACTTGAAGAAGTAGAAAAGATAATTTTCATTTTGTGATTTCCAAAAGGGTTTAATACACACACATTTTCCTTGCTTTTATCTATTTAACTAATTTGCTTAACGGAATTGAAAACACAACATCAAGAAATAGCATATTGCTTTGGTGAGCCCTGCAGATTGTTTCAGTATTCACATGGACTGAGAAAAGAAACAATTTCTTGTATACTATCAAACAAATCAAAGCATTCAGGCAATAAAACTTCTTTTATTGATTTATTTATATGTAATAAAAACTTGAAGCTATCCAAATTATCTTGGTACAAAAATAAATCAGAAAAACCATTGTAGTTGCAGCACAAACAGAATGAACCAAGTTCAGCTTCAACAACTCCACAAGCAATACATATCAAAAAGGAAAACCCAGACACCCAGAAAACAGTGTTCATATTTTCATTCATTAAAAGAACACAAAATTAAAGAGAAGCCATAACCACAGTACATTACAAAACAGAACCAATCAAAAACGAAATAAAATCTTATAATGATAATGGTGATGATGCAGCTCACAGAATGCATGTGTTGTCAAACCTGCTTCTCCTGCATCACTGTCTTTTCGTTTCACAAACTTCTTAACTTCGTTTCCCACCAATGAATCCAACAGCCCCATATGCCAATGATCTAACAGAGGCACCAATCAATGGGATCACGTAGCCATCAAAATCTTCAGCAAAACAAAAAGCAACCCATTAAAAACCAGTTCTCCACCGAAGATGAAAAAGCTTCTTTGAATGTTGTGAAGGAGGAGAAACTTAGTTGCATTGCATTAGAGTCCTTCAATCCTACAAACACTCAAAAGACTTTTCTTTTTCTTTTTCTTCTTCTTTCCTTTTGATAATGGAATTAAGAATGTACAACAAAATAATAATAATAATAATATTGAATATTGAAGAAAAAGGAGTTTGTTATGTTTTAGGACATCTTGCTTAGTTTGCAATGTTTGTGAGCTCCAAGGTAGGGAGACAGGCGGGTGAGAATAACAGTCTTGACGGGTGTAGAACTACTAATTGATGTAGGTTATCTGGGAAGTTAAGGAAACATGAAAGAGATTTGTATGATCAACAAAGAAATAGTCAAAGATTCAAGTACATGTGCTTAAGTCACCGCCAAGTGCTCATAGCTAATTAGTGAGAGCGATGGAGTGATCATAATCTCATGGCCTAAAGTATACGTTAGATATTATGGATATTTAACAAACTATAGGCATCTTTCATATTACAAATTTATAAATAAACCCAATTCTAGACATGTATTTATAAAAAACCCAAGCACTATTTAAACATAGAAACACACCCAAAATCAACCCCAAAATCAACAATTGTATATTTTTTGGGTGTGTTTATAAATGAGTTTTGAGTGTGTGTAATGATAGGTTTTGGGTGTGTTTATAAAGTGTTTTGGGTGTTGAGTTTTTTTATAATTTTAGCCCCCATTTTGGGTGTTTTAGTGAAACTCCCTAATTAATTTGGTATAGCTAGCTTCACCTACAAATCATTAATTCCTAATCATGTAAACTATTAAAAGCAGCAGAGTTCCATTAGTTACTTAACTAATTAATGGGTCTTTCTAAAATAATATAAAAGTTAAGTTAGAAATAGTTTGCAATAAGTTACATGCAAAAGGAAAAGGGTATCTTTTAATTTAAGCCAAATATGAATCTTTTCGATAGATGATAAATTTTTTCCCTTTCTCCATATATGCAACTATGGCGGTATCCTTAATTGATCACACATTATTATACTTTTTAATTTTTTCACATGACAATGCATAATTGGCCCTACCATTTTTATACAAATTACAAACCTTCACGCATATGTGGATAACTGTGAGTTATTGATTAGTGTATAATCTTCTGTAAGATTCATATCAATCGATGATTGTCAACCACTGTAGTCGATTTAGAGTGATAATATTGATTAGATACAAGTTTACAATTTTTACAGCTACTTGTGGGTTTTTTCACAGCCAGTGTGGTTCTTTATTAAATATCACAACTGCGTGACACTATCCAAATTGATACTGCCATACGATTTCGAGCCAAACACAGATCCAAATACAATGAAAGTGAGATGCTGCCATTCTAAACAAATTGAAGTTCCAACAGAACAACTTATACTTTGATCTGTCCCTACTTCTTATGCTTTCCCAACCACCAAAGCATAAGTAGTTAGAAAACAAATGCAGCACCAGTTTCAAATTTGACGCTGCACCTTACTTGTGGGCCTCAGACAATTTTGGGTAACTGGTAACATGCAAAAAGCTACTGTGCGTGGTGAAATTCAGTGCCCTAATTTTATTTTCAAAATTATGACCGGGGCGGCCCATGTCTGATTTGGGTTCATTAGGTTGGTACTTGCCCTGGCTTTGGGCCTCTGTAAAAAACTTAGTTACAAACAAGTTCTAAGGAGTAAATACGAGTCATTCTATAGCGAGGGTCTTGTCTAAGGTCTTTAGATGAGGTGATATCTCTTAACACAAATTCCTTGGTAATCTTACTTACCTGAAGGGATATATGACAGTGGGTACAAATATTTCAATGTTTCCTCTTGATAAATGAGTACAACAAAGTGAATTTTACTGTGTATAAATTCAAATGTGAGAAACCATGACCGAAATAATGCACATCAACGCTTGAAAGAATAAATTATGGTAACAAGGAGTTCACTTATTTATCCTGGAGACATTTCTCTAGGTACTCATTTTCCCTCATAATGGCATCAAGATCAGCTTGTAATTTCTCCACATTTAAGCTTCGAGAGCCCATGGCCATTTGCTTCTTTTCATGTTCGGCCACTTCTCGTCGTATTCTATCATTTGCCAGGATTTTCTCACGAATTTGTTCGAAAGTCTCATGGATGCTAGTGAGAAGCCTATAAGCCTGCTTCCCTACTGCGTCTTTCTTTGCTTCCCTGCAAGTAAGATACATGCCTCTCAGATAACAATAGTTGGAGTTTGAATGACAAAGCGAAAGGTGATGGACCAAATCATAACTAAGTCTTTTTTTAAGGCAACAGTTTATGGGTCAAAGAAATTTTGTACCTGAACACCATTTCATCTACAACAGCATACGTTCGATGAAGACGTTCTTGGATAGAATTACTCTCTAACTGAAGCTCCCTGGTGTCTTTTAAGATCTGCTCTATGTCAGCTTCTTGCTTCCGACTGTTCTTTGTGATCTCCTTGACCCTTTCAATATAGGATCTTCTTGATTCCAGTTTTGGCTGCTTTGCTAGATCCATAGAAAGTTTAGAAAGTTCCTCCTCCCTACCAAATGAAATTAATTAACGAGAGAAAGAAACAATCAACCTATATCACCCTTTATTCTTGGGCATCTTTAACGCAATCTATAAAAAATTTTTCTTTTTCCCCTCCATATTGTAACTTTTAATGAAATATGTTCCTTTGTAAAAACTAAACAGTCCCAAACTAAATCATGAATCACAGAAGTTCTGGGGGCAGCACGAGCACAGAGAACATGACCCAGAGAATTCATTCATTTCATTCCAGAAAAATACCTTTTTTGAACTGCAGACAAGATGGATTCCTTTTCCAGTTCAAGATTTTTCAGCTTTTGGAGCTTTTCCTGAGCATCTGGGTTGTTTGCATACAGAGACTCCTCAAGACTTTTCTTTTTCTCTTCTAAATGCTTTCTGACTACTTCCCTGTGAAAAATAATTGGTAACAGATGAGAAACCAATAGCATACATACATATATGCTGACAAAGGTAGTACCTTTTCAAATGTCTATATCTTGTGCATGCACACATATGCTTTTAAAGTGTAATCTCTTCTAAACGTATATTTTAGTGCCCATGCTCATTAAGTAGGAAAGCACCTCTAGAAAGATGTTGCAAAGTGCAAAACAATTAACTTTGAATGAAAAATTAAATAAAGATTGATATCTTACCACTCTGACTTTAATTCTCCAAGGTGATGCTTTCGAACATCCACTTGCTCATTAAGTTTTGCAAGGTAAAATTCAACGGGATGACGGATGTCAAATGCCATATCTGCTGCTTCTTTTAATAAATCCAACTCTTCTTCAAGGTGCTTTAGTTCTGAGGCCTTTGCAGTAACCTCCTCCATGAGCAGTTTCTCCTGATTTTGCAGTTTTTCAGTCGAATGCTTCCTGCTTAATACACTATTCTGTCCACCCTTGTTGAATTCTCCTGTACTAGAGCTGGATACATGATCAACACCGTTTTCATCCAATTTTTGTGGAATAAGATGAGCATCAGCAGACGTGCTGAAAGAGGCATCTTCATCATTAGTATTTGTTAGTTCAGGCAATTTACCATTGAATGTGAGTTTGTCCAATTTGGCTCCGACTTTGTCGTAACTAAGATCAGACCCCTGGTCACCAGTTTTGTGGTCCTCCAAATTGCTTTCAAAGCTGTCTTCTTTCACTTCCCTTCTATCATTGACACCCTTGGGACCAGATTTTCCGATATCTTCAGATAATTCTGAAAGCCTCTCCACCAAGAATCTTATCAACTTGTATGAGTCCTCTTCAGATGGATACAAGAACTGCCGTAAGCAACACATATAGTTCTAAGTTTCTAAGCATAATTTCAAGAACAATAAGAATGAAAGAGAACAACAAAGAGACACAAAAAAAAAAAAAAAAAAAAAAAAAATAAAAAGCAATCTCACAAAATTCATAGATTCAATTGCATATACTGGCAATTAGCCAGTCATTATCCAAATAAACTGAAAGAGAAACTTGCTAGACAGCTTGGAAATTAATCAAGATCGCACATTTAAACACGATTTCGCTTAATCACAACAGTTCAGAGTGACAGTCTGGTTACTCTACAAACAAATGATCCTAACTGATTCCATACCCACAGAAAGCCGGTCCCTGGTTTCCTAAATAGTACAGGGTACCTCAATTTGTATGAACTTTAATTAGTAAGAAAAGCATTTTCCTTTAAACAAATATAAAAAAGCTAAATTATGGTAATTTTGCATGAGCAAAGTTGCTAGCACAGCTACATACCATATTTCGTATAGCTTAAGATCCTTATGTCTATAATTTCTGTGCATATAACAGATACATATAGTACTATGCAAACACTATATACTTCCAATTCAAAAACACAATCAATTTCATTCAATTCAGTGATACTAAGCCTAAAAGTTGTTCCAATTCAGTAAATTGAGGTCGGCAAGGTAATCCTATGCTTTCACTTTTTCGCATTTTCTCAGGAACAAACACCGAAACAAATATATATAAAAAAATCGAAACTTGCTAACTTTACGATTCTTACCTGGTGGAAACTGAGGTCGGCGAGGTAACCGAGGCTCTTGATCGCGGAAGCGATGTCCGTACAGAGCTTGAACTTGTCGGCAACGGAGGAATCAGGGAGGGAAGTGGGAAACGGCGGCGTTTGGCCGATGAGGTTGAGAGACTGGCCACAGATCGAGACTAAGGTCGCCGGCGTCAGGTCTCGGACCGACGACACGTCGTTTAGGACGCAAACGCCCGAGTTCTCCAACGACTTTAGCAGTATTTCCCGCGATTCTTCCATTTTCACTCAATTTTTATCTTTTTTTGGAGAGAATTTTTTTTTTTGATGAAATTGAGAGATTGAGAGTTTTTGTGCCTTT